CAGTTTGAATCTCGTGTTTTCCAATTATGGGACTTGAGAGTCTCCAGGTTTCCGATTATTGAGGTACTGTATTTGGCTTGGGACTATCATGTGCGTATTGATCGGCAAGAAGGAATAAGACGTACATACCGGTATGGGCTAGTCTCCATTCCGTTGAGTCCACTGAGATGCGCGGCTTCAGTTAGTCGATGAAAGTGAACGGAAGATTGGAGACAGGATGTTTGCAATGAGAGCTTGTGAGACGATGGAGACACTAGAAGGGCATAGCTACATGGTCAAGACTGCCAGCTTTTGCTTGTTCCCCGCCCTCACCACACTCTGTTTTCTCTCATTTTCACCATTGCTCTGTACCTATTTGGTCCCGGTTTGTAGTCAATGATTGTCCTATGATTCGACCTCGTTGCAAACCAGTCCCTATCGCACTAACGTAAAGTGGTACGAGTACCTTGCGCTACTGTGCCAAACCTACTTGCTTCTCTTATGTACTGTGTACTGTAGCATGTAGATTATTGACATAGTTTCCATGGTAGCATACGCGTGCGATTTCCCAAGACAAGGTTACATCATGCAGCGCCGGGTAATCTACAGTACAGTACGATTATCAGCTTTGAGCTGTGAGCTGTCAAGCTATCATGATTTCATCGCAGTCGTCTGTAAGCCTGCTCGACTTTAGCCTGAAGTCTGTCCGGCATCCGGTATTTCCAGCACGCGCAATCACTGCTCGTGATTGAGTCTGGGCCTTTTTCACGATAAATAATTTCATCTCTCAAATGACTCCTTTGTTAAATCCAATCGTAAGGCGCCTGAGCCAGCCAGTCTGCTTGTGTCTACCTGTGGATGGAACTCTTATCTTGCTTGCTGCTCCGTAAAATTCCAGAAGACTTGTATTTACTGTATCGTGCTGTACTGTATCGGTAGCGACAAAGTGACTAGCTTCTCTAGCCATTCGAAAGCAAGAACCACACACTATCCCCCTAACTTATCAACCTTTATACCAGTAAGACAGTAGTAAAATGAGCGAAAGCATGAGCATGACAGGCATTGAGATGCTTAACGACGTTGGGTCTCCAAAGAGCAAGAAAAAGAAGAAGTCTTCCTCTGGCAGTGTCAGCAGTCGCAAATCTTCGAGCAGTCGAAAGTCTCTCAAGTCTACAAAGTCCAGCAAATCCAAGAGGAATCTTAAGAAGGCAAAGAAAGGAACTGTCAAACAAGCGAGTAGCAAATCGCTGAAGATTGACGACAATGTCAGTCTGATTTCAGATGACTCCTTGAGTCTTCGGAGTGAAGATGAGAGTCTCAAGTCCACTAAATCCTTCAAGTCTACCAGCAGTAAAAAGTCTAAGGGGAAATCGAGCAGTCGAAGGAAAGATAGAAAAGCTGGTTTAAGCCCAAAACGGAGCAACAGTTTGGGTCAGTTGGGAGGCAAGAAGGCAGAGAAGAGAGCTGAGGACCCCAAACGTTCAAACAGTATGTCCATGATGGCCGGTAAGAAAGAAACCAAGAGATCGGAATCCAATCTTTCAGGGTCTTCTTCTAAGTCCAAACGAAGAGGCAGCATGGGTGGCATGTCCGAAAAGAAGGCAACTCGTAGAGGCAGCATGTCCTCCAATTCCAAAGCCAAGTCAAAAAGACGAGGGTCCACGTCCGGATCTAGTCATTCTCGCTTTTCCGCGGATGATGACAGCATTCCATTCAGTTCCACTGTCGAAAAGATTGATGAAAATGGAGAACTCGGCAATGATTCCCAGAAGAAGAAATCGTCTCACAAATCACGCCACAACAGTTCCAATACAGAAAGCACTGCTAGCAGTAGCGGTGGCTCTGGTGGTGCTATTCCTGCTCAAGTGGAAATCGGATCTAGTTCTACGCCAGATTCCAAGCAATCCCCCGCAAATGATGATGATGTCCCGTTGGAAGAGGAGCAACTACCGCTGGATGAAGAAGATTTGGCCAAGTACATGGAAGCTCGCAGCAAGAAATTGATTGCCAGCAGCGATGCCAATTTTGCACTCACCAAAGATGCGGACAACCGGGTGGACCTGAAGAAGGAAGTCGCTGAACTCATTGAAGGAGTTGCCGGTCCAGAATTTGTGGAAGAAGTTTATATCACTGTCAATGGGCAAAAGTACGAAAAGGTTCCAGTGAACAGCTTGCAATGGTACATGTTTCGGTATGCCGAACTAATGAATGATACCCTTGATATTCATGAAGATCCTCGTCCTCCACTCTAAGAATTTACACACGCACGCACACATGATGAATCATCGAATGTACGAACCAGGTACATTCCAGGTACATGTCAATTTGAATATATAAATTAGTAAAGATTTTATATTACGTATTATTACCGGTAGTATCGGAAGCAATCTCTAGGGTAAGCAACCGTACTCGATGGGCTAGTCGAGAAAATTATAGTACTGGTTGCAAATAATAAGAAGAAACAAACATGGAAGCTTCAATCAGTTCAAGGTGGTGTCAGATTAATTATATTATGTACAGCACGGCCTAAAAAGATTGGCTTGAGAGCTATATTGTATGTTGGAATAGAAAAGGTAACCGTTCCTACGAAGGATAGAGCTGATGAAGCTATTACATTTTAATGTTTAAACTAGAACCATCGCTTCGATCGCTTTATCATGGAAGTGAGCATGTTGTTGGCCTGGCCTGTCATGTCCTGAATTCGAGTCACATTGCCTTTTGTATTCTGCAATCTTTCACGATTCCTGTGTAATTCTTGTCCAATTTCTTCTCCAATTTCCTCCGTCTCTCTCATGGTTTGCAAGGCATTGCGGACCATGTCGTTTTGCCTACTCAGTGGGTCACTGCTGGACGGTGGCCCATCTCTTCTTGCTGCAGGAGTTTGTGGTGTAGTATTGGCACCAACGAATAGTTCGTCGCGTTGATCATTGATTAGTGAGTAGGATTGAAGTTGCATCTTACACGCCAACACAGTGTCAATGTACTCTTGTTCTTGCGAAGCATCTTCCGCATTCATGGTTTCCGACTCGAGTTTTGTCATGAGTTTTCGGCATTTCTTTAGCAAATCTGAAGCATTTTCTTCCTCATGATAACGAACTTCGATCTGCATGATCAAATCCCGAAATTTTTCAAGGGTCTCATCGAAACGAGATGGCATTATGGGTGATACCTACTGTATTTGTTGTTCTATGGAAGTTTGGAAGTCAGCTTTGCTTTGGTGTATATAGTTCTTTGGTGTTGCCTTGGTCCGAGTGTCTACTGCTTGGTTTTGTTCAAAAGTCGACTCGATCGACTACATAGTTCACATCCAAACCAGTCCATCATTTGCTCCTATCGGTACAGTTTGCTAGCTTCCTCTACACGCTGTCTACTCTACTCTACTCTACTCTACACTACCATGGCCGGGACTCGAGCCACAGCCTCTCAAGCCTGGGCCATTTTGAAGCGACACGCTCGGGACGAAATTGAGCCATTGCGATTACAAGAGTTATGCAAAGACAACGAACGAGTATCTTCCTTAGTCTCCGTCCACAATGCCAATGCCAACCGCATGGTGGTGATAGACTTGTCCCGTCAGCGCATGACGTTGGAGACGCTGAATCATCTGTTGCGATTAGCTTCTGCTCGCGGGATTCGTGGTAGTATCAAACGATTAGCTTGGGGCGACAACGATCCCGACAATCCAGTGCGACTGCGAAACCGAGATCGCACTCGTCGCAACAGCAGCAACGAACAGTCTACCGAAAAGCCAAAAGCGCAAATGTCCTATTACTTGTCTTTACGAGCTCCAGAAGGCTCTCGCATGTTAAATTCCGAGGGAGGCAACGCCTTGCGCAAGATCCACTATGAATGGGACCGGATTAAGCAAGTCTCCGAATCCATACGGCGGGGTCAGCATCATGGAATCACGGGAAGCATGATCAAGGATGTAATTGTAGTGGGACGGGGGGTCCCTATCATGGCGCTTCGTTTTGTCTACATGGCGTTATGTAAGGACCAAACGGCTGCGATTGTACGAAAGGCAGGATTGAATGATATCAACAATCGATTGCGATTGGGAGGTGGAGGAACTCGTCGAATTAAATTCTTGACCTCGGTGGATCCCGTTCGGGCAGCAGCGGTGATTGGAGATTTGGATCCGTCTTCTACCATGGTGATTAGCATTGCCATGAATGGAAATGAAGAGACGATGGTGGCAACCAGTACCTTGAAAGCTTGGTTGTTGCAGGGAATGGAGAAGAACGGAAATGGAGCCGCTGTCATTGCCAAACATATGATGATTGTGACTGCAAATCGCAAAATTAATACAGAGTTGAAGCGGGACAATGTCTTTGTTCTTCCCGATGGGGCAGCATGTGAACCCTTTTCAACTTTTACTGCTGCTACATTATTGGTGAGTGCTGCACTATTCGTGCACATCTGTCAAGTGCTCTCCATTTATGTATTTCCAATCCAATCCAACCCATTTCATTGTTTTCATTTCAATTTGATTCATTCTTTTAGCCACTGGCTATTGTGTTTGGCTGGCAACTCACGCGACAATTCGTGGATGGAGCGCACACCATGGACAACCACTTTGTGGAAACTAACCCTCGACACAATCTACCAGTACTGCTGGCGCTGACGGATGTCTGGAACGATTTACTGCTATCTTCCAATGGTCGCATCATCTCACCGTTTGCCGAAGCATTAGCAGCCTATCCTGCTTTTTGTGCCAACCTGGAAGCCCAGACTTGCGGAAGCGCATCAAATTCCCAGCGAGTATCACAATTGGTGATTGATGGTGGCTTAAACCATTCCTATGACAAGGCACTATATTCTGCAAACAAGATATTTCCATCAGAATTGATCATGGCTCTGGATTCACAAACTTCCTTCAATGCGTCGTCCAAGGATGAAGATGTACATGCGGCACAAGACTTGTTGATATGCTCCGTTTTTGCACATGCCGATGAGCTTGCTTTTGGCAGTGTCGAGACCGGAATCATGTCGCTGCTTGAACCCAACCCAGAACCAAAGGAAGCTGCATGCTCGGATGGGAACCGACCTAGTGCCCTGATCATTTGCGATAGGTGTGATGCCTTTGCTTGTGGACAACTAGTGGCATTAGCCGAACACAGAGCTGTAATCAAGGCATGGATATGCGATTCTGACCCATTCTCAAAGGTAGAGGGATCTTCCATTCGAGTGAACAGAACAGAATCACTGAAACAGAGGCTAGACGGAATGTTTGCGAAATTGTCTAGAGGTGAAGAGCTAGACGAAGATGACGAGGAATCAGACGATGGGAAATCATTCAATCTCTCTACAACGACGATTCTTCGTCACTATGCCAACATGATGAAAGATGAACGTGTCTACCCGGTGACGTGATTTATTTGCCTTTTCATTTCGCGAGAAGTGAGTGGTGATGAGGGTACGACATCGGCTATGGTATCTGTTATATTCCATTGGTTGAAGTGGCGTCATTTCGAAGCGGTCCAGCTGCCAGCTGTCGATGCAAATTCAAATTTCAGAAAGATTTGCCAAAAGTATTCTACTACTGAGAAGAACTTCGAAGTGGGTCGAAATTGAAATTGATCCACTACTACCGATACCACGCACTCACTACCGATATTAGAGAGCCAAACGAGCGCAGTAATAAATCATTCGAGCCTTTCTGATCGTATCTTTTCAGAAATTGAAACTGTTGTTTTATTACCTAATAGGTGGTACAGTACCAGAAGATGTTATTAAATTATTATACTGTATCTGAAATACCGGTACCGTACCAGGTACCGGCACCAGTTACCCCTGGTACCAGTACTCCACCGTTCATTCAACAATCCTGTAAGCAGGTTTGGTTTTTCGGTCTTACTGCTCTAATAACTTTTCCGGACTGGTCCCCGAAACGGCAATGCAGTCCCCACTCTGAAGCCATCTTTCGGTTTGCAAAGATTCTGTGTACCTCTGTGGTAAGGACAAAAAAGGATGGCTGCAGAAGTCAAACCATGGGCATCGGCTTTTCAGTTCTAAGGGCAAACCGAAACCGACACGGGAAATCGTTACGCCCCTTGACAGAAAATAATTAAATAAAAACAGGATTGAAGAACCAGCGAAGCAGCTTCTTTCCGAGGAATTTCCTTGGGCCCGACGGACGCGAAATTGTCAGAAAGTAATTGCAATCTCACAATTTTCAAGAACAAAAACTTTTCTTCCACAACATCGTCAACGACAACACAAACATGGCACCATTGGCAGACATCAAAAGCGTCATTGACTACAATGATATCACAAACAACGACTACTCTGAAAAACAATCATACGCATTGCATTATGAGAGACCCGTGCGAAAAGTTTCGTTTTCCAAAATGGTTACGGAATACGACATTGAGAGGGCTTCGGACTTTTCTGACGAAGAGCGACAAGCGATCTGGTACTCCATCCCACAACTTCGAGAAATCAAAAAACAAGCAAAACACACTGTCCAAAAGATGGAGAGAGGACTGCTTGACACCAGTGATGACAATTGGACATTCAGAGGCCTTGAAAGCAAAACAACTGAAGGAAGTCAACAAAAATACGAGGCCAGAAGGAGTTCTTGGGGTGCAGTATTCCTTCATCAAGATCAGCAAGACATCCAAGATATTCCGGATCCTGAATTTCTAGCTGAAATGTATCGCGAGCACACAAAAGTGAGCCAATGCCTTGCGGAACTTCAGGGAAAGCAAGATGCCGAAGTCGCACGAGAATAAACACCAAACAGTGATGCAAGCTAAAGCAGTCGCATAGAATATAAAACTAGAAGATCAATAGAATTGACATTGATTTATCGCAATATCAATCTGTGCTTTTGCTGAGCCTCGAGTTGGAGATGAATCATTGGCATTGATATCTGATGATTTGAAATCATTTTGCTTTCCTGTCTTTCTGCGCATTGTGATTCAGCTCAATTTGAATCGTCTTAGTCAGTTTGGGACAGATGCAGACCGATTAGTCGACCAAGTCAATAATTCATATTGGAAATTTCGATGTGTTTCTCCACGTGGATGAACGATGATGTTTGACATTCCACATTTCACCTTCCGACGTCCACCCACACACAATACTTCAACAACAATCTAAAAAAAGCTACACGATTCTTCCATAATTTCCAGTCAATAACACTATGACCCATCGACTCATTCAAATTGTCGTCCTCCTAGTTAGCTGCATTGCTATATCATCGGCATTCACCGTGGTGCCGAAGATGCCACAAGTTTCTTCTATTTCTCCCGCGTCTTTTTCTTCAACTTCTTCTTCCACACAACTATACATGGCCGAACGTGAAAAGTCAAAATCGACAAAGAAGGGCGTGACCACCATCGAAAAAGACAAAGTTGAATCGGAGGCGGAAGAACAAAAGAATAAGGAAGAAATGTGGAGAGTAGTGTTGCACAACGACGAAGTGCACACATTCAACTACGTTATTCGCAGTCTTTGCAAAGTCGTCGGAACACTGGATCGTAAGGCTTCCTTTGAAATTTGTGTCCAGACGCACGGAGTTGGAAAGGCTACCGTTACCAAAACATGGAAGAAGCAAGCCGAACAATTCTGTTTGGGACTTCAGCGTCAAGGGTTGACTGTTAGTATTTCACCAGATGAAGATTTCGATGGGGGGCACTCTGGAGGTGGTATCTAGAAATGTAAAAAGTAACTATACTGTACAAACGATGCAACAGATGTTGGACTACTGAACTAGAGGGAATCGCGTTGGATAGGAGGCATTCAGAATCCAAGTTTCTCCTTGTAAACGCCACCTGACTAATATATGTGATTCCACAATCGAAAGGATACAAGCCATGTCTTCATTTCTAAAATTATACATCTATGACTACATCTTTAGAATCCTCATTGTTTCCCTTTCCCTCGATCATCTTGGCAGAATCACCCAACCCAGTGACTCTTGAATCGGACATGACATCCAACTCGGGTGCTAGGATCTTGAGGTACCGGTCAAAGTAGAGACTTTGCTTGACCAACAGCCCAAACTCTCTAGGAAGTTTGAGTCCGTTGTCTTCTGTAACATCGACAAGCTCGAGCAATAGGTTGGTGATTTCGGTTTCATCAAAGTTAATGGCACCCGAGACGGACCCATCAGACATTTCTGCAACAGTGACATCGGTTTGCACATTGGCAATTCGGCGCATAACGGTTTCAATATCCTTGCCAAACTTTTCTGTATCAACCTCTTCATCCGTGGCACCCATGTTACACAAGGCTTCGGCCATGCCTTTGTAGTCGGCTAGAGCCAAGGCAGTACTGAGTTCGTTGATGGCCTGAAAGGTCTTGTCGCTGACCCGTCCCACAATGCCAAAGTCAATAAATCCGACCCTGTTATCATCCAACAACAAAAGATTTCCAGCATGTACATCGGCATGGAACCATGGCATTTTCATTACACTCTCTGTCCAAATGTTGAGGGCGGTCACAATGGCTTCTTGTCCCATGGTGGGATCATTGCTCGCCTTGGAAATGGTTTCTTCATCGAGCATACTGATACCGTTCAATCGTTCCATGGTAAAAACTTTCTTGGTGGTATAGTCGCGGTAGACCATGGGTGCCGTTGCCTTGTTCAAGAGTTTGTTCTCTGCCAAGAAACGACGAAACTCTTCGGTATTCCGTGCCTCCTTTTCAAAGTCCAATTCTTCCAACATGGACGACCGAATGTCTCCGGCGATAGCTGCGAGCGAAGTTCGCTCCCAATCAGGTTGCAAAAACTCCAAGACACGGGCAGCCACGTATATGAATCCTAGATCCGCCTTGAGAGAAGCATCAATTCCTGGCTTTTGAACCTTGATGACGACTTCTTCTCCTGTCTTGAGTCTGGCAGTATGAACTTGGGCAATGGACGCCGATGCCAAAGGTTTAGTGTCCACATAGTCAAAGGACTTGGAAATGGGCCCCAGCTCTTTCTCGATCACGCGCTTGATAATGGACCATTCCAATGGATCCGTCTTGTCCAAACACTTTTGGAATTCCAGCACGTATTCCTTGGGAAACAAGGTTGGACTTGAGGCAATAAATTGTCCCAATTTTATGTAAGTGGCCCCCAACTTTTCAAAGAGAGTTCGAAGGACCTTTGGTACAGAAAAGGTGGGAACTTCTCTGCTCATTCCAGGGAGGGGTGGAGTGGGCAAGAATTCTTTGAAGGTATCAGCAAAGGCCCGGTACGCCTGAAAGGTTCGGGCGGGACCAGCTCTTGGACCAGCGTCAACAGCGGCTTGAATGATGTCTTGAATCAAGGCGACTGCTTCTTCTTGGGATCGATCAGTGACGCTTTTCTTCCTCCGACTACTACTACTGCTGCTGCTTGTGGTAGCCCGAGAAGACATTTCCAAATGAGAGATCTTTGGGTTCATAGTTGTCGTCTTGACAGGGGATAGCATTTGGCCGTTTGGATTGGAAAGAAAAGCAACCGCATATGGCAGTAGCACCAAGGAAAGGAACATTATTCGTGGCATCATTGTTGGCTTCGTCTTTGGGAGTGGATGAAGAATCCGTTGGGTTTGCTTCGAGAATTCATGAAGTAGTCGTCATTCGTCAAGCAGATTTGTGTTTTCAGAAATGATTTGAGTCAGCGAGTCGATTGAGTCGTATGGAAGTAGACCGAAAAGTTTAGTGCAGTGTACAGTACTAGTACCGGTACCGCAGTAAGTGAAACCGGTAGTCGAAGATCTTCATCTCACAATTCAGTAACGTAACTCTGATGACGAAGGACGACATATTGCTTACAAAAAAGAAAGATCGTTTGGTCTATTACGAGATTAAGTGGACAGATAGATATAAAAGTTGAGGGAACCTGATAACCATCACTTCTCCACCGTTGTATTCAGAAGGGTCAGAAGTGTTGGTGTTCGGGAGACAACAAGAACAGTGGTGATGGGGATAAACGCCTAATCCTCTAAGTACTGGAACCAAATCGCCATTCTTCCTCTAGTAAGACCCGGCTACACCCATTGTAACTAGTTTCACCAGAAGGAAAGATTCGGAAGACGAAGGCATTTCTGCCATTCCTCGATCATCCTCACCCGTATGTTGTTGTATCTTCCCGTAGTGCTCTGATAAAGCAGAGCTATATGAGGTGTGTTATACCTCAAACGTACTCTCGTTACGAAAGGAACGTCCACTGGCAGCAGCTGAAAGCAACAGAGAGAAAGGGAGAAAGTTGGTAAGAAGAGGCACGTCTCGTCACACAATATCATATTCAGCCAGTCCAATTCATCCTCCAGTTGGAAATGAATCCGGTCTGCAGATCAATAGCACATATATAATCATAATGAACGTACCAGCTGCATGTTCCTGAAATTTCAGTATTGTTCGGTTCATTTCCAAACACTTCTTCCATCGGGCTCCAATGAGCGAGCATCGATTCTTGTCGTTACTTCGCAACCAGAGCGCAATTCTGTCTTGGTTTTTGCGAATCGACACAACAGCCCCACACACTTCATCTCCATCCAAATCCAAAGTTTCACCGATGATGGCAAGGACGGTAAAGAGCCACCATTCATCGCACCTTCCACTCTTGGAATCCTTCTTGGGTATCGTCAAGACAAACTTTCCGCCGTCCTTATTTTGTGGGTCTTCCCACATGGGAATGACGCCTTCCTTGAAGACGTGGTAGTTGGAGTTGGTAGGTAGCTGAGAAGATGCCTTCAAGTTGTTGAAAATGCGCCAAAAGGACTCTATCGTGTCAAACGAACCACAGTTGGTCAAATTGTCCTTCCAATCCTTGTCGGGATCCGCCAAACGAGGATTATCGAACCACATGGTCCATTTTCTATGGAGATGCACAGTCTCATTGGCATCGACTTCTATGGCAACAATATTCGCGGCGGACATTTTAGCTTGTTGGATATGGAAATGGAAGGTCTTGGAAGCTGAGGTGCGTAAAGTGAAGAAACAAGGCAAAGGTTGAAGAGAGCGTCTTGTTCTTGATGTATTGAATAGAATGAGGTCGATATGAATCGCTTTCTGACTGCTCTTTCTATCGATTTCGTTTGGAAATAGTCGTGAATCCAAACTTCAAACGTTGATGTTGTTGTTATCACTTCCCAATGTTGGATGGTCGTCCCTCCGTCTTGCTACGAACAGGTCGTACGTCTCTGTTCGTCACCACAAAATTCTTGCACCGGAGGGGACGGGCAGACTATATTGGGTGTTCCCCCAAACTATGCAACAAATCACATCCATCAAAACATTTTCTCAGATCGAAACCACAACCAACACAAACAACATCACCACCTCTCACCATGAATGCCAACATTCCGCTGGAAGAAGTCTTTCCGTTTTCGCCTCGGGTTGCTCGTAAAGTTCTTATTTGTGATTCTATCGAGACAGACGGCCGCTTTGTCTGCTATACCTACGCCAAACAAGCGGTCAACGCAACCTGCCCTGTCCTGTGGTTGTTGGGGACACCAGTTACAGAAATGCAAGTGGCAACGGGTCTCAAGAAAATGGGATGCGATGCGGGGGCTTCCTATTTACGGGATGAATCCTTAACGAGCGCTGGCGGTGGAAACAAGACCTTGACGATCCGCTCTCTGGCGAGTGAATTGGCCACTGCAACGCTCGACTTGAAAGATGACGAGGAAGAAGAATGGAGCGAGGAAGCCTTTCTAAAACAGTTGTATCAACAAGCCAAAGAGTGGCTACTGGAAAAATTGGAATTGGCATCGACCACTGATTCTCCCTGTTGGATTATTTTGGATGACATGTCCACCCTTGCCACCATGTTGTCGGAAAGTTTGGTCTACCAATTCATCGACACTCTGATTGCTCTCGTTTCTCGTTTGGGCAAAATGGACCAAGTTGGTATCTTGATTCGTGTATCCAATCAGCTTGATCAGACACTATTGAATCAATCCGAAGAAGATTTTATCAAGGATCAAAGTGGGTGGGTTGGTGCTGGAGGCTTGGCACTTCGTTTGGCTCGCCGGCAAGACCAACAAGATTGGATTCCCTGGGAACGCAGTTTGCTCGAAAGCATGGATGGCGTCGTAGATGTATTGCCCTTGGCTTCTGGTTATTCGCGAGAAGCTCATGGTCGGCTCATTTTTTCCGAATTACCCAGTGGAAGGGGATGGTCCGAATCGTCGACCAATACTACTGTTGCAACCACGTCAAGTGCAACAACGGCTTGGAACAAGCTAGTCTTCAATTACTGCATTCATGATAATGGAGTAAAGGCTATTCGCCTGCGAGTGCAATGATTCTTCTGTATGATAGCAACACAGGAACGTTGAACTCGACATTCGTCGACAATCCCATGAAGAGACGGTAGCCCGGTATCAAATCACAGCACTGGACGATGATTCACTCGTACCTCTTTGCACTACTGCGAGGAAAACCATATGAAGCACAAGATTGGTTATGGCGAGCTTGCCAGTTGGGATGTATACCATGATAAGACTTGCTACATGAGTAGATAGTATTTCTGGACACAACCCTGCCAAAAATGAAGTCGATACTTTCTCTAGTCTATTCGACATAGATTTTGTAGTTATGCAATGGTTTATTTACGTCTAATGGCATGGATTCTATTAAAATTATCTAGTATATGCAGGATTGCTGACTTGTGTCAACAGTTTTTCTATTCCAATTTTGTGTTCTTTGCAGTCTTTCTCTCTACTTGTTGAGGCAGCACCAGCAGCAAGTAGGACATGATGCCCCAGGCTACCAACCAGTGAAGTGAGGATGAAATGACCCAAGACAAGGGATTGGGGTCTCCCTCCATGGTGGCGGCTTCTGCTATCTCATCGTCGCTTGTCACTTGATTCAATATTCGAAACAGAAAGGTTCTGTAGAACGGAACAGTGACAGCCGCCACATTTTGCAAGACATCCAGAGCCGCAAATACCGAAAAGAGGGAATCCTTAGGTGCCTCTCTGGTCAACAGCGATCGTAACGACAAGTGCATGAGCGTCATGCTCGTCGAAATGAGTGGCGAAAGAACCATTAGGAACAATGGCAAGGATTGCTGTCGTTCGGCCAGAGTGGCCACTCCCAAGATGAGAGCCGAAATGGAAATTGCCCTGGCTTCAGGGCTCTTGGCACCTCTGCCCAAATAATGGAGCAAGGGACCAACGCAAATACTCTGAACGGTAAATCCCACAATGCGTTGGTAGGACTGAATGTATCCCTTGACGTGAGGCTCTACTTGGTACATGTCCTCATAGTAGGTTCCTAATCCCGAATAAGAAGTGGCCCGGGTGATCCAGCAAAAGACTAGCAGCGAAGCAATGACAGAACCAAGAGATTTTGATCGAAAGCATGACTTGAGGTTGGACCAGAACGAGGCATTGCTGGTGGCGATTCTTGTCTTGTTTGCACATTGTTTGCTGACAGTTTGCGAATCCGTATCAGTATAGTCATTATCTTTCAGAAAGATGGCTGCCAAAATGATATTCACAACAAAAAGGCCGGAAGCGAGAAGTGCTGGTGCCTTGGGGTGCACATGCTTGAACATGATGGCCCCCAAGGATGGTCCAATGACCCAAGCCGCCGTTACGCTAGACTCCAAACGTCCCATGTGTTTCGTGCGATTGTCTTCAGTGGTATGTTTTGTGAGGATGGAAGTCGTGACTGTCATGGTTTGTTTGACCAAACCAACCAAGACTCGACTCGCGATCAGCCAGCCAAAGCCACCATACACAATCATGGAATATGCCAGAGCCGATCCTCCAAATGACATGAACAGTAAATTCTTTTGGGTCAAGTACCTGGCATCTATCAGGGCCCCCAATCCCAACCCACCCACAATCTGTGCCGCTGAAAACACACTCGCTAACAGTTCGCGCTGATTGGCACTGGCAATTCCAGCCTGTTGATAGTATTGGAATAGCAGAGGGACAACCAAGGAGACGGCCACCATGTCAATAAAGACTAAGATTGGCAAGGATATTGTAGGATGAAGATGTGTTCTCTTTTCTGTTGTATTCGTGCTTTTAACATTCACGTCATATTGGATAAAGCCATGTGGATTTTCTCTAAACTTGTCATTCGCACTAAAATGACAGTCAGCAGAGCTTGCTTCCCATCTACCGGTAGACTCTGAAGATTCATTGTCACTGTCGCTTTCCAGTGAGACATTGGGACAGAGGTGTAGCTCTGTTTCTTGCCTGGGCAAAGGTGGCATGTTCAATTAATGGAAAACTTTGGCAGTTCAGATATAATAATGATGAATTTTATAAGCAGAGTACAGTACTGGTACCGGTACTGTAGCAGGATGCCGGTATTTGAATTATGATGCCGTGAATTGGAGAAGGTTTCAATACGGGTTCGTTCAAAAATAGAGTTCCTTCTCCCAGCATTAGTGTGAGAGGCCGTTTGTGACGTAAGAGCGTGTGTGTTGGGGACGTCAACTCCCCATTGATCCTTCTCCAAATATTCAACAAAATAATTCCCCCATGTTCGATGATTCATTCCCCCTTCCCCTCAATTTCCATAAAAGCCCCTAAATAGCGGATGATGCTTCCCTTTTCCCTCAATATCGCAACGACATATCACCATACCGGTAGCATTACATCTCCCAACATAGTTATCCTTTTTAATGAGTACCAATCCTCTTACAACGGCTGCTGCTGCTGCTGCTGCTGGTAGTAGCAGCTCATCCACTCCTACAACCTCCCGTACAGCTATGAATGCGACGCAAACCCAGCAAACCGCAACAACATCCAAAACGCGCACCTATCAACACTCCTACCCAGTGGTCCCACCGCCACCTCCCACACGCCAGGAAAGATCACGAGCCGCCTATGACGAAGTTGTTCAAGCGTTATCGGTCGATATGCCACTCATTATGCACGCCAGTGGGGATCCGGGTGAGGCGGATCCAGATTCGGTTCGACTTTTGTCTGAGCTGACAGCCAACTACATTGGCAATTTGGTCCACGCTGCCATGGACGCCCACGCCATGATGCACCAGGGACATCAGGCATTGCCACCACCACCCTTTGAACGTGTCAAGCGACGATTTCCGCCGACCAGTGAGACAGGCAGTTCGGCACCTTATCCTTCCCTAACTCCAGAAGATGCTGCGAAATCAGGGTCAGCAGCAGCTGCCAACGCTACGGATGCCACCACGAGTACTAGTACAGATCGAAAGGAAGCCAAGAGACGGCGGATTACGGGAGATTTATTTGATGAACCGCTACCTGAACCCAAAATTAAAAAGCCCACATCAGCGAACTCAGCCAATGAAGCAGATGATGAAGAATGGGTTGGAGTTCAAGGGGTGGACTTGCACGAATCCAGTCGGACCAGAACTGCGTACACCGCAGAAGCAATATCCACTGCGGCTTTTATCTTCCCCATTTGCCATGATCCCGGATTGTATGGTAGAGTCATGGAAGTCCAACAAACCGCACGCCGATCAGTTGCACCGCTCTTGGTGGATCCCATTGTGCAGGCCGTAGTAGCCGAAGAAGGCAAAGAAATGGGTCGACGAATCATCAAGGCGCCCAAAAAGAAAAAGAAGGAAGCTGTTCCAGAAGGAGAAGAAAACGAGGAAGACGAGGATGAAGAGCATGATACAGAAGCATTGGAGGAACGAGAACAAGTGCAGGGTGCTACATGGCCGGGTTTGGAGTCTTTACTTCCAGTGCATGTAACAGCAGACTTTAAATCTGAAGGTGAATGAGACTAATACCGTAGAAAGGGAGTAGTGCTCCAAACTGAGACTACTTGGTGCTGCTGTAACAGTACACACACTGTAGTGCTACAATATTTTAATAATTCATGCTTCTAGATAGAGTACGACTCGACTCATTTGACCAATTGCAGTTTCAGACGATGGAGAGTTCGCTTCAGAGGCTGCCGGCGCGCAAATCTTGGATTTCCAAGTGTTCTTCAACGCAGCGTTCGTATCTTCATGCATGTGACACGATATGAATATGACGCGCAAGACATTTTACAATTTAGCAAGAGGTCCTTTTAGATCGGCGTTCCACCTTCTATCCCTATCACTCATTTATAATACCCGTTCCATTCCATTCCATCATGAACACTCGCAAGATATTCCTTATTGCCTTCTTGGTTGTTGCCATGCTTTCTTCCATGGCTGAAGCCGACGGAATCATGGACAAGATCAATAGTGCCATCAACAGTGCCAAGGCCACCGTCGAAGAAAAGATGGGAAAGAGCAACAAGATGGCTGATAAGGCTGCCGAAGCTGCAGACAAAATCAAAGAAACTGCTGCTGAAGCCGCAGAGGCTATCGAAGACGCTGCCAAGAAAGCCACTGAAGAGACTCCAGAAGAGCTCTAAATGGGTGGGAACCGCAACACTCGCATATGCGCCATAGACTATTATAATATGATTGATTCTGTGTGATCATGATAAACTTATTGGGTCGTGTTCGTATTTTTCTGGTGGAGAAGGAGTATGAATGGGAAGTGCTCTGAGAATGCTCTTCCCGCTGTGGGATGCGCACAATATTGCTACGTGGCAGTTGTCATTCCTTGCCTCACTAGCAACTAAATCATTAAATTTATCATTGTTACTCATGTATATGCATATACGTGCTATAATATTGTAGTTTATAGTTGCTCCGTTTTCTCCTCGGTCTTGAATTTTGAGATACTCGAAGAAAGTACTGTAAGGGCTTTTTTCTAATGCGGTACCAACTATTTATTTCTACCCACCAGGCTCATGCCAAGACTCGTTGCTGCTGATGTTGGTTTTCTCTAGCGGCGTGCCTTTGAGCTGCAATCCTTCTTGACTGTGCAATATCCTCTCGCATCTTGCGACAAACAGTCCCATCCTCTCGATTGTAAATGGGATTGGTTTCTTGCAACCATCCGTGCATACTGTCTATCCTTGAATCATGAGAGGGATGTGTCGACATGAACTCGGGTGGCCTACTATTTCGAGACCGCTTTCCTTTTTCTTCTTCTTGTTTCATCTTTTTGAAAAAGTGTTGCGCCGCTCGAGGGTCAAAACAGGCTCGACTTGCGAGATGCATACCAATCCGATCCGCTTCAAACTCTTGAGTCCGTGAATTTGGCATTTCCCTTAACAACGAGGCAGAAGGAATAATCAAGGACAATAGGGATCCCGATGGATCCACCAATAAGGACAAGCTTCCCAATAGTTGCACTAACAGGTTGGAGGAAATCTTTTCGCCCACATGTCGGGCCAAGGTGTGCGCCATTTCGTGTCCCAAGACGGCTGCCAATTCATCTTCGGTCTGGATGTACTGAAAGAGTCCAGTAAAGACAAAGATGTGATTCCCTGGCAAAACGAAGGCATTGGCTTGGTCCGATCGCACCACGGTAAAGGTCGGCTGCACAAAGGTGTTGTTGTTGTTGCCAATACTATTGTATTCCTGCGAAAATTCCAGAGCCGCTTGCGCAATACGAGATCCCACTCGTTGCACAGTGACCGAGGCCCGATGATCTTTGGGCAATATCTCAGACTTGTATTGCCGCTTTAGCTTGGCAAATTCTTGATCCCCCATTTGTGTTTCCCATTTAGTGGAAGTTGCAATCCACCGTTGCCGTTTGGTCAATGGGACCTCATCTTGATATCGCACATATAAATAACCTGCGCCAACAAGAGGAAGCGATATCATTGCGATCATGTAGGGTGGAATGGAATTATTGGAATGAGGAGGTTGGATATTGGCTCTTGTAGAACTACTAGTAGACAGAAAGGAAGCTTTTGGGATTGTTGTTGTCCTCGTTGACACGACAAGTCTTGGTCGTCCTCTTCTCGTTAATGTCGATGATAGACACTGTCTGGAAGCGGCTCCAATAAATCTTGGTAGAACAAACATGGTAGACTCTATTGATTTCTAGTCCAGAGTTATGTGCGGTACGTTTTGCTTCATGGACTGCAGGAGTGATGTGATGATATTGAATTCGTATACAGAGTTCAGGAGAAAGCTTCCATCCACCATACTGTACTGCCACCGATGATCGACTAACTCGCACGACTCGAATGGGTCGAACGAATCCATCAAACAATCATGTGTTCTAACTAACGGCCGCAGAAAAAGGCTGTACAAAAACTACTAGGAAGGCATCCTCGTATTCTCATTCTCTCAAAAACACGACAGATGACACGACAACTTTCAAAATAGCACTACAGTACCGGTACCGGTACAGTAGCATCATCTACTCAAGGTATCCACGCTTCATGTAGAGAGCTATCAATAGATTATACAGATATATATATATATAATAGTTGATACAAATATACAAATATTCGCATATCGCCATGACGGGAGTTTCTTGGTTCAATGGCAACAACGACAACGATGGCAACGGAGGCAAATCCTTTTCCATCAAAGAAGCGGCGCAAGCATTGTATCCTCCCAAACAAGGATTGATCAAAGCTTCTACACAACAAGGTCGATTTTCTACGCTATTGTTAGAGCATGGAGAAGAACACATTCAAGATTGGGCTGTCATTGTCTATTCCTCTCCCATTTCTTCTTCCGCAAATCCAGTCTTTTCCAATGTCAGCAGTCCGCGTCACAAGAAGCCTCCAGAGACGACCTGGGCCCAAGGCAATTCACTTCAATCTTCTTCAACAGCTGCTGCCAACAACAGCAACAAAAAGTCCAAAAGTAAATCCAAAAGGAAGAAATACGACAAGGATTCTTATCCAACTGTTCACATGACCAAAATTGAAGGACGCTTGCATTTGTGTTCCAAATCGATTGTCTTGGAACCAAATGATATTTCTCGCCCTATCGTTCGAATTCCCTTTTCGAAAATGGACGAACCGCCCAAAGAATTTCCCAGTAGCAATCTAACCACAACGACGGGCGACTTTGATCCCATGTGCATTGAATTTGCGAGCACCAAACACACCATTTGCAAGGCCAACAATTGCATTGGAGCTTCGGAAGGAGTGGGTTGCTCGACCAACTTCAAGGTGACATTTTTGCACTCGTCGCCAACATCTTGTGTTAAATTGTGTCAGCAACTATTTCAAATCATGCAGTTTTACAAGCCAGGCCATGGAACTTCGCCAGAATTGGAAGAGTTGCTCAAACCAATGTTGGATCGTCCCTTTGATCCCACCAATTTGTACGATGTTCGAGAACGACCGCTCACCTCCAATCTACGGTGCTCTATTTTTACGCCACTTCAGCAACAGAGGGGATGTCTCGTCATGACGCAAGAGCGGATTTACTTTCAATTTGCCCAAGGAGTTTTGGAAGGAGACTCGAGGGCCATTTCCTGGCATCCTGCTGACATTCAAGCGTATGCGAGACGATATCACGGATTGAAGGATTCGGCGGTGGAAATCTTTTGGAAGGACCAAACGTCTACGCTGTTGGCCTTGGAGAGGACGCACGAACGAGAACAAGTGGTTCGACTCTTGCCCAACAATGTTCCATGTCATACCGATCGAGAATTCTTGTTGCAAGCATCGCAAGACTGGCAAAAGAAGATTATTACCAACTATGATTATTTACTGCTAGTCAATTCGGCAGCGGGAAGAAGCTTTCAAGACTTATCCCGGTATCCAGTCTTCCCTTGGGTCATTGCCGATTACACTTCGGCAAAACTTGATTTGACCAAGGAGTCGACCTTTCGGGACATGACCAAACCAGTGGGGGCACTCAATCAAGAACGATTGAATTATTTTCAACAGAGGTACGAATCCATGAGGGACATGGAAGATCCATTCTTGTATGGAACGCATTATTCGGCGGCTGGTTATGTTTTGTACTATTTGGTTAGAAGTATGCCGGAGCAAATGTTGTGTCTGCAAAATGGTAGGTGCATAGATTGTTTTGGAACCCAGGAAGAGGAAAGTGTGATGTATTTTTGAAAGACCAACTTTTTGTCTCATCAAAATTGTTCACGATATTTCATTCGATAGGAAAATTTGATGCACCTGATCGTATGTTTCACAGCATTGATCACTGCTACAGATGCGTCCTTAGCAATCATGCCGATGTGAAGGAACTGATTCCCGAATTTTATAATCCCAACAACGATTATGACTTTCTTATTAATGCCCGGGGGCTTCAATTGGGTGCTACGCAGACTGGAGATCGAGTGAATGATGTTTCGTTGCCTCCTTGGGCCAGGTCTCCAAGGCATTTTCTCAAAATGAATTCCAAGGCGCTCGAGTCGGAGATATGTACGCAAATGCTACCGCGGTGGATTGATTTGGTGTTTGGAAGCAAATCGAGGGGAGAGGCAGCCAAAGAAGCACACAACCTATTTCACACGTCATCGTACATGGGACCATCGGATTTGGCATCCTTGGCGACACCGGAAGAACGGTTTCAGGCCGAACTGCAAGCGACAGAGTTTGGCATTGTTCCCGATCAGCTCTTTATTGGACCACATCCACTCCGACATGAAACTGTAGATGACTCCTTTGTTAAGCCAGACATTGGACGGGCTTCCTTTAGTGGGACGGAAGAAGGCAAGGGAGAGGGTGCTTGGGAGTTGCTGGAGACTCCATCTACCAACTTCATGGATCAACCAGAACAAGATCAACAGCCAGAATTTCTCAATCCAATTCCCACCAATTCTTCGGAATCAGACTTTGGGTCAGAAGGTCTGAATCGACATCATCCGTTTAATGATCTTTACGGAGGAACTGGGCCAAATCCCCAAAAGAGTCGCAAGAATGATCATCCTGGAATTCCTTTGAGTGGAACTGGTGATTTGTCTGAAAAGTCGGACCGAACGGGCACTGGATTTGGAGGCATCCCACCTGCGCTGTCGAATGCATCATCTTTCAGCGCAGGTCCCCTTTCACCAACAGCAACCGACCATGCAAATGCTCGAGCTTCCGCGTCCACGGAATGGGATATCAAATTTATTGAAAAGTCTCGTATTCATGCAGATACAGTGAGTGGATGCTCTGTGATTAGCGGAACCCCACCAAACAACCAATCCATACTGGCCACCACTTCATTAGATGGTGGTCTCAAGATTCACAACGTTTCCTTGGCAGCCAAGGAGGCTGAAGAATCTGCCAAGCAACAAGGAATCACAAGTACGTTGAGCCGGTTCTCGTATATTACCATGAGTCGGGCAGCTGGAAGCAGTTCCAGTCAGCCCAAATTGTCCGAATTCCGATCGCACACATCCCGAGACGCACTTGCTTGTCTTGCTCTTATTAGCGATGGGCATGGTGGCAAGATTGCTTTTGCGGGGGGGCACGATGATGTGGTCTTTGCCTATGGGATTACCAGTGGATGTGCAGTGGCATCAGTCTACTCACATCGCGATGCTGTCACTGGATTGGACGTCATGGATAGACCTTACTTTGTTCCAGAATCAAAACTATGGAGAGATCAGTCGACTCATATTATGGTCAGTGGCAGTTGGGATGCCACAGTCAAGGTTTGGTCTGTGATAGTCTCAAATGGTGAAACTGTGTCGATCGACCGCGAGCCTCTGGCCGAACTATTTGATGCCGATTCGCCGATTGTGTGTGTTTCGTCAGCTTGTGTCCCGAACGAAGAAAGTGTAGTAATTGGTGCTGGATGTGCAGATGGAAGCTTTTGTGTGTGGAAGATTCACGGCGATGGGGTTAAGGTTGTGATCCACAAAGAGCAAGCCAAACGCGGATCTGGTCCATGCTCGGTGTTGAAGTGGTCAACAATGAGTGGCAAATTGCACCTATTCACTGGACTTTCTACCGGCAAGGTGGCCTCTTTCACTCTGAAGGATGGATCGATGAAAAAAATTAGTGCTGCATCGGTGGGAGTAGCAGTTCAATGCCTAGCGTATTCAGAAAATATTCTATTGGTGGGCTGTTCGGATGGAGGGCTTCGATTGATTCCAACCCGCGAAGGCGCTCAATTCACCACAGATCTATCGCTGTGGCCATCGGTCAATAATAAATCGGCACCGGGCCTCAGCTGCCTCAGTATGTCGTTTGTGGGCAACCCGACCGATGGTTCCGGAAAGTGCGTTTGCTGCACCGGTGCCGAAGATGGCAGTGTTGCGTTGTTTGAATTGAAGCGAGCGCATCGATAAATCATGGATAGCGATATCAGAACAATTGATGTAGATATTCTCCTTGTCTCGTCTGGGTTGAACTGCAGATAGTTGATGTTTTATGTACGAAGTATAGTTTGGAGGGCATATGCAGAAAATGGTACAACTCATGGTGCCACAAGTGATCTAATTAGTACTTTTGTTGTGTGCTAGCAAGAGGAAATCTATCTTATCATTGGTTTGTGGACTTGGATGATAATTCGCATTCAGCTGTCGTCAGCATTGTTTCGAAAAGAATGGTACATAATGACCCAACGGCAACAAGGGTGTCACGCAACAGGTTGGATGGATAAGTCTTCTTGGTATCATTGTTATTGACTATCCACTTTGCCCATATCTATGCTAGCATTCGGATCAAGATCCCCGATATTTCTAGTTATTGTCACCGGCCTCAGAGTAGACCTTTTCCCAGTTAATTTTCTTGGAAAGATTTCGTTCCTTCATTCTGGAGACTGGTTGCAACTGTCCATTTTCATCTTGCACCCACTTGAACAAGCCAGTGGATGTGGGTCCTCGGTAGTCCTCTGTTTGATGAGATTGATTAAAAGGAATTTGGTCAGTAGTGAAAGCGAAAGCTGGTCAAATTTCGCGAAAAACGCAGATATCAAAACTCACCGGTTGGGTCGGCAACTGTACGATCTCTCTTTCGGCCAGAATCATTTTCTCCATAGAAGTTACTCTTGCGCTTTCCGTAGAAAGAGGCTCCAGCTCCAAGTCTTCGACTGGTAGCGTCGTCAACAAAGGCATCCAACTCCTCAAAGAATTCGCCAATCTTATCAAAAATACCAAGAGAAGTTTCCGATCGGCTTTGTGCTTGTGGTGCAAAGGCTTGTGCCAAGCACAAGCTAACAACAAGAACGAAAAGGCTGGCCCAGAGATTACGAAGATCCATTTTACTACGTTTTTGTGTTGTTGATCGAACAAATGATTCCTTGGTCGTCGTCATGGAGTGAAATTCTTTGCCAGCTCAGCCGAACAGTTTTTTTGTGAGTGCGTCGTGTCGTTTGTCTCACAGCTCTGTCGCTCAGACGTCACTCACAGAATAATAGCACACAAAATAGGCAAACATAGTCCTTGTTATAAAATGTTGCTACCGGTATATTAGAAATAGACTGCAGAAATGATTATATCTTGTATAAAATCTCGCTCTAATCATCTCGCTCGATGATGCCAAGAATATCCATAGCCCTTGAGCTTGTGCCTTCTTTCAAAACGGTTTGCAACAACTCCAATTGGACTATTGTTGCATCTTCCATATCTGATAGCAATGAAGCCAATTCCGTAGTTGCAACTGAGTTCTCTGGCCATGACAACAATAAACACTTTAAGATCTTGTCATCCATACGCGCTGATAACTGCCTAAGCCCAAAGCTTGTGTGTTTGGAAAAGTGCACAGCGAGTTGAAAATACTTTGGAAGAACAACAGATTGGTCGACAGCGTCAAGTGCCACGCACCAATCAAGGAAATCAGCTGACATTGCATCAAGGTTGAAGAGTACCTCGTATAGCTTTCGGAGACCTGATTCTTCTGGAATAGCACTTCCCATTGACGCTTCTAATTTAGCCAGTCCATCTATGGCCGATTCAATCCTCTGGACAATGTCGTGAACACCCCATTTGCTCGTCTCATTGTTGTCCAGATAGTCATATAAAGCTCCCAATGAAAATATAACATCATCAAGGCTTGGCTCGTCGTCATTAAAGGTGAGCACCTTTCGAGGGAGCTGCTTCTTTTCTTCTCGCTTTAGAGCATTCATATATCCGTCTGCTTCGTTCAAAACCAGCGCATGAAGCAACGGTTGCCCAGTTTGCATTCCATTTGTCACAGATAATGATGTCGCCACTTCCAGTACCTTGTCATGAAGGTTCGAAGGTCCAAGAGCCTTCAAAGTTGTCTCCACAGAATGCTCTAGATCTTGTTTCAGGCAAGTATTTGACAACTCCAAGGCATACGCCCGAGCTTGTTCGATGTCCGTTTCCGAGCTGGACAGATGAATCGATCGTTGATCAAATGCATCTTTACAATAGGAATGTAGGACTTGCTGATTGATAGTTTTCTTCATGACTTGACAAATGGCAAATTCGCATATTTCCTTCAAGCCATGGTTATGATGAAAGAAAGCGTCTTGAAGCCTTCTCACAATGTCTCCTTCGCCCCTTTTCCCCAGCTCATTCCACGAGGCCCGGGTGGAGGGCTGCCAAGCGTTTCCAGAGGCATTCTTCAGCGGCGATTCATCCATCACTTTATCAGTTGCAACACTTAGCCCGTGGCTGACAATTGATGGTCTAAGCTTCCGTGTCTTGATGGGAGATCTACCAATCGGCGAACTATTCAAAGAATCTAGGAGATTCGAAAGATCCTCAATGTGCTGGATCGATGCAATCGTTGACCCCATACTGAGTCCAACAGCAATCACGTCTAGGCATTTTTCTGGCAAATCTTCCGCTTCAGGAAGGTTGTCCACAGGCAATGATGTCAGCTTCGGTAGTCCGGTGATCGAGTGGAAAAAGGATTCCAATGAAAATAAAACAAGTTGCATACTGGGGCCAAATCGTGGCGTCGTCTCGTTACCGCCAGCGCACAAACGACTCTGAAGTGCGCGGAAATTAGCCAGGACTTGACGAAATTCTCTCGAGGTAAGCGATAACGAGTCCCACTTTGCCATTCTTAAAAGCTCAATTGTCCACGGCACCGTCAAAATTGAATAACCCTGGAGCCAAGATTCCTCAATGATGGTTATGCACGATAATCCAAGGCAGTCTAGTTGTTGCATTCCGCCCGAAATTCTCATTGTTCTATCGTCAGGGTACATTTTTGTCAACTCCAACCCGCCATCGTGCCAGTTCGGGGAAAAAATCAAGAAACCAAGGAAGCGTGCCAGTATTTGTAGGTCTAGTATCCGTTTCTCCAAGTGATTCACTTCATGATCTGCCGATAACCTTAGAATCGTGGCGACCAGGTGATTTCGAAAGTGCACTCCCAAGTTGTAGCTATCGGCTGACAAGAGAAAAATGAAGAAGAACTCTTGATATCCCGGAAAGCTAATTTGTGCTTCCATCCAGGGAGAGCCTGCTGTTGATTCTTTTCGCTTGGCAAGAACTAGTTTCTTGCTACTCTTGTTCGTATGGGAAGTTCGACTAGAGAACCGTTTGTGTAGTTTCTGTGGAATAGTGAAAAGGTCAGACATGAAAGAAATGAGTTTGGTTGGTACAGTGTTGCTCACCTGTAACTTGTCTTTATCAGCAATGTTCAACACCTCTTCGTCAGTTTCTTGAACTGGAGACAGGCCAACTTGCAACAACAGCTCACACAGAAATTCAGCAAACCAAGGCATGTTCACACTAAGAACATTTCCAATAATCTTTCTCGATTCTCTCCGTAGATTCTCTTTTGCATTTTCCATATTTTGTGATTGAAATCCTTTGCCCTTCTCACTCATGTATACCCTCAACTGATGAAGGAAAAAGTCCCTGGTGTCTTCGCGGTTCTTGTAGATTGACATTTCTGCTTGAGTCTTATAGTTGTGCCGTGAATCCCTCCCTGCCTCAAATGGTAGACTCAAGATTGCATGCGTTCCAACAACATCTTCCGCTACTCCAAGCCCACACCCAATACGTTCATGTACGATAGCGGAGAGGCGGTCCACCAAAGAAGAGCACTTGTTCCGGAGTGGAACGCACTGAATAAGTGACTGTAGGAGAGGTATACTTAGGTTCTCAATGATATCCCCCAGCTCAGATAACGCCTTTGCAGCAAATGTGTTGCATCTTTCTGGGCTGGAGAAGATGGACCGGAAAAAGACCCCCTCTGGATCCACCAACGTTTCGGTCATTACTACAGGATTGCAATTCTCACCGTCAACTGCCAACAACCGAATGAGCAGGTGCAGTTCCATAGCGGTCGATGGTATGAGCATATTCTTAATCAAGGCAATGTAGATTTGGACCAGTCGAGATACGTGACACTCTGGCGATTCTATGACAGGCTTTGGTTGTACTGCATTCGGTAGTTGATCCACATTTGGCTTGGCTGATACTATAGGTTGCGCAACAGGTCGAGACTTCTCAGTCAAGTCCACCACTACAGCTACTTTGGATTCACCCCAGGCGTTTGATACTTTTGTTGTTACCTGTTGGTCTTTGGCTCCACTCATTCGACTTTCCAGCGACATCATTTGATTCTTCCCTGTTAGTTTTGAAATATTCCCATCTCTATTTCCTAGATTGGACGATTGCTGTCCCCAAACAGAGTTATTTGGGACCGTTGTTGCTTGGGTTAGCTGAGGCCGTATCCTTTTTTTCTTCGTTTTGCCGACTAAGGTAGTCACAGTATTGGTGTTTGTCTTCTGGAGAGATGATGCTTCCACTTTCTTCATCTTTGATTTCTTTCTTGGTATGAGGATATTGGAAGCTGCTAGATGTGGCTTGAATTTTGTATTACTATTTCCTTTGTCGCTGCCTCCTAACTTTGGGAATGTAGTTTCGAATGATGATGATGCTGTCGTGAACTCTGGTCGAGGCAATGATTGATCATTGTTCAGTTGCGTCGTGGCTTCTCCATGTTGCGGTTCGAGGAACTTCTGACACACATCCCTTATACAGTTCAAAATAGCAAAAGATGTACCATATCGATATCTACATCTGAATCTCTTCCCACAAGACAGAATCTTCTGAGCTCGCAAAGCTTCTGCATCTGTTTCTCCATCCAACCACTGGATCATCATCTTGACTTGGTCGCTGGATAGCAAAGCCTCTTCAACTTTCGCCATCGCAGTGTAGCGGTGACAGGGGCATGCTATCTTATTCTCACAAGTGTTAGTGGATTCGCCGTGGTCGTCCAATCCCAGCGTCGAGATGGATTTCTCCATAGTAGATTCATTCCAAATTACAGTATGTGTTGTGTCATTTTTAGACATGGTTTGTGATTTGGGTTGAGGGACGGACAGCTCTTGAGGACTGCCCGCTGAAGAAACAAAAAAAGAAAGCCAAAATCTTCGATCGCAACGGTGAAGGGGAGAATGAAAAGAAGCCGTTGCAGACAGCCCCAAAGATTCAAATGCAAGAACTCGGTGAAGACGATCTTGCTGTAGCCCGCGTACTTAGTCGCAAGGGAATTGAGTTGGCGAATGAAGAAATTTCAATCAAGCCCTGGAAAAACTTGACAGATCACTCGCGATACGTGTGAAAAAATTGGAAGACATGGTGATACGGCGAACACCTACGGCAACATTGATAGAGTCTTATTGAATCAAGAGAAATACGGAAAAGCCGAAGAAATGTTCAGGAAAGCTCTGGATATCAGGCTCGAAATTCAGCCAGAAAATCATTCTGAATTGAGGAAGTAGTACGAAATGATTGTAGTATGCCTAAAAAAGCAAGGCAAGATTTCAGAAGCAAAAAAGATTCTCAAACAATTACTTGCGAGCGTAGTACAAAAACATGGGGTAGATGACCACCGCGTTGTAATGTCGTACAATAGCATTTCGGGACTGTTGGCAGAGGTAAATAGGTTGGACGATGCTGTTCAGATGCTTGATAAAAGCATCGAAATATGTAATCGACTTGCGGAACGAGAACCTTCCGACACAAATAGACAAGTATTGATAACATCTCTCCGCAACAAAGCACGCATGTTGCAAAAACAAGGCTACCCTGAAGCTGCAGCCGACTTGATGAACAAGGTGACAGTCCTTCACTTCGAAATGCTCCTAGAAGGTGAAATCTGCACCACAACCACAGCAGATATCTATTAACAACTTGCAGGTATGTATCTTGATCGAAACCTGCTGGACTTGGGCAGCCATACTCTTGCCCGAAGCTCTTGAGATTCGTCGAGAGGTGCAGAGCGATGAACATCCGAAGACGAAGCAGCTCGTGCAATTGCTCAATGATTTGTCCGTTGTTGACAAAAATGACAAAGCACAAGCAAATTTACATGACATAGATAGCAGGGCACAAGCTCTAATACGTTGATGGCATCTTTACGAGGAAACGTTTGATGGTCATCTGAATACAGCAGTATTCTACGATAATATTGTATATTCCACTCTTGGAGCTTTTGATATGAATAACCAGTTTTGGCTGGAACAAGCCATTGCTTCAAGTGCAGAAGCACTCAAGATTCGCCGAACAACACTTGGTGACGATGATGCTGACACGAAGAGACACATGGAAAACCACAGATCTTTGCTGGAGCAGCTCGTGGAGAATGAATCGAAGCTAAGTCAGGAGATTGACCTGTATCAGGTGTCACAGAATGAATAATAGGTGCAAATCAAGAGATGATGAAGACTTAAAATTCTTGGGTCTTATGGTTTGCTAGTAGACTACCGGCATGTGCTTTCCATGCTACTGTTAGAAAAATAGTAATCACCTAACGGGAGATCGACGTCGATAAATGTTTTGAATCGACTTTGGAGGATAAATCCTCATTGGGATAAAACTGTGTCAAGAAGAATCATGGTAATGAGGGCTCGACTACACTACAAGGTCCTCCCACCTGATGTTAAGGATTGCAAGAAGGACGTCCTTGGCAAGATTCCTTCCACAGTGAATTTAATTGTTCAATCATATATGAACACACCATAGGCGATGAGTTCCAATGCACAAGGGGGATTCAAGGGATCGAACAGTTGTCTTTTTTAAAACCAATATTATTCTATACTTTTCGATACAAAACTCTAGATTTTTGGTCGGCATAAAGCTTCACAGGCCTGGTTGAGTTATCTGAGTTTTCGGTTGAGAACTCTATTCGACTGAACAAACTGCGACCATCACACCGGACCAAAATCGGCAGTGTCGTCGTAGCTTCAGCTCCCAGATCAGCACACTGAAATTGTGCACGAATATCTATAAATTCCCCTGCATGTAATTTGTCGTTTGTCCACGAAAGAATTCGTTTCAAATCATCCCAAAGCCCCCCTTTGCGAGACATGACAGCAGAGTTGCCATTAATATCTGGCGGAATCACCATCATGATCACCATTTTTTCGAGCGGCCTCTTATTTTTTGGATTTGCTCGAATCCGTATTCCCACTTGACATTGCATTCCAGTTCTTTGAACCTTTGATTTTAACAGCTAGTATAGTAGGAGAAGCAACATTGAAATTAATGAACCAAAGGAAAAGGGCTACACCATATTTCCGAGCAAAATAAAGCTACTTACCATTGGCATTGGTGTCAACTGAGGAACACAGTAATATCTAATCAGAGGAGCATCCATCGCTTCCGGTTTGTTCAACGATATTTGAAAGATTTGGTCTTCTGGCTCGAGAGCTAGATGCACAAGACTTCCTGTTACGTTCCTGCAAACTTTGGAGGGTTCATACTGTTCAATGTGTCCTCGCTTGTCGCGTACAGTCAAGCAAAATGCATCTGGCATGTCCGGTTTCGGAATGATCCCTATGCTTCCAACCACTCGACATGTGGGTGAGGACGACATTTGATCAAAAAATATCGACAGTCGTTCTTCAATCTTGATGGAGACGCTCTCGTTGACCTGGCTTATCTGTTGCGGTGAAAATCGATCCATAGCATCCGTTTCTGTCAGGAACGGATCGTCATTTGCGAACAAATTGCCATCCCAGGAACCATTGTCTGCCGAATATTGAAGTACGGCTGAATCAAATGACGTATCAAAGGTTGGATGATCAAAACTGACGTTCCTGCTGCTATCTCTGCTATCGTTTTTCGTGTCTGAAGAAAATGAAACGTTCAGCTTCTTTTTCTCTTTGCGACTAGGGTCTATCATGTTGGGCTGGTTTCATTCTCTGTACAGTGCAGCTTGATGATGGTTTTGTGGTTGTACCAATGCTTTGGCGCCATTTTGGTCGGTTTCGGAAGCAGGAGTATCAGGTACAGAAATAGATGTAATACTAATGGCATTTATGGGGGACAGCGCAATTTTGAAATTCTTATCCCCCCTTTCGTCGAGCTGGCCGGTCCTATGAGTCGTCCAAACGAGAAACTGAAAGCTCAACGGAAGCTGATGCTGTGTGACTACCATCAAGTATCATCCATCCAAGAGAGAAGCGGATGCCCTAAAGCGTTGTCAACGTAATCCAATTTGCAAAACGATAAAAGAATACACTAGAATATGACGAGTACGGACGAGGATCCTGCCGCCGAAATCACGGCAGCCTTCGGAACGTTTGATCTTGATGAGGAGGCTGACGACAATGACAACAAACCCACAATTGACAGCTACGATCCTTTTGGTGTTGGTGCGCCACTCGCTTCAGAACCCAAGAAAGTCAGTCCAGAAAAGAAAAAGTCCCCAGTTAAGAAAATTAGTCCAGAAAAGAAAGATCCACCAAAGAAGTACTTGGCCAAAGACGTTGCACCGAATTCAGTCCCTCCCCTAATTTCCATCAACTTTAAGATACACGAAGAAATCTCATCCATTGCCATTATGGACCCAGAAATGGAAGGAGCTTCTGAGATTTTTGTTCAAGGAGGTGTAATGGCACAAATGACATCTTCTGATGCACACAAGAACTCCCCATGGTTTTTGGATGCCAAGACAAAGACAGGAGAAATTGTGGACGTGACTCCAAATGTGTCATATTCCAAAAAGTGGGATGCCCAAAAAGGCCAACGCAAGAAAGCGAGCGTAATAACAATTCCAAAAGCGACAGTGGGGTTTGTCCCGATTGCTAGCTATTATTTCAAAGAAACAATTGAGCACATGCCATTGGTAAGCAAAGAAGAGAATGTCTGTGTATTTTTGTCTATTATATATTGATGTGAAACTTTTTATTGACGAATTAATCATCATTATATTGTAGCTCTTGGAACGACGAGTCACGCGAAAGGGAGACATTGTACAAGTCGCTGTCCAAGTCCGATCAAAGCTTACAAATCTTTACGATCTGACGGACTTGTCAATTACGTTGGCGCTGCCAGATCCTGTTATTGGAGAAGATGTGGAGGTTAATGTAGGAGAGGGAATATATGAACCAGTCAAACGTGTAATTACATGGAAGCTCAGCGCACTGCAAAAAGGTGACAGCTTCATGGTTAGTGTTCGGTGCTTGGTGAATGACGATGCGGATGATGCTTTGTTGAAGTTCCCAATCGTTCTGAGGTGCAGCTCTCTGGATCAGATCAGTACTGGTGATTTTAAAGCAGTCGAAGCCACTGGCTACCCGGCTGCAATCTCTTCCGAGGTGATATCTAGAACTTTCCGATTGATTCACAGGGTGAAATGAGAGTTTCACATTGCATATCTTGGACTATGTTTTCATGTTCCTTCCTCAATGCAAGATTTCAGTTGTAGAAAAAGTATAATACGGTTTATTTATATAAGACATGGATTGGGTATTTTTTCTCTATGAAGTTGTCACTAACTTGAAGTGTAGTAGCTACCTACTCCATGGTTTTTCATTTGTTTCATGTACATTGAACATGTCCCGGTATATGGCATCCAATGAATTCCTCTCCTGCCAGACGGGCAGTGGGTCGTAACCCGGAAGTCACCGTTGTCGGTTTATAATCGTCTTCATTTTGTAGAATGGCTGACGCGAGATCGACTAATTTTATCGCACCCACATTTCCGTTGCTGAACACACCAACCCGTTTTCATCATTGATGAAAGTTGCACATCAGCCTCTTGTCCTTTGTTCCTTCAGTACACACTTGGACCATTACCTTTTGAAGGTGTTGTGCAAACAGTTTGTCACAAGCCTGTATACTGAGTTAGAAAGTAGTTTTTGAAGTGTCTTCAATAATCAAGAAAAGATGACTTATCGATCGAGAGGGCGATCCATGGTGGAAGTGGTGTTGGTATGTTTCATCATGAAAAAGTGCCCTTGTGAATCAAGCGCATTCTGAACTGATCTCACCATTATCAACATTTTTCTTGATATGCAACAGGCCGTTTGCTTTGTTGTATTCCTAGTTGGCTTCATCACAGTTCTTTGTATTGGGAATTACTTCCGAGCGAAACGAGCACAAGAAAGGCAACGACAGCGGCGACTGTCGAAATTGGCAGGGGCCAGTGGTAACAATTCCGTGGCGCCAGGTTCTGTAGCGACTGGAATGTACACAAATGATGGGGGGATGTCGTATGAGGCGCCTCCGCATGTCATGGCCGGCGGTGTTCAAGCGTAAGACAGCATTGGGCGAAACTTGGAGCAAATGCGATGCTTTCGAACCAATCAACAAGTCATCACAAAACCAAATATCGGGATACCGGAGATCGCATTGGCTGATAGTATGGACACCGCTGGATTGTTACGCAATGGAAGATTCACTCTAGCCTGCGATCTGTTGTATATTATTTAAAGGTCGTTTACAAACATCTCGTTCTTCTTTCTACGCTGTACATTTCTTTCAGGCAACTACGCTTGTATAGTAGCTGGAATATTTTAATAAACTACTTGAGAGAATTGGATTCCATTGCCAGGTACCGTACCGTACCGCACAAGAAGACGACCCCAGTATGAGCGCTGTGTGAGACTGAATGTTGGACTTGGGCGATGTTTGATACTTTTGATCGAACGAGTCAGTCAATAAGTCAATTGATGATGCAAGCAACATCTCGTTGTCTCGCACAAGTTTTACTAAATGAGCCGAATACTTATTCTGACTATCCTATCGACTTACCTGTCGGACACGGCACTTGCGTTCAGTGCCTCCGCTCAAGAGCCTTCTCTGAAGACCTGGCTGCAGTCTCCAGAGGACGCTGAAGCTCCTGCAATTGAAACCGTCGCTGACGCATCTCTGTTGCTTGGTGAGTGGGACAGATTCTTCAATCCTGAAGCAGCAGGGGGCAAGGGTGACAACGAAGTTGCCTCGAAACTCAAGGATTATATACCAACCGCAGTTCGAATACTTTCCGAAACGGCTGCAGAAGAGCGAGCAAAGGATTCTGCACAAGGAAGATGCATGTTGGGTATTTGTGCATCTTCGATGCAGGATGGGATTGAAGCTCTCAAATCGTTTGTGACTACCTTGGAGCTTCCACGGGGTCTCTTGCACGGTGCTGATAAGGATGGTGTCCCTCTAGAAATCAAAAATGGCGTTTACATCAAATATAACTCTGGTGGAGTTTACAGCTTTGCGGATATCCGAAAATCTGGCCTCGGGTTCGATGCTCTTTGGAAGCCAGGAGACGCCATGCTGGAGCAATATGATGGTGATTACCGAGGAGTATACTTCCAGGTTGAACTATCAGATGGAGAATTCCGACAATATCTTGTCCCCCTGGATACATTTTAATAGTGAAGTACCATGCTAAACATATGTTTGGAAAGGACGAGACAACCCTTCCTATTAGTTTCAGTTGCAGAGTTTACATTTCAGAGTCTCGCTCCATACCCGCAGCATCAGCGATGTCATCTAGCTTCATCTCAGCGTCATCCAGCTTGTCCTCAAAGATGGCAAGCAAAGTAGTGCACTTGCCTTGCAGCTGGCTCAATTCAGTTCTTTGTTGCGGCAACGCATCTAGAGTTTGCATTGTATCATCGTAAACTGTCTGCTGAAGGCTATCGACTCGACTGTGCACCCCTTCAAATTCTGCTGTCCACTGTCTAGTCTTCTCTTCAAGCTTGCGCAGCTCTTGGAAGTAATCGTATTCAGCTTGAGACAGCTTGGGCATTAGATCGTTGCTGGATTGAAGGATTGCAGCACTGCGCTGAGAGAGCGAGGTCGAGTTTGCTTTGGCTACATCTGTCATTTCCTTGATGATGGCTTCCCGTTCCTTCAACTTTGAAATCATATTTTGAACAGCGTCAAGTTGCAGCATTTGATTCTTGTACATGACTGATAATATCTCCTTTCGACTCTTCAAGTGTTCGGTAATTTCAATTAGTGGCAGATAAATCTTCTCGTCGCAACTCTGTTTGATCGCGACTGCCGCTGCCAACTGGTCTGGAGTCGCAGCGGCAATTGGAGTGGCACTTCCAACAACCTTTGTCAGTCCCCCAAGTCCTTCTACTACTTGCTTTGCAAGTGGTTCGATAATCTGGTGCAGGGGTGCTATATTGCTCAGTTCTGCAACCCTAGCATCACTTGCACTTCCGGCTTCCTTTTTGTCAAAGATCTCCATTTCCTTCAACAAGCGGGCCTCTGTCAGATTGACCGCGACCATCGAGTCTGATGTGCGTAAGAAATATAGTGTCAGATTTGAAATATTTGTGTCATGCATTTAGAAGTTGCAACTTCGGGAAGTAGAGTACTTACTGTTGGAAAGTCGAGCAATCAGAACGTGACCAAATTGGACATCGCCACTCACAACAGCACCCACGACACGATTAATGTTGCCTTCAGTACTCGTAACGTCCAAGCACGGCCAAGCAGTAGTATTCGGTTGAGCAGTTTTCGGTTTCAGTATTGGTGACATCATCCCGGTGCCGACTTGATCACTGAGCTCCTTGGCAATAATCTTGAGAGTGTTGGTGGAAACGCTGATGATTTGGGTCCCCGTTACGCAATGCAAAACAGAATCGATCAATGGATCTTTGACAAGGTTCATGCTTGAGGTCGGATCGAAATCGCCCTCCTCATCGCGCAGATCGATACGAGTAATGACCATTCCACCGATGAACTCATCGTCCAAGACCTGCATGTCCTTGTGGCTTTCTGAAGCAAATCGAGGAACAAGAGTGCTCGGAACGAGCACACCGAACTCGACAATTCCTTCTGTGTGTCCAATGGCAAAACCAACAAGATTTCCTGCTGCAAACGATTCGATGCAAGTGGCCATACTTTCCAACTCGTCGGATTCTTCACCAATCAAAGCCGGTCCTTGGAGTTGAGCTGGGACTTCAAAGATTGGTGACTGGGCTTCGGCTGTCAAGAATTGAGCTTTTACCCCAACTGGAAATGCATCCGCTAGATTTTGCAACGCCAATCGCGTCTGCCGCCACTTGGGAGTATTCGGTTCGGTTTGTTGGATTTCATTTCTCAAGTACTCCAAAGATGTGTCCAATAAAGCTCTGGGGACCACCGATCCTCGAAATAGAGCTGGTCCAGCAATGTATACATCGCCGGATCCTTTCAACATCATGATAGATGTGTTGGACAAAAGTGAAAGGGCGCTCGATTGGCCAAAACAAAAATTAGTAAAATGATCCTTCTTGTCATAGAGTTCTTGTCCGTACACGAGTGCCGTAGTGGTAGTATCGTTTGTTCCGTGGTATAGCACCACGCTAGTTTCGCTAGATTCGGGATCGAATATCATCATGGCCATCGATTTTGGTGGGCACATGATGGCAAACCCATTGTGACGCTGAGGAGCCTGACGAATGCAAACAACGCGTGTTCCAGGAGAGGATCCCAATAAGACTCCTTCAAAAGGTTCCGTAACCTTGACAACAGTTCTGTCTGTCTGTGATACTCCAGGTGTGACTTGGTAACCAATTTCGAGAACGAAGACGTCCCTCTGTGTGTACAAACACAGTTTTGGCAGGCTTTGGTGTACAGTGGAAGTTGCATTGGATTCGACATCCACACAAAGTAGTGCTATTGCCGGATATCTCCTCAACGCTTGCGATATCTGCTCTGGCAGTATGGCACGTATTAGAGAGGGTCCAGAAGGTGACGCATCGTTGTCTTCTACTGTTCCATCCAATGGGAGGGTACGAGTTTCAATGAGGCCTTGTCCTCTTACAATTGAAAGAGAATGAACCGATCGGCCGTCTGGACTCAGGCAAGACAATCGCACCGACGACTTATCATTAGCAGGTGCATTTTCAGAATAAGCTTCGCGCCCTGGCGATGCAAATGGCATCGGCGATGCCATAAAGGAAGGCATTGAGGAGCAAAGGCGATTTTCAATTCGACGATGGTTGGTGTTGGCGACTGAATCCATGAATCCATGAATGAACGAATGAATCATATCAATTTTACGAATTTCAAAAATGTGAATATGACTACGAAAATGTTGGCAAAATTTATATTCCAATATTTAAAAATTTGTTTTCACTGGTCTTTTTAAAACATTATTACTCATTTTTACTTCCCGCTGAAGGCAGCTGGTAACTTCAGCTTTCCGACTCTCTTTCGTGGTGCAGGAGGATTATTGGGATCCTGCTTGGTTGCTTGGATCACACTTGTTGAAGCTCGTAGTGGTTGTGGCTTTGGCTTGGTTGCTTGGATCACACTTGTTGAAGCTCGAAAAGGTTTTGGCGGTGGCTGGGCTGTAGTGGTTGAGGTTGGTTCAATCACTGGTTTCTCAGCAGCAGGCTTGGAATCAGTTGCTTCATCGGGGTTTGGCTCTTTTTCTGCAGCTTTTGTAGCAACACCGTCGCCCTTTCCAGATTCATCATCTTCAGTCTTCGTCAGAACTTTTTTGATGCCTGCAACCTTGGGTTCTCCCGAGATAACTGGAGTTGCCAATTTGCCTCTTCTAATGGGGGCTGCTGCTTTATCAATCTTTGCTGGCGGCCATGGACTATTCAACTTGCCAGTTCTCCATGTACCCACTTTATTCATGTCCTGTTCAGGCTCTTCTCCAGGTGGATAGAAAACAACCTCGTCCGGTTTCAGCTTTCCATCTGTTGTGGGCTTTGCATCCCGTTTGACAACGACCACTCCATGTGGTTCATTTGGGGCCAGGTCTTTAGGTTCTTCCTTTGCAACAATCACATCCAGAGGACCCCAATCGGAGTCGTCTGTGGCGTCATCCTTGTGCTTCCAAACACCAATCACAGGATTGGTTACATCAGGGACAACATCTTTGGATGTTGATTTTGGAATGACCTTAGCTGGAAGTGTGGCCCAGTCATCGTCCAGGAGGGACTTTCCGCGATTCACCCAACTTGCTTGTTTGTTGAATTTGGACATGCGAAGTGGGCGGCGAGCAGATCCAGGGCGACCAGGTGATCGACTTAGAGCTCGCCCTGGGCTGATAGGAGCATCCGTATTTGGCTTCTGGCCAAAAGCAAAAGGCACCTTGAGCTTTCCAACCTTTCTTGCTAACTTTGCTGCTTCTTCTTCACTTCCGTTACTTTCAACTTTCCCTGGTAGGCGAGGCGATTTGAATTCCTTGTTGCTAGGAGCCATCGGCGAAAGGATGCGGGTTGGTTTTGTGGATGCAGAAGCAACAGACTCGGGGGCAGGACCAACAAGTGACCATCGACCTCTTGGGATACACTCCTCTCCAGGTTCCTTGGTGGGAGGATAAAACAAAACATTGCCGGGTTTGTACTGTCCATTTTCATCGGGCACAGAATCTGCACTGGTACCCCATACTCCGTTTTGTTTGCCTTCGTCCTCTAGCTCTGCACCAATGGGTTGAATAATAACCTCTTGCGCTGGTAAAGCGGCTGGTAAAGGTTCATCTGTTTTCCAAATACCCCTGCTCACGTTATCCTTGTTCTTCTTTGGTGCTTTGTCAGGCTGGAAAATGATAGCCGAGTCTTTTCTCCAGCCACTGTCAGTCTGCCACTTTGGTAGCTTCTTGGTTAGAGGAGGTGATTTCTCTGCAGATTTCTTTGTTGGCGGCCACTTGCCGTTCCATTGCTTTGGTCTCCAATGGCCAACTTCCTTCATACCAGTATCAGGCTTTTTGCCTGGTGCAAGGAATTGGAGGTCTTTTGGATCCAACCTGCCAAAAGAATTTGGTTTAGAATCTTCAGGAATAACTACTATACCGTGCGGTTCATTGGGAGCAAAATCATCAGGTTCAGTCCTATTGACTACAACATCTAGTGGGCTCCAATCCTTGTCATCTGTCATGTCGTTTTGCTTCCAAGTTCCAAGGTGTGGATCAGTTGCATCTTCCGGTGCGTTATTTGCGTCTGAAGCTGGAATCACAACAGCGGGAAGGGTGTCCCAATTGTTGTCCACAACTGATGGAACAGCATTATTTGATTTTGCCTTCTTATCCGTGGAATCTTCCTCAACAGTTGCTGGGGGCCACTTCTTATTCAGTTTGCCATCTCTCCAGGAACCAACCTTCTTGACATCATCACCTGGCTGTGGTTCCTCCCCAGGTGGATAAAAAACAACATCAGTTGGTTTAAGTTTTCCATTAACTGTGGGTTTTGCATTTTCCTTGACACCAACAATTCCATGTGGCTCATCTGGGTCCAAATCTTTGGGTTCCTCCTTCTCCACAATCACCTCTAGAGGTGCCCAATTCGAGTCATTGCTGTTGTCCTTTGGCTTCCAGACTCCAATAACTGGATCAGTCGCATCAGGAGCAGCCATGTTGATGGCCGCTGATACTGGGAATACCTTTGCAGGAAGTGTCGTCCAATTATCGTCTAGGATGGATTTGTCACAATTCACCAAACTGCTTTCTCTTTTCAGCTTTGAGACTCGTTTTGGACGACGACCAGGGCGTCCAGGACTAATGGGTGGAGCCATTTCACCAAAAACATTGGGCACTTTTAATTTTCCAACTTGTCTTGAGGAATTTGGAGTCGTTGGGCTTCTTGCAGACCATTCTCCTTTTCTAGGAAGAATAGGAGAGGGAGAGCTTGATCGTTTTGGTGGCTGGGGGGAAAGAAGGGATCTGGGAGCGCTGCCAACAAGGGACCATCGTCCTCTTGGTATATATCCCTCTCCAGGATTCTTGTTGGGAGGATAAAAGAGAACATCTTCGGGTTTCCATTGTCCATTTTCGTCAGGTTCCGAGGCTACATTTGTTCCCCAAACTCCATTTGGAACATCTGCTTTTTGCTCTGCACCAACTGGTTGAATGGTGACCTCTTGGGGTTCCAAAAGGTCTGCGAATGACTCTTCTGATAGCGGTGTCTCTGTATGCCAACTACCTCTGGTGACATTGTCCTCGTTCTTCTTCGGTGCAATTTCCTTCGGGTAAACTACGGCTCTGCCCTTGGTCCAATCGCTATCAGTCTGCCACTTTGGTAGCTTGTTTGTTGGAAGCTGTGCTTTTGTAAAACCCTTCTTTGGCGGAGGCCAGTCTCCGTCAACTTTCTTTGGTCTCCAGTGACCAACTTCCTTCATACCAGAATCAGGCTTCTCTCCTGGTGGAAGGAAGAGCAAATCCTTGGGATCCAACTTGCCTGCATCGTTTGGTTCAACACCCTTTGGAACTGCAACAATGCCGTGAGGTTCATCTTCGGAGATGTCATCTGGTTCAGTTTTGTTGACCACGACTTCAAATGGAGCCCAATCTTTATCATTTGTATCCTTATTTGGCTTCCAGGTCCCAAGGTGTGGATCACTTGGATCTTCAGGTGTCTTTTCTGCTTCCTCATCTGAGGCTGGAATCACCATTGCAGGAAGAATGTCCCAGTTGTCGTCCAGAATTGATGGAAAGCTAGGCTTTTTTGATCCTTTCCCCTGTGGTGGCCATCCTGCTGTGGGTGATTCAGGTCTCCAGATGCCCACCTTTTTCATAGGAGCCTTCGGTTCTTCTCCTGGTGTGAAGAAATGCAACCGTTCTGGATCTATCTTTCCAGCGCTATTTGGCTTCGCACCCTCATCAACCGCTACTGCTCCGTGAGGTTCATCTTGTCCAAGGCCATCCGGTCGATTTTTGCTGATGATGACACCATAGGGAGCCCAATCACTATCATCAATATTGTCATCATGCTTCCAAGTTCCGAGATGTGGTTCCGTTGAATCTTCCGGTGCCTCATTGGAGTCACAGGGTGGAATAACTGTGGCAGGAAGAGAATCCCAGTTTTCTTCCAGAATTGACGGTAACGATGGTCGCTGCTGGGATTTGCGACGTTGGCTCCTTGAATGACCACTTCCGTCAAAAGGCAAAGGGGCTTTCAACTTTGAAGCATCTTGCGCAGGGCGTTGCCTTGATGCTGGACTCTCCACACGGTTGGGTTGCTTTGGAGGCCTAGTTGTGGGTGGCCAAGAAGGCGTATCTTCTCCCAATTCCCATCTACCGCGGGGAGTACAGTCTTCTTGTGGTTTCTCGCTTGGAGGATAGAAGAAAACATCTTCAGGTTTCCACTGCCCATTTTCATCTGGAGTTGAAAAAGAGTTGGTTCCCCATACGCCAGTAGGAGCATCCTTGTCGATTTGGGCATTGGTTGGATGTATTATGACTTCACTTGGCACCATATCTTCCGGCAGCGGGTCCTTCGATTTCCAAATGCCCCTTGATGTATCATCCCGATTTTCTTCTGGAGCTTCATTCTTGGGGAATACAATTGCCTTCACTGGCACCCAATCATCCTTGTCTTGCCAAACAGGCAGCGTCGTTGTCTCTTTCTGCCGTTTCAGTGAGCTCACGCGATGTGGTATCTTTGGCGATTCCTCGGAGGCTGGTGGCCATTGCTTTTTGCTGCCCATTGCCCATCTTCCTCGAGGGACAATTTCTTCCTCTGGAGATTCGCTTGGGGGGTAGAAAAGGACATCCTTTGGCTTAAACTGCCCATTTTCATCGGGTTTTGAAGCTGGGTCAGTTCCCCACACACCATTTGGCGTATCGTCACTTAAATCAGGTGTCTGTTGGTATATCATAACCTCTTGAGGAATCCAGTCATCCGGAAGCAAGTCCCTCGACCTCCATGTTCCCTTGGACAATGCGTCTGTGTTGTCTCTTGGAACCTTCGACTTAGGATAAACCATTGCCTTGTCTTCGACCCAGTCGTCATCAGTTTGCCAGATTGGAAGCTTGTGAACTGCTGGTTTCCCATCTGCATCACCTTCTTTGGTCTTGGTAGTTGGCTCCAGATTACGAGAGACAGTGCGGTGGGGTTTCCTTGGTAGTTCAGATGGTGGTGGCCATTTACTCTTTTCTCCCAACTCCCATCGTCCACGGGGGACAACTTCTTCATCTACAGTCTCACTTGGAGGATAGAAAACCACATCCTTTGGCTTGTATTGACCGTTCTCATCAGGTTTTGAAGTAGGGTCAGTCCCCCACACCCCGTTTGGCATATCGTCACTTACAGCCGTATGCTGCGGATAGATTGTGACCTCTTGCGGGATCCAGTCGTCGGGTAATGTGTCTCTTGATCGCCATGTGCCTCGCGAAACGTTATCATTGTTGTTCTTGGGAGCCTTTCCTTCAGGATAAACGACAGCCTTTCCATCTTTCCAATCATTGTCCTTTTGCCACGGTGGAAGCTCGTCCGGGATACCCATAATCTCTCTTGGAATATCGTCAGGAATCTGTCTTCCCCGATCGCCAACATCACGGGCATAGTGAGGAGAATGGGAGCGCTGTGGCTTTGTTGGTCCATCTGAAGTAGGTGGCCATTCTTCATTGTCGCCAAGAGTCCATTTACCCAGCGTATTACAATCATCATCAGGAGATTCATTTGGTGGATAAAAGAGTACATCTTCTGGTTTCCATTGTCCATCTTTGTCAGGTGCTGAATTCAAGTTCGTACCCCAAACACCGTTTGGAGTGTTTTCAGCAATTGATGCATTATTTGGGTGGATGATGACTTCCTTTGGAACCCAGTCATCCGGAAGCGGGTCCTTGGACTTCCAAATTCCCTTTGGCTCTTCATCAACTTTGTTCTCTTCTGGAGCTTGCTTGGTAGGAAAGACAATAGCCTTGATTGGCACCCAATCATTGTCACCGCCCATTGATATTGTCCCAATCATTCCCGGTTCATTTTCCATGTCTGCTTGCCTTGGCTGGTACGGTGAGAATGTTCTTCGAGGTTTTTGGGGCGACTCAGATGGCGGCGGCCATTTACTCTTTTCTCCAAGAGCCCACTTTCCACGGGGTGTGACTTCTTCATCTACAGTCTCACTTGGAGGATAGAAAACCACATCCTTTGGCTTGTATTGACCGTTCTCATCAGGTTTTGAAGTAGGGTCAGTCCCCCACACCCCGTTTGGCATATCGTCACTTACAGCCGTATGCTGCGGATAGATTGTGACCTCTTGCGGGATCCAGTCGTCGGGTAATGTGTCTCTTGATCGCCATGTGCCTCGCGAAACGTTATCATTGTTGTTCTTGGGAGCCTTTCCTTCAGGATAAACGACAGCCTTTCCATCTTTCCAATCATTGTCCTTTTGCCACGGTGGAAGCTCGTCCGGGATACCCATAATCTCTCTTGGAATATCGTCAGGAATCTGTCTTCCCCGATCGCCAACATCACGGGCATAGTGAGGAGAATGGGAGCGCTGTGGCTTTGTTGGTCCATCTGAAGTAGGTGGCCATTCTTCATTGTCGCCAAGAGTCCATTTACCCAGCGTATTACAATCATCATCAGGAGATTCATTTGGTGGATAAAAGAGTACATCTTCTGGTTTCCATTGTCCATCTTTGTCAGGTGCTGAATTCAAGTTCGTACCCCAAACACCATTTGGAGTGCCTTTGTCAATTGATGCATTATTCGGGTGGATGATGACTTCCTTTGGAACCCAGTCATCGGGAAGCGGGTCCTTGGACTTCCAAATTCCCTTTGGATCTTCGTCCATTTTATTCTCTTTTGGAGCCCTTTGCCGTGGGAAGACAAGAGCCTTTATAGGGATCGATTCCTTACCACATGTCCAAATGGGAAAGTTTCCAATTTTTGGATTTTTTGGGGCACTTTCGCTTGACGGTGGGAAGCTGCCTCCAACCCATGACCCTATCAATTTGTCTCTAGACTCGTCACTTGGCTTCAACCCAGGTAAAAAAAATTTTATTTGCTCTGGCATCAACTTCCGGATGGGTTTGTCTTTAACATCCTCTGGGATGGCCACAAGTCCAGTTGAATCTTCAGGTTTAATATTATCTGGTTTGGTTCTGTAGACAACAACATGTAAGGGATCCCAACCTGAATCGTCTGTACCATCCTCAGTCTCCCATACTCCAACACAATCTCCTTTCTTTGTTGCCAGATCGGCTCCAAGTCGTTTCTTGGATAGTGGAACAACGGTTGCTTGGAATTTATCCCAATCAGCAACCGCAGCTGGGGCATCAATCGATTTCTCTCCAGGCTTCAAAGCTGAATCTGTTCCTTCCTCGTCAGGTTTGGCTGCTGGCTTTGGTTTTGGAGTCCACTTTCTTCCTCTGGGGGCAGCGCTACTCAACGTATCGGAAGCTGGCTGACTGCCGAATACACCAGGTAATTTAAGTTTTCCAACACTTTTCTTCCCATCGTTCGGTTTTTTTTCGTCCGTCGGTGGAGCGAGTTTACCGGGAGTTTTCTTCTCGTCCTCTGGTTTATCCCATTTCCCACGAAGGGTGCATTCGTTGTCATCATCAGGAGTTTCACCAGGCGGATATACGAGGAGATGTTCGGGTTGCCATTGGCCGTTGTCATTTGGCGTCGAATCTGGTTTGGTCCCCCACAGGCCATTCTTCTTACCGTCGTCAATAGTTGCGCTTGTTGGATGCAAAACGATTTCCTCTGGTTTGACATCATCCGGTATTGGGATTTTAGGTTTCCAAACCCCACGCGGTTTATCATCGATGACACTCTTTGGTGCTTTCTGTAGAGGATATACAGTTGCTTTCTGAGGAGCAAAGTTCTTATTTTTGAGCCAATCTGGAAGATCCAATTTCTTGGGTTCGTCTTTCATCTTTGGACCTGGTGGTTTCCAGGACATATCTCTATCATATTTTGGCCTCCAGAATCCCAAACTCCAGTCTCCAGGATCCTGCTTCTCTCCAGGCGCAAAGAATTTGAGTTGATCAGGATTCAACTTTCCAACTCGATTTGGTTTCGAATCATTTCCTACTGAAACGATTCCGCATGGTTCTTCTTTCTTTAGATCCGTCGGTTTCTCTCTATATATTTCGACATCCATTGTAGGCCACTGAGATTCATCTGTAGTGTCATCGTGCTTCCAAACACCTTCGTGTGGTTCGTCTTCATCCTCATTTGCAGTCGCTGGTGCTTCAGATTTTGGATACACCCTAGCGTTAAGAATATCCCAGCTATCGTCCAAGATTCCAGGCTTTTTTGGTTCCGGTTCCGGTTCAGGCACTGGCTCTGGTTCAGGTTCAGGTTCCGGCTCTGGAGACGGTGATGGAGCTCTTTGGACCGGTTCAAGTTCAGGTTCCGGCTCTGGTTCAGGAGATGGTGACGGAGCTCTTCGGACTGGTTCAGGCTCAGGTTCAGGTTCAGGCTCAGGTTCAGGCTCAGGTTCAGGCTCAGGTTCAGGTTCAGGCTCGGGTGGCTTCAATTCTTCTGACTTGTTTGCAGAACTCCCAGGTTCAGGTTCTTCATCATCTGTTTTACTTTCCCTCTTCTTCTTCTTCTTCTTCTTTTCCTTTTTGACCTTGTCCTTCTTCTTTGAGGCTTTATCGGATTTACGCTTCGCCAATAGCGCTCGAGCTTTTTCCCGAGCTTCAGTATCATCCTTCTTTGGTGCTGGCTCCGCGTCTTCAGCATCCGCTCCATATTCTTTAGATTCCACCACTCCATTACTAGTATGCCTTTTTGACTCTTCCATCAGCATAAAGCCGTTCGCCAATGAAACAGTTCGTTTGATGTGATAATAATCATCCTTCTCCGTGACTTCTTGCTTGACACTTGTGATCGTAGATCCAAAGTATTCCTGGCCGATCACAAGATCTCCTTTCCCAATATTACTTTGGGCGAGCATCTCCTCCTTTGTCATTTTTGAAATGTCCGCCATGGTGGAACGAGGTTTGTTGATTGCCTTCCACAATCGATCACTTGTTTACCTTTTTGGATACAACTTGAAACTTTCGGATCGGTTGGCCAAAAAAAGGCACACACTTGTGTGTCGCACAACATAATGACTGATCGCGCCAGCAATCCCGTATCCGATGCCGAGCATCCGGATCGATTGCGCTTTAAAAAATGTCACTATTATGCCGATACATGAAGACGAACAGATATATATATCGTATACCCGTAAACTGCTTGTCGCACACAAAAAAAGTATTGTATTAATATTAATGTCATCTTTACTTTCCGCTAAATGCACCAGGCAACTGTAGCTTTCCAACTTTTCTCGCTTCTTTAGCCGCGGCTTCTTCTTTGCTATCAGGCATTGGACTGAGAGACCTACTAACAGACGTCGGAGGAAAACTTGAGCGTGGCGTTACTCTCCACTTTCCAACCGGTTTGAAATCCTCCTCTGGCTTTTCATCTGGAGGATAAAAGTGGACATCGGTCGGTTTCAAGTCTTTATCATCGGGGTCGGTTTTGGCGCTGACGCCCCAGACTCCATTTGGTCTCCCATCATCATTCCAATCATGTGCTTCTTCTCCATTTTTGACCACTTCAACGTTCGCGGGAATCCATTTACTAGCTTTCCTTTCGGCATCTTTGTCCTTAAACTTCCAGACCCCATTGGTAGCGCCACCACTGTTACTTCTTTTAGGTGCCTTTTTAATTGGAAATACTGTAGCCTTTTGATGGGACATTAATTTGCTCATGTTCAGCTTGCCAACACTTCTACCAGTTTTGCTTTCCGTCGAAGGCGGCCACGAACTTTTTTCTGCAAACGACCATTTGCCTTGGACAACACACTCCTTATCATTCTCAGGGCTCTCTCCAGGAGGATAAAAATGCAAGTCTTTAGGTTTCCATTGTCCAAGTACGTCTGGTTTTGCACCAGGGTCCGTTCCCCATACACCTTGTGGTCTATCATCATCAATGTCTGGATCACCTTTGTACAGAGTCACAGGTTGAGCTTTCCATTTGTCGTCTACAGAATTTTTCGACTTCCAAACACCTCGAGAAGTGCCACCAAAATTAACGTTGGGTACTGATTTCTTTGGGTATACAATTGCATTGCCGGTTTTCCAGCCACCGCCAGCTTGCCATTTCGGAAGCTTTCCAACCTTCCTGGGTTCACCTCCATCACCGGTTGGTGGCCAGCCTTGTCCAAGTCTTCCTGGTCTCCAATGTCCCACGGGTTTACAATCAACTGGATCAGGTGTTGCGTCAGGCGCCAAAAATATGAGCTTTCCTGGAGCAATCTTTCCGACCTTGTTTGGCTTGGCATCATTTGCTATAACAACTTGTCCATGAGGTTCATCTGGTTCCAAATCTGTTGGCTCTTCTTTGTGAATGACCACATCCATGGGTTCAAAATCTTTGGTATTTTCATCTGTTCGCCAGACACCTATTTGGGTGGGTTCTTCAGATTTCATAGCCACCGCTTCCAAGTCGGGGACGTCATCTTCTGCAATAACTACCGCTGGAAGAGTTTCCCAGTTATCATCTAAAATAGATGGAGGAGCTTCAGATTCCGAAGACTCACTAGGCTCGGGCTCTGGCTCAGCTTTCTTCTTTTTCGCAGCGAGTAATGCACGAGCTTTCGCTCGTAAATCACTATCATCCTTCTTCGGTTCGTCGATTTCCGAGGCTGGCAACGAGCTCTCGTAGGATTCAACTTCACCGAGGCTTTTGGATCGGTGATAATCTTCTATCAATACCACGCCTGACTTCAGGGTTACTGTCCGCTTGATTTTGTATGTATCTTTTGAATCTTGGACGTCCTGGCTTACTTGAACGACAATGGAACCGAAATATTCCTGACCTACCACTAGGTCCTCCTTGCCCACTGTGCTTTCGTGTGACATGGTTTCGTTTTGTTCTTTCTTAGTCTTAGAACCAGTGGTCACCTTTCATGAGATCGTTTGTTTTTTCTGTCACACAGTTGAACTTTGTCATGAGCAGGCATGACATGTTGAGTGTCGTTGGTCATAGTCTTCGAAAGTAAAGCTTTTTCAGCTCCTTTCACAAGATGTTGAAGCTTTTCCAAAAAAAGGTTGTGATGAATGATTATGGGCAACTGCTGCAAGGTTTTGAGCTGCATGGGTGGAAACCAGACGATTCATTAAGTCAAGATGAAAACATGATGGATTTGGTATGTATCTGAATGTTGCTGCAGTCCAGTCTCTACTAGCTCCTTGATTGACAATGTGATGATGTCACCTTGATTACTTGACAGGTGATGCTTGTTACTCGAAACTCGACACTCAGACAAGGAAGCATGGCTTGTGTTTTTACAGATAGTAAGAAGAATATGATCAGTGTGGCAAATAATCGGTCGTTGTATACCAGTAACGACAGTGATGTTCATGCTGAGATTGCGGCTCTTGGACAAGCTTGTATGATGGGACGAACCACCAAAGGTGCAACGTAAGTCGAAGGCTGCAAATGTTGTACAGATTTCAGGGAAGTCGAGACTCAATTATGTACATCTTCAGTGCTTATATTACAATGCCTCCATGCAAGCGATGTTTTGCGGCGTTGGTTGTAGCCGGAGTCAAGAAGATTGTCACACGTCGTGTCCCCCCTAGGCTCATCACTGATTGTGCCGAGAAGGAGGGTATTGAAATTGTTGCGGTGTCTCACGAGGGCATTCAGCAACAGACTGGGCGTATCAACATGCTCATCTATGGTGATCCGAATGGGAAGAAGCGAAATCGCGATGATAACAATGAAGAATCTCAGACACAAAAGAAAACGAAGGAAAGTTAGACTTATCTTCTTGATCCGCTTCTTATCTGTTTGGACCATTGCCTTGGAATAGACTCTCCGTTTGTCCCGTGGTGTTCACCAAGGTACTTCTCAGCAACAGAAGGAAATACAGCTTTAACCACCTTGAGCGAATCCACGGAGACAAGACCATCCTCGATACACCTACGAAATTCGGTCTCTACAAGGTTTTCTTTCGCTGGATCCACTGGAGCAAATGTCATGACTTTGAAGAAAGATTCGTAGGTGGCCTTGTCCGCTGTTGCTTTGGCGTTGCGAAGCGTCTGCATGGCAATGGTGGCCGTTTCTCGAGCTTGGTCCAGAAACTCGCCCGATCCGTTGTGGTAGCATACCGATAAGACTGCATTATACACTGCATTCGACCCCACTTTCCCCGCTTTTTGGTTCTTCTTTTGCGTCTTTTCGAATTGTACAAGAAGCTTCTCTACGCGTTGAATTTTGTCCTTGGCTTGACTTCGCCCCCACGCAATGATGCAAGTGGAAAAACTGACATGCGATGATCGTATTGACTTCATAGTAATCATGTCCTGCAAAAGTTCATCTGCTCGATGAGCTGCATCTTCTAAATTGCTTCGAGACAACACCTTCAGAATTATGTTAAAGGTGGTTTCATCAGGCTGCACATATGAGTCTTTAGTTGCATACTCCTTCATCCTCGAAAGCATTTCCGTAGCCTTCTCTGCAGCATCTGGCTTCATCATGGATGCAATAGCGTTCAAGCCACAATTGAAAGTTCTTGTATCAAGCTTTATTTTGCATTGTCTGTACTGCTCTTCAAGCTGCAAAAAGTAGAAAATTGCATTCATAGGCGAAGATGAATTTAGCGCCATGATGGTTGCATTATACGTTGTTGGCGGCGGTACTATGCCCATATTTTGCATTCGAGTCAAGACTTTGAAAGCGTTGTCGCTGCACTCTAGTTGTCTATTCCGATCTTTTGTCCCACTGGCTGCACGCTCCCATGACTTGATGAGAATTGTGTATGGGAATGCTGTAAGTTCAAAGTCCTCCATTGAGCTCGATCGTTCTTCGACAATATCTAAAATTGCGTCCACTTTTTGCGGTGCAGCCCTATCACCAGATCCTGCCCATGCATCCATCACTGAACAGAATGCCGATAACGAAAGCTTGATACTATCACCATTGCCACTTTCATGCAGTATCAACATCTTATGAAGCAACGCTTCTGCACGAGCTGGTGACTCGCGTCCAGGACTTCGAGCCCAAGCATTAATGCAGGTGGCGAAGCTAATGTCATCAGGCTGGGTGTCCAGCTGGTCGGATTCGTACAGCTGTTGCATCCAATCCAGCACTCGTTCTGCCTTTGACCCTGCATCCTTGCGACTGCTCTTTGCCCATGCGTGCAACAAGCCATTGAAACAAGCTCGATTGGGAGCAGGGATTGGGCTCGCTTTGTTTTTGTATGACGACAACATCCATTGAATGATTTCCGTCGCCTTATCTGGGTCACTGTCGTTGGCAAAACCAGATATGGTCAATGAAAAACTCGAGAGTTTCGGTTCCAACATTTGTTTGGACTTTGATGAGACATTCAACATCCAGTGAAGCTGTTCCAAAGCTTTGTTCGGCTTTCCAATGTCACAATAATACATAATGAAAGAGTTGAAGCCATCTACACTGGCTCCAAGTGGTATCTTTGGATCCTTGTATTGTCGTTTCAGTTCAGCGATCAATTGTTGTATTTTCTGGGAAGTATTGTGGTCCATACGTCGTTTTCTACCATACTGACTGACTGTCAGCGATATTAGCTGAACACAGGCGTCGTTCACATGATGGGTATTGTAGGGAATATCATTGATCAAGAATTCCTTGTGCCCATCTAGCAATCTCCATATTTGATGATGGACTTCATTCCATGCCAGCGAATGGCCACTTCGTACCATAATCTGGCAGGCCAGGGAGAACAATCTTGGAATGAGTCGCTCATTCGGTAGGTTGGAGTGCATAATAGCAGAATTCAGCAGCTGCAATGCTAATGGGCCATCATTTGCAGTGTTGTCGCCTTTGAGCAAAGCAATCAATAATTGTTCAACCCTCTGCGGAACAATAGAAGTGTTGAAGCTTCCGGTTTTCAGTTTGTCCAAGAATTCTCTGGCTTGCGCGTGATGAATGCTGGGCGTGTTTGATGATGTTGAAGACGAGAAGAATCTTCTAATTGAAACGTGACCATGAAATGTTTCATCCTCATTCACATCCTGATGCGACAGATTCGAAGGCTGCAATTTTCTAGACCGAATATATCTGCGTTGAAAGTGACCGAGAGACCGGAGAGCCAACCGAGAACTCTTCATTGATGACTGTTCATGCTCTCTTGTGTTTCTATACCGCAAATTTTGTGATTGTCGACTCCTTGGACTTATTCCTGATCTGTCTGTTGTCCTCCGGTCTTTACCTCGTATCTCTTTACTTTTTGTCATCGTCTGATGTCGTACGTTTCCAAGGTGTTTTCAGGAAACGAGCATCTATTGAAAACAACAAAAGAAACCATGGTGCTTGAAAAGACTAAGGTTATTGACGGACGTGACCACCTTCTTGGTCGTTTGGCCAGTATTGTCGCCAAGGAGCTTCTTGCTGGACAAAAGATCGTTATTGTTAGATGCGATGAGATGACTGTCTCTGGTTCCTGTGAGTCTTTCCCGTAGTTTTGTGGTGATGGGGTCCTCCGCAGTGGATTTCTTGTGGATTCAATGAATAAAGAGCAAACGATTGCTCCCTCAATCAACAATGTAGAATGTGTGTCTCATTTTCTTTTTCTTTTCATCTCCACAGTGGTCAGAAACCGTGTCAAGTATGCCCAATTCCGCAAAAAGCGCATGAACACAAACCCCACCAGAGGTCCATTCCACTTCAAGTCCCCTGCTATGATGGTCTGGCGCACAATCCGCGGTATGGTTCACCAGAAGACCGCCCGTGGTCAAGAGGCGTTGAGCCGTCTTTCCACTTTCGACGGAATCCCACAACCTTATGATAAGCAAACCCGTGTTGTTGTTCCAGCTGCCATCCGTGCTATCCGCATCAAGCCTGGACGCCATTACACTGTTCTTGGAACTTTGGCTGACTCCATCGGTTGGAAGCACAAGGATCTTCTTGAGAGACTCGAATCTAAGAGAAAAGCCGAGTCCAAGGAACACTACGAACAAAAGAAGGCCAAGGCTGCCCTTCGGCGAAAGGCAGAAGAGGCATGTGCAGGAGAGCTTACCAAGGTAAACGAAGTTCTTGCCGCTGCAGGATATTAAAAAACATTAAATAAATGAAACAAATCTCAACTTCGCGAAGGTCTGTAAAGATGATGTGCAGAGTATTGTATGTATGATTGAGTTATGAAGTTTATCTTCACGAAATGATCTCAAAAAGTATGAGAAATAAATCAACATCTTCAACAGTTAAAGATCTTACCTTTGGGTAGCTTCAAAACTCTCGTGTCTATTGATTGCTGCATTGCAGCGACAATTCAAACAATTTTGAGATTGCAAACTATCGTAGACATCAGGAGCTAAGTTCATATTACTCCGAACGCTTCCGCCCTTTTCATTGCATCTGGGGTTTTGAAAAAAATACCATTGCCTGCAATGAATCTCACTATTGATGTTGAAACTATTTTGACGATCAGTAGAGGTGTTATAAAATAGTGTGAAAAGTACATTTTCTCAGCATGCTCTACCTTCTTCCCTCGTACTACAGTACAGTACCTCTTCTCATTTCTTGTTCCATTGCACATTGCAAATGATCATTAGGTCTAAGCTGGTTTTTATTTTATGCTGGTGGTGCAGTTTATACTAGATTCCCCGGGGAGAAAAGAAGGGGAGAGAGGAAGAAGAAAGGAAAAGGAAAGAAAAAACGAAGAGAGAAGAAAAGAGGAGAAGGCAATAGGATTGCAATGAAGCGGCTCTACAACACAGGTTTCATGCATGGCGTCGTAAGATGACATACGCTACGCCAGGATTTAGACGGATTTAGAACGAGGTAACAATCCACTATCGAAGATAGCCAACTGGCGCCTTCTTTTCGGGTTCTTCTGCTTGGTGTTTCTTGGAGTGACTCTGGTGGGTTGTGGTGTGAAGCTGGTCCTTTTGAGTTGCGCGCGAAGCGTGCGACTCAAAGGACCAGTCTCAGATTTCCCGAAAGAAAGAAATAACTCTATCTTTCTGTCAGTATACTTGCACACAAGTTCGATATGTGTAGATCGGACTTAGGATGCTGGTGCAATACAGAGATGACGGTCGCCCTACCGTCGTTCATGGAGTCACTATTGAGTCCATTGGTTCGACCGCTTTCTTCCGTCTACGTTAGATCAATGTTTAGTGTGATAATCGATGCGTCTGAACCGCCTGCAGTATTGAAATAATGTCCAAGCACCTCTAAGCCAATAACAATATCTACTGTCCCTACATATTGCAGAATACATCAAGACTCGGAGGCTCATCGCGCCGCGATTTTTGGTGTCTCGAACACTTCAAGATTGGAAACATGAAAGTGATGTCAGTGTATATAAAGAGAACGCAGCCCGATCTTGTGTCGACAACAAACCATCTAGAAGGAAGGTAAATCAAGGCATGAAATACTGCTCGACTCTAGCAGCTGATATTGTTGCTATGATACTATTGAAACGCTTACTTATGCGAGGCTTGCGAGAACCAGCCAGTATTGGATTCGATAGACAATCGGCGGTGTCCTCAATTGACTCAATATATTTAGGGAACCAAGCAAGATGAGTAAGGGCCACCACAAAGCCCGATTTCATCGCAAAGAGAGTAAATACGTGTTCTACGATTGAAGGCATGCAATAATCAACCAGTTTTGATTAAGATTCACAGGCGAAAACATAGACAGAAACCTTTCATGGTTCCTTGTTGGCCGAAGCCGCGATAAGAAAGTCTGTTACAGTATAGTCATATATGATGCTTTCAGATTCGGGTATTGTGTATTCTATTCTGACGGTAATACAATCAACCTGTTTGCACCCGTTTGAGACAATGACTTGATTCCAAAGGACAAGAGAATACTACGCACTACCTACTTATACTGGTATCAGCAGTTGATTTCAATCTGCCATCAGAGAGGAAGACTGAACGATACTCGACAATACATAGTAGTACTCTTTGTGCAAGATTGAAAAGTCTGTTTCTATTGTTTGATCTATCTATTACCTCATGTAGTACCAGCCAATTTCAGTTGCCAACCTACCACCCCATTCTTCAGGGCAGCTAGAAGTGATCCTAGGGGATCTACAGCGCTTCCTCATGATCGAGGGCTAAGGTTGGTCCTTAAGTCAAGGTGTTTAGTTGTTTGATAAGACAAAGAGAAACTGCCATCATCCCCTAACATCATTTGAAGTCTGTAGAGTACTAATTTAGTGTGGAAGGGAGTTAATAGTCGAATCAATCTATCATTAGTGATAGAGAGCTGTGATTGGCTCATACCACTAATAAAAATTAATACTGTAGACGCATCTTTAGTGAATCGACTAATATTAATAATATTAATAACTCTTATTGGCTAAAAATTCAGGTATACAATGTACCCCACAACCAGAACGGCCCGTCTCTCGCAATTGTAGTCGAATGAATCGATCACTCATGTCGACTGAAAATAAATAAAAAGATTTTTCGTGACCAACAGGCTCAATCACTTCTCACGACATTGCTTCTAGACCAAACAACAACATGACAGAAAATGCTCTTAGCGTCGGATTTATTGGCTCTGGAATGATGGCTTCGGCATTGATGTCGGGTTTGGTAGAAAAGAAGATTGTTTCTGGTCCTTCGGCCATCACCTGTTCTGATGTTTGGCAACCAAGTCTAGACATGGCCAAAGAAAAGGGATTTAATGCCACCAAATCAAATGGTGACGTGATTGGAGCTTCAAAGGACGCTGTGATTATTGCCGTCAAGCCATTTGTTGTGGCCGAAGTGTGTCAAGATATCGCCAAAGTGAACAGTGATGCCGTCATCATTAGTATTGCTGCTGGCGTGACGCTCGATTTTCTACAAAGCAAACTTCCTGGTCGAAGAGTTGTCCGTGTCATGCCCAATACGCCTTGTCTCGTCGGCGAAGCAGCCTCTGGGTTTGCCTTGGGCAATGGTTGTACGGACGATGATCGAAAGGTTGTGGAATCAATTTTTGGTTCAGTTGGAGTCGCCAAGGAGATCAGTGAAGTCCTATTGAATGCTGTCACTGGTCTTAGTGGTAGTGGGCCTGCATATGTATACCAATTTATTGAGGCTCTGGCGGATGGTGGTGTCCGATCAGGACTACCAAGAGCTGCCGCTTTGGAATTGGCTGCTCAAACCGTCAAGGGAGCTGCCGAGATGGTGCTTCAGACCGGCACACATCCTGGCCAACTGAAGGACAATGTAACATCGCCAGGTGGAACTACCATCGCGGGTATCGAAGCGCTAGAAAGAGGGTAAGATACATCGTCGTTCTTCAATCTGCAGTCAAATCAACGTGACATGATCACTAAATCTTTTCCCCCACTTCTATCTAAAGAGGATTTAGAGCTGCTACGATTGGAGCAGTCGTGGCTGCAACCAAGAGGTCTATGCAGCTCGGTGGCATCTCTGAGGAAGAGATAAGATACAAACACAATCTGTAATGGTAAAGTCCCTTACCATACTAGTCCATTGAATCATCAATCATCTGCATCCTCCAATAATCAAGCAACAGTCGCCCGTACGGCGACCGACCGAAACTACAACCGTAGAATTCTCATTGGTTGGGAATGCAAACGACGCACCTTCGATATGATTCCCAAATCGCAAAACCTGAACTCTCCCCATCTTTGCCTCCATTCAACGCCTCAACCACGAATCTACTCCAACCTCCAAAGAATAAACTTCATCAATCATGTCCGCTTCCGCACCCAACTCTAGTCCTGAAGGATACTGCAAATTCGCCATCCCAAAGAAGGGACGCTTGTACGAAAAGGTCGTGAAAATGTTGAAGGGCGCAGGTATTGAATTCAACAGAGCCGATCGATTGGATGTTGCTATCTGCAAAGCAGGACTTCCAATTACTTTGATCTTCCTGCCAGCCAAGGATATTGCCACATTCGTTGGAAAAGGTGATATTGACGTCGGGATTACTGGTTGGGACGTCGTGAAGGAAAGTGGTGTAACCGTCGACAGAGTGATGGACCTTGGATTTGGAAAGTGCAAGCTTTCTGTTCAAGCTCCTGTCGTAAAGAAAATTACCGATGTCGAAATGCTTGCTGGAAAACGAATTGCCACTAGTTTCCCAGAGACCACCAAGGAATTTTTCAAATTGATCGACGAGAAGAAGGGAACTAATACAACTATAAGCTTTATTTCCGGATCCGTCGAAGCAGCCTGTGGCCTAGGTTTGGCAGATGCTGTTGTCGATCTTGTGGAAACAGGAACCACAATGAGGGTAAGTGTTTTATGGAGGATCTTTGAGGGACCATGTGAACTGGATGTCCCCTTTTTGTTTTCAAGATCGTCGTCTAACGGACTGTTTGATTTAGGCGGCCGGTCTTGAGGTTGTCCACGAAGTATTGGAGACAGAAGCTATGCTTATTGCTAACCCCAACTCTACCCACAAGGATCTAGTAGACCTTATCAGAAAGCGTCTCGAAGGATTCATCACAGCTACAAAGTACTGCTTGGTTATGTACAACATCTCGGAAGATCTCCTGCCGAAGGCACTAGAAGTCTCTCCAGGAAAGAGATCGCCCACCATCACAAACTTGGAAGCAGATGGAATGAAAGCAGTATCTTCTCTCGTGCTAAAGAAGGAAGTTCCAGAGAAAATGGATGCCCTCCACGATATCGGGGCTACAGATATTTTGGTATTGGAATTGGAAAATTCTCGAATGTAATGTTACAGAATCATCAGATAAATCAGATACTTGTAGAGTTGTACTCAATTGAATCACGTATGATTGCCTTACTCAAGCTAGTCATCAACAACCTATATCTCGTGCAGTACTTTAGTAGTATTAACCCTCAGATATTAATACGATGTATTAGGATGGAAATACAAAGTGTTGTGACTCTACCGGTATCCTTGGTGGTGAGTGGGGGCATGAAGAATTCGCTCCCCCGGATAAACTCTCTCTCGCAATACCCTCAAAATTGTCCGTCAACGGATCCGTGGCTCAGACGAAAAGAGACAATAAACAGTAACACATCACACAACCTTGTCACATGCACCACTGACATGTCTCGAATCCGTTCCTATTCCTTGATATCTCGTTTGATTTCTGTTCAACGACCGATTACTTTCCAAGGTGGCAGTAGATGCAGCAACCGAGCTTTGTCTTCTGCTTACAAGGTCGAGGATGTTAGCCAACTCGTCAGTGGACTGACGCAAGAAGCTGTGGACGCAGATCCAAAGGTTGCCGCCTTTCTTGAAGCCAACTTTGAAAGTTCAGAAGACACTGCGAGTGATGGCTTTATCATTCCCGATGAAGTCTTGGAACAACTTGGGGTAGCTGATATTGACATCCCAGAAAAGAAAGGCAAAGGCAGCGAATATGGTGCTCCTAGAGTAGACAAGGGTCTTGGAAACGAAGCGCAACAAGCGCTAAATATCCGAACGTTGCAATCATACATTCGCGAAGAAGAAGGAAGCAACGCTTGCCGAAGACTGCGATATGCCAAAATGATTCCTGGTATGTTGTATGGAAGTGACCCCAACCTTGGAGTGCTTTCCAACACTCCAGAATCCAAGACAATGTTGAAAACCCCATGGCCCACACTACAACGTGAATTGGATCGATTCCATCGACGATTCGAAAGCCGAGTGTACGATCTTACTGTGTTCGAAGATGAAAGCGATACCGAAGGAACAGTCCACCGCGTTGTTCCACGCAATGTCCAGAGACACCCTGTCCAAGGAAGCATCTACTGTGCTAACTTTGTTCGATACTTCCCAGGCCGACCACTGAAGATTCCTATTGTTTTCGCCAACACAGAGGAGAGTCTCGCGTTGAGACGTGATGGTTTCATCATCCCAGTGAGCAAGCATATTGAGTGCCTCGTTGAAGAAGGTGCCCCGATACCAGAACAAATCGAACTTGACTGCACTGGTGTTGTGCTGAAGGATGTCCTTCGAATGGATCGTCTCATCTTTCCAGATGGCGTGACAGCATCAAAGAGAGTAGACTCTGAGAAGTTTGTCGTTGGACCAGTTGTTGGAGGCCGTGGCGGATCACAAGAGGACGACGAAGACGACGACGCTGCAGGCGGTGACGAGGAGTCATCTGGATAAAAATAGAAAATCAAAAGCTATTATTTCTCAGTCATTTGCGCAAGTTGCAGCTCAGTATTGAGCTCTTCGTGTCCTTCCATCTCACTCTGTCGCTTGGATGGTTGAAGATTTGCTCTTATGCATGATTCGGTTGGGGGCGGTGCCCTTTCGTTTTCTTGACTACGAGAAGATCGACTTTCGAGGTCTTCAACACTCCCAACGTCAGATATTGATTCCACTTCTGATATCAGCGCTCTTGCAGATGGACTGTTCAGAATAAAGGAATCGTCAACATCTTCGCCGTTGCGGTGCCTAGAGAATGCAAGAAAGGCTTCAGCGGGTGGTCTTGCTGGTCGAAGCAGGGGCTCCTGCAGCTGGCCTGTTGTCGTTTGGTCGCGTTTTCGTGCCGAGTAGAGAAGCATGCTGACGGAAAGTAACGTGGGGCACCACTGAAAGGCAATCCACCAATACCAAGATCCACGTTGTGTTCCTCGAATGTGAAAGTAAATGCCAACAAGCCATAGACAACGGATAAGATACAGCACGGCCGTTGTCAACATTGGCAAAACTGCTTTGCAAAGCAGTATTCTGCGCTCCCTAGATGGCTCCACCACTGTCTCTATTCGCTTCCACGTCAACAATAAACATTCGAAAACCACTAGGGAGTGAAGACCCCAGGCAACGGCTTCCAGCAAGAGTTGAATCCTTGATAGATCCGAGTTCTGAATCTTCTGTAGACTACCAGATCGATCATCTAAAGAGACAACCGTCGACAAGGATGCAGATAATACAACTAGGAGAAGAACGGTGACCAAGAACAGTGCTGGAAACAGTCGAATCCGAAAGTCATGTCCTTGACCCAAGCCTCTTGTTGGCCCTGACCTTAGAGCAGTCTTGAGCCAAAGCCCTGTAATGGTTGCAAATGACAAGAGTTCCAGTACTGATCGTCCTGTCACATCCAATAATATGTACCCAAGCTCTTCGGCAAAGCTTGGCGTCTTTGTCAACGGATGCAGACCAGATATGTTGATGTACCTACAGAAAGAAAATATGAGATGGATGCACGTTTGCAGAAGGAAGATTTTCACCATTTCTATTTCACTCACGCAAATATTTCAATAGTTTGAGACATCCACAGCAATGTATGAAATGATCTCCGTCGTGTGAACCATGATGAAGGAGTGCATTGGCACCAACTTGATGACATTGGGTCGTTTGTCGGAGATTCTTCGTCTACATCATTTTCGCTATCATCTTGTTTCCGCACAAACAAATGGAAGACTAGACGCCACGATGCTACAAGCCACAAGACGGCTGATAGCCCCAAACCAATTTCCCCTGCGAGTCGTGGGTTCGCTTGAAACGGAACCAATTCAGAATTCATTGTGGACTAGCACTTGTGAACTTGAAGCGCGGCCTCTCAACAATGGAGTAGGTAAACGATCTATTGGTGCCTTGATGCCTCGCACCAAATAAGATGAGTTGGTTATGTACAATTCGGAGATGAGGCTGTTATTGTCGTGAACGAGTTTGATGGTTTATTTTCATCTCATTCCTTAAATTATTGTTTTGACGCGTGACACAAATTCTTGATCATGACACGAATTCTCAATCGACCGCTTCGAATGCTTCGTCGAAATGAAAAGTCAAAGGTTTCGGATCGGACTGCAACTAATTACACATTTGTACCCTCCCAGTCAATTAACGCTTGATGGGATGCGGCTCTCAATCTCTTCACTATTATGAGCCTTGACCTTGTTGATAGCAAGCCTCATGAGCCAACCCCAACAGACTCACAACGGCACAATCACTTCGTAGTGTTCGAGTCCCCAAAGTACACTGTTGGAATCCATGCTTTTGAAACAAATCCAATTCATTTGGCTCCGTCCAGCCTCCTTCAGGTCCTACTGCTACCACCATTCGTGGGGGAGAGTTTACTGGAAACTTGACTTGGCCCATCCGTAACGGATCTTTCGTGTCGCTAGCTCTCTTTGGGTGTGCAATTACTCGGGCATATTCGGCTGCAGGAAAAACTTCTTCCAAGTCTTCGTCCAAGAACCGTCGTAGGTTGCGAATGATCTTGAGTTTCGGAAGTCGGACATCTCCTGCTTGACATAGACCTTCAATCATCAGTTCTTGCAATTTTTCTGGTTTTCGAAACAAGTGAGAGCCAAAGTAGTCCTTTGGAACCTTATCCGCAGACGTCAAGATAAGCTGGTCAACCCCCATTTGAGAAATCATCGGCAACATTCGACCTAATTGAAGTCTTTTCAGAGGTGAAAGAGAGGGCGGCCATCCAATGGTAGGCAGACGTAGACAAAAGGGGTGAGATACAGTCAAAGTATAGTACCGAGGCAACCTCCTTGTCTGTCTCGCGAACATTGCAACAATAGAAACTCACGGCCGTGGAAGTGCCAAAAGTAGGCTGACTAATATCTGATCTGATGGAGCATCGGGTGGAAGCAAGTTGTCGAGTTGAATGGAAAGCGATCCTGGTGGGTTGCCGTTCTTTTGAACCTCTGGTTTCTTCACTTTTCCTTCTGGAATCCATTCAATTGTTGCATCATCAGTCCATAGTCCATCGTGCTCCCCACAGCTGACAACACCAGCTCGTATTTTGTCGCCATTTGAAAGTCCTAGTGTCTTGGCAGCATGAACAGTCCGGTAATCATCCTTTGCCAATATGACTCTTGGAACAGTCTCCGAGGTATTGGTTGTATTGAAAGCATCGTCACTCTTGGTTTCTAGATTGTCAAACAAGAATCGGTTTAGAAAACGAGTCGTCGTCGAATGAAAGGATCGGCAGTGGGAAAACTTGGTCACGTGTGGTGTGAAACCTCGTATACATGTCGTCGTTCCTGGAAGCAGCATCACTGAGAAAATAAGACCCAACCGCTGTGAAAGGAAAGTAGATCGTGAGCTTGGCGTCATGTACCCTTCTGTTTGAAAGTCGCTCACAAAATGGTGATGGGTGATGGGTTTTGGGAGGTGATGGGTTTTGGGAGATGATGGTTAACTCTCGGTATGGCCAGAGAATCCAGAATCCAGAATTCGATATTTCGTCAATCTACATATCTGACGAAGAACAGACGGGAGAGAAAAAATGACACAATTTTCATTTGTTGTTGATGATTGTTGATCAACGGAAACGCTTTCACACCAACATCGTTCACAAATAGTACAGTGTACGGTACCAGGTACGAGTACAGTATCTCCTATCATCTCTCATTTTCCATCGTGAAAAGTGCAAGATAAATTGATTGAGCATGGTGACAGTTTCTCTGACGACGACTTTGGCGATGAGGAATTAAACAGCGACGAGGAGGAGTCCTTTGATGATAGCTCTAGGGATGATTCCGAAGATTTTTCTGTCTCATTTTCTATTGACAATGATTTTGACACTGCAAGGAAGTGGGGCCAAGACGGCTGGGCCATCGCAAAAGAGTTTAATCACCTTTGTATCCGTGGTACGGTCAATGCTGAATCCGAAATTTATCAACGGCTACTCGATCTATTGCGAAGCGATAGCAGGAGGTAGAAAAAAAATGATGTTTTGTGGACTGCAATACAATTCTTCGCGGGCGTTCTTGGTGCTTCTAGGCGCAAGTTACGGCAAAGTGGATAGATTGAAGTTTCAGGGCTCCATGCATGATGTTGCATCGTTTTATTGTCTCGCTTCTGGAATTTTGAGTGGGTTGGTGCGAGATGTTTCGCTTTCGGGCTCAGATGTACACACAATTACGCTACCACAAATGTTAGCGTTGTCTCAGTGTTTATCACTAACCAACGCTCTAGAGAGGCTCTCAGTGACTGGAAACCTCTCACTCCCCGGTGTCAGTGAAGCTCTCGTTGACGGTTTCGAGGGCAATACGACATTGGAGCGTCTTGATCTGATTTTAACCAAACGAATTGACGCTGCAACATTGCCGCGACTATTTATGTCTCCCCAGAATCACCCAACGCTTCGTCATTTAGAATTGACATCAATTGAAGCATGGTGCTCTAGAAACGTCGAGAGATTTCTTCTATGGCTTGAAAGTGTTGATTGCAAGCTTGAAAGTGTTAAATTGTGTGGGTCTTTGGATTGTTTGACAAGCAATTTGTTTGACAAGCAATTTTGGCTTCCATCCTGGCAAGATCAGAAAGCCCAACATTTCGTTGAGAAGTCTTAGTGTTACCGCAATGGATCGCAGAGGGTCATTTTCTACTGCCATTCTACCGAACTTGAGAAATCTGACGACGCTAGAACTATGCGGTTGTGTTAAGTTTAACTTGGAGCCATTGGCTGTCGTACTACTTGGAGACAGCTGCCGCTTGGAGACGCTGATCCTAAGCCATATTCATATTGGTTGAAGTGATATCCTGCGATTTGCAGAAAAGCTTCCTCGGATGAAAGTGCTTAGAAACTTTTCATCCTTAGAAAGTCTTCTGTACAAACGCGAAGACTTTCGACGATTTCTTCATTTTTCAATGCAGAACACAAGTCTAGAACGACTTGGTATCTCCCGGTATCTCAGCAGGCAAGAGGATACTCATTTGGAGACAGTTTTTTTGGTCCATGCTGAATCGTGGAGGACAGCGATACCTCGGAAAAAGCCAGGCGCTTTGCCATTGAATTTATTCACTCGTGTTGTTGAAAGAGCAGTGAAAATCCGTTACTACAAACCAACGGATGACTCGGGAGAATCGTCTGCAAAGTATGATGGGTTGGGTGAAACATTCTGACTGCTACGAGAAAGCTATGCGGTGCTTGGTCACATTGCATTGGCTCGTTGTATTAGTTTCCTTTGAAATCAATAGTGAACCTCGCATGATAGAAGAAGTTTTCATGTTCTTACTTTTCGTTGTGATTTCTACCCATTTTTTAACAATCTAAGTCCTGTGTGGGGAATCCAGTAAGCTTGGAAATTATATAGTTCATTCTTCCTCTTCTCTTGTCGTCTTAGTTTGGAACTTTGATCATTCGTTCTTCGTCTTCGCAATATAGTGGTATCGTGTTCAATCCGGGACTATTGTTGGACAAGAAGACGACGAGAAGAAGCAAAAACGGTGAAAAGACAACGTCAATGGCAGTCAGCGTCTTCTCTAATCTTCTGGAGCAATTTTCACTTTCCTTTAGGAGCATGAAAATTTGCTTCGCCAGTCTAAGTAGTAGAAAATTGCTTTTCGTCTAATAGTTTTTATACAGTAGTTTACTTTTGGTACTCGTACAGGTATCTAGCTCGGGATTTTCATTCTTTTTTCGGAATTGGGCCCATGAAGTCTTTCACAAAGCGTGCATCTCGTTGTCCAGTTTCAATGGCGGGATATCTGGCCCGCAAAGAATGTATTTTGTAGGCAGCAGCAATTTGAATTGGATTGCTTTGCTTCTTTTTCCATTGTTGGATTTGCGTACTCCAAACAGCATCGAGGGCAGCGGATTTGTTATTCTTTCGCCTCCTTCCACCAAACTTGGTCCTTCCTTCCAGCCCTCTCATGCAGTATCCGTCTTCCAAATCAGCGGGCTCGCCATTGGCCACTCGCTTCAAGGTAGCCGTGACATGTTCTTTAATTTTGGCGTATTCATCATCACTGTACCAAACATTGGCAATTTCTTCATCAGAAATCTCAGTCAATGGTGCAATTTCTCGGAAACTGACAGAGTCCCAAAAGGAAACTGCTTTTCCTCCAGTGGAACGATGCAAGGCAAGAAATTCGCCTTCGGGAATCTCTGGCACTACTGCAGCACCCTCATCAACGTCCCATAGCTCATCACCAGAAACACTGTGTGGTGGCATTGTTCAATCGATACTCCAATTGGAGGTTGAGTCCTAGTTTTAATGCAAAGAGGAGAGGGATGCTACTAGAGCCGAAACGGAGGAAACACGACAAGGAATGAAATGAATGGAAACAGCGTTCGGCGGAAGTTATTTTTTGTCGACATCTGGTTGGTCGACTAGATCGAACAGGTATTGGACTAGATCGATTGATTTAATCATCGATCAATGACGTAATAGTCAATGTGTCACTCATGTTGTCTGAGTGCGACACTGACAGAGGCTGCACATCAGGATATCGCAACAACCAATCCAGTTCTCGAAACGACCTTTGCTACTGTATCTTCTTTGTATTCACCGCCAAACCTATCATGTCTACTGCTGCTACATTTGCCCGGTCCATCGCACGCCGTTCCGTTGCTAGAACCTTGAGAACTCAAGTCGTTGCTCCCCAATTCGCATCACTCCGATTTGCCTCCACGTACTACACTCCCGGTACGTCTTTGCTGCGGTTGTTGTCAAATCTTGATTGAGATGGTTTCGCTCTGTTCTCATAGGTCCTTGCTTCATTTCTACTGTTAGCTCACGAATACATCACCGTCGACGGAGGTGTTGGTACCGTTGGAGTAACTGACTTTGCCCAGGCTGCTTTGGGTGACATTGTCTTTGTTGACCTTCCCGAGCTTGAGGATGAATTCGAAAAGGGAGAGTCCTTTGGCAGTGTCGAGTCCGTCAAGGCTGCTTCTGACGTCTATGCCCCCGTCACTGGAAGTGTAACGGAAATTAACGATACTTTGACTGACGAACCCGCCTTGGTCAACACTGGTGCTGAAGATGATGGTTGGTTCATCAAGATGACTATCAGCGATGAAAGTGAATTGGAATCCCTCATGGATGAAGCCGCTTACAAGGAACACTGCGAGAAGGAATCCAGCTAAGTGCAGTATGTGCTGGCCGCTTTTCTATGGATAGCCTTCTCCTAGTTTTGTTATCCGCCGTTCGATTTCACCCATAATCAGTTACAGATTATAATCTTAGGCAATGTCATATTTTTACGTAAGCCTAAAATATGTCATGTAGCGTCATTCTATTAATAGCCTCTATTGTTTAACTATGAAAGTCCTTCATATGGCGAGCCCATTCGTTACCCGCACCCAATCGCAATCCGCCATCGGCCGCACTCTTCTGATGCAACTTTGTTCGTTTGGCTTCCTTGGTCTGTTGTTGAGCCAATTTGCGTCTCTTTTTGACATTATGCTTGGCATTCACGCAACTGTTCGGGAGAAATACACTATGGGTACCGCAAGTCTTGCAGAAGTATTCCACGGTAAAGCTCTTGGTTTCGATGTCTTGACGCTTTTTGGCGGCGTTCTTGGTCCCTTCCAACTTTTCCAATTCGACCACCTTTTGACGACTCTTGGCGTATTCCTCGGCCTCCACTTCCCTAGCAAATTTGCTCTTGGTATTCCTGACCTTTTCCAAATCAATGTCTCCGACATTGGCATAGAAGGAATCCTTACTCGACAATGCACCTTTTTTCGATGATGTTTTGGATTTTCCAGTTAGATGTTTCTTCTTGTCGTCCTCTGCCAGTTGCCTCATCTTCGCAAGTCTGGCTTGACTTTCCATGATGCTAGTGGTGGATTTGGTCCGGTCGGGCATCTTGGGTCCTCTGGAGTTGGAAAGCATTTGTCTCTGGCCTCCAGCAAATAGTTGGCTGGGTTTGGGAACTGGGACACTCCCGTTAAAGCCAGAAGTACCGTCGGTATTGACCAGCTTTCGCTTCTTGGCCGCCTTGTTGGCCAATTTGGCGAGGGATCCAGATCTGGAATTGGCCGGTTTTGGTTTGCTTCCTTGTTCAAACCAGTCTCCGTCTCCACGAAGGGTGGCATTTCCTACAATGCCAGTCTTGGGTTTGGGCTTTCGAGTTGGCGCCAGGTTGCTTTGTTTGCTATAAGGATTCGCTCTGTTTGTTACATTGGACAATTTTTGACTCCTCATTTGTCGTGGGACGCCCCCACTGAGGAGTCGGTTGCCGCTTTGAGCAGCAACTTGTGGTGGTTGCGTGGATAAAGTGCTACTGCTTGCCACCTGCCGGGAAGTGCCGCCGCCATTGAGGAAACGATTGCTCCCACTCGCTTGTTGTCTTTGTTGCATGACAACACTTTTCCTTTGATCTGCCAGCGTCTTTTTCATTTGTGTTGGAACCGATTGCAGGCCACTGGTGAGACGATTGCTGGCGCCAGCGGTTCCAAATCGGGAGCTTGCTACCGCCAATTGTCCTTCGGCTCGTAATTGTTGCAAGGATCCACCAACGGCATTGGTAGTTTTCGACTTTTTTTCTCGTTGCTTGCGATGATGCAAACAAAATTCGCAGACCTGCATATTGACCCAGTTTTTGCAATTGCCATTCGCTGTCCACTTTCCATCGCTTCCCTTGACTCGAGTGGTGCCCTTGCAGATACCAAAGTCCATGGCCTTGGCGACTAGATGGAACTGACTCGTATTGTTGACTGTAACCGCGATGCGAGTCTTGTCTCCTTCTCGGATAGGTAACAAATTAGGATTAACAATGGCCACAACCTAGGTTTCACAGTAGAAATACTGAGATGAATTGGTCCATGTCGCTACAAGATGAAGTGTTCTGCGTCGGTTCTTACCTTCCCTTTACCACATGTTCGAACATATTTGCTGTATGCATCTCCAAACAACATGACGGTGACACAAGGGCCCGAGGTAAAATTTCCAATTTCTAGGATACAGAAGGATGTACCCTTTGCAGTTTGTTTGGTACCTGTGTTGCTAAAGACAATACCCACAGTCACCATATTCATTTTGCCAGTCACAGTTGCTGGATCAATGTTGATGGGAGGTTCAACCAAAAGGCGGCTCAAGGCGTTCAGATTCATAGCGCTAATTACGGCTGGTGTATAATAGGGGTTGATCGATATCATGTCCAGCAGATCGACTGAGGAAACCTGTCGATCCATCATTCGAATGCCCAACTTGTTGTCAACGCTGCCCGATACGGATTTGGATTTTGTCGTTCGTTGAGAATTTTGCTGAGTGGAAGATTTGGGTCGTCCGAGGCTATTTGGTGGCGGTGTCACTACTTGTGCTTGATTACTACTTTGTACAGCTGATGCAGAGGATTGTGACTGCGATGTCGCAGCAGCGTTTTCATTTTCGTATTCATCATCCATCAAATCCAACAGTTCGTCCATGCCATCATCATTGTCATTCAACTGTGGATGATTCTCGTTTGTAGGAGAACGCTCCTCTTTGTCCATTAAATCCAGTAGTTCGTCCATGGATACTCTTGATTCTTCACTTCAATACCACTTCACCAACCATTTCAATCACAAGGTCGTTTGTGTGTGTGTGTGTTTCTGGCTCCCAGATTTGACTCCTCTCTCTTCTCTCTCATCTCTCTGTCTCGAAAAATTATGGCGCGGTCAGTCTGTACGTCTATGCGAACGCAACCCTCAAACGAGTATCAGTATTCATTCATTCTCTAAAATGTCACTTCTATTTACTAGCTCCACGCTTCTATACTAAACCTACCAAGCCGTTGAAGTTTATTCAATAGCTGAGTGGCCTGCTTTTGCCCCCCTGTCAATGCATCACCAAGGACCTCCACCACTTCTTCCTTTACTGCCCGTGCCATTCGTGGTCCACCAGCAATGTACAGGGCTCCATTCTTCTCCAAAAGGTGCTTGACAATCAGTTTTCCGCCATCCGCGTCTTTCACCACCTTTTGCACATAGATTTTGCGCACTTGGTCTCGACTAAAAGCAGTCAAAACCCGTACCCGATTCTCTTGTTCCATTGCTCGCCACTCGTCTTTGTAATAGTAGTCAGATTGCTGTTTTCGGCAGCCAAAGACTAATATGTTGTCATTTTCATCCGGTGTCAAGGGCGTTCCATTCTTGGAGGCAGCAATTGATCGAAGGGCGTCTCGCTCCAATAGCAATCCACGCATGGGAGCCACACCCGTTCCAGCGCCAACACACAAGACTGGAATGGAGAAATTCGATTCCGCAATCTCGCGGGGTAGTCGTGAAAAGGATCCAGGACGGAGCCATACCTGTAACAGCGGTGAGAACTCTTTGGTAGGCACCATTCTCGAGAGAAATTCAGAACATAGTCCATGATAGCTACGTCCCAAACGCGTCGTTCCTTGGACCACAGCGACACACAGTTCCAGAGTGAAGGAATCATCATCCTTTGGCGTTGAAGCGTCCAGCAATGCTTGTGACGGAGCGCTGGCAATGCTAAAGTCACGGGGTCGAATTGGTGGAAGAAGCTGCAGCAAGGCCTCCAGCGTCAACTTGGAACCAGGTGCTTGTAGAGATGCAAAGTCATATAGCACATCGGCCCAAGATCTCTTTTCTCTCAAGATGTAATCAGCAAACAAGGCCGCTTCGGAGGTTTCACTCAAGGATTTCAGTTTTGATCGCTGGTCAGCTCCCTCTTCTGCTTCCAATGAACATAATCCCGAAAGTGCTCTCAAGTCTTCCCGCTCGGGCAAAGAATGAATGTCGGCGCAATAGGTGAGCAAGTATCGGAGTGTGCAGTTGGATGGCCATCGAGCAAAGCTATTGTTCCACTTGGATTCGACAATTTTAATGGACAAAGGATTGTCCGCTACTTTTTGGATCGACTCGGGGAGTACTGACAGGAATCGTTTCACTTCGTCATCTGAGTTGAAGGGCAATATGGTGGCAATATCTCCTGCACAGTATGGCAAGGTCTCAGTGCTTGTATTGCCATTCGACCTGCCAGTTGCCTGAGTTGACTCCGGCCGAATTTCGATATGCCGAGTATCTTGTTCCCAATCGGCAGCCGTAATGCGTTTATTGTTTACGACCTTCCCAAGTAGAGGTTCTGTTTTGATTTTTACGGGAGCTTCGGAGAGTCGAGATGTGTGGGAATCGTAGTGATAGGCCGTGACGGGACAAGATTGTGTGAAATACTCCTGAAAGGAGGTCTTGTAGATTTCATCTCGCCATGCATCCTTTACTATTGGCGCTACTGGTTCATCTCCAACGGTAATTTCAAATGGACTTTCTGCCGCCTCTGTGACAGCTTCCGAGTCCTCGCTTTTACTGGTCAACTTGGTCAACAAATGCTGGGTGGTCCAGTCGTCCAAATCTCGAAAGACGCCACCATTTGGAGTATTGTCATCTCCGTAACCCACATCACAGTATCGTTCCATACCTAATTGTAGTAATCGAACAGCCAGTTTCCGACCACCTGCACAGAATTGAGGTCCATACGCACGATCTCCTAAGCAGTACAAAGCAAATTGCTTGCCTTGTAACAAATTCTTGGGCAAGGACTTTTGAAGGAGAGCTTTCCAGGTATCCCGAATGGAATCGCAATGTTCGCCATCTCCCGTCGTACTGACAAAGAGTAACAAAAAGGTGTCGCTTGGAAGATTCGCAACCAAGTCGAGAAAGGGTTGAGAGGCGTCGTCAAACGAAGATCCGACATCGTTTACGTTCAAGGTGGTTTCTTCCTTCAATATTCGAGCAGTCCGTCTGGCACATGCTTTGGCACGTCCAGACTGAGTAGACCAGAGTATTTGACACGACGTAAAGGCTGACATGGCGAATGATAGTGCCAAATGATCCGAGATTCGCGTCGTTTTTTCAATGAATTCTGTTTGGATGTTATTGTGTGCGTGTCGTTTTGTTTTTGTTTTCTTCGTTGTATTTTGAAAGAGCGATGGACGGACATGTAATCGGGGTAGTCAACATTTGCCTTCTTTTTCCTCGCTCGCCTCGCTCTTCCTCTTCAACAGGCTCCGTCAACAAAATTTTGACAGAGCAAACCTGAGAAGCAGATTGCCTACAGTACTGTATGAATATGCTTGCAGGCCTGCTCAATGAGTATCATGATGTTAATAATATGGACCTTCTTATTGCTGACAATTAGTGCTGCAATAGCCGAGAGGAACCTTGCAAAAGTATCTGTAAGTTTTGTCTGATCATTGTTTCGTCAAAGTTCCGCTTTTGATTGGACTTGCTCGGTTTGTGTCATCATTATCATCACGCGCGCACACCCAGGTCATCATTCTAACGCTATCAACTCTTCCTTAGCCACGGATCATTGGTGGTTTTGATGCGAAACAAGGACGCTACCCGTACATTGTAGAGTTGGTGAATCCTGATGGGTCTCCGCGATGTGGTGGTATTTTGGTGGCAACCGATATGGTTCTAACGGCTGCACATTGCAGTGGCGGATTGGGATTTGCTTACATTGGTCGATGGAACCGTGACTCCAACGAAGCATACGACAATTTTACCATGGTGGAGATGGAATACATTCATCCACAATTTGTTGAGGATCTAGCTACTTCCTATGATTTCATGCTTTTGAAGTTAACACAACAATCGTCTAAAGCCTACATTAAACTCAATGAGAATCCTGATATTCCGACGGGCCAACGGATTGATGAAGTGACGGCTTTGGGATTTGGGACTATATCTACCAATTTGGAAGAGTATCCGTCCACACTGCAACAAGTGGAACTGACGTATATCAACAACAATGAGTGCGAAAAGTCCAAGGATCCAAACTATGCCGACAGTTATCAAGGAGTAATATCATCGGATATGTTGTGTGCTGGAGATTTTGGACAGGATACCTGTCGTGGTGATAGTGGCGGTCCGTTGATTGTGGATGGCGGGTCACCAGACAAGGATATTGTGGTTGGAATTGTCTCATGGTGCGTTGCTTGAAAGTCTAGATATAGTTTGGCTTTGTTTGCTGGTTGGTCGCTTACATCTTGATGATTGCCTTTCATTGAATGAAGGGGTTTTGGGTGTGCCCTACCTGCATTTCCTGGTAAGTGAATACTACTTATGTGATTTTGCTGGTGCATTGGGTGCTCATGGTACACGCCATTTGTTTGTTTGTAAAGGTGTTTATTCAAGGGTGAGTCACGAAGTCCAATGGATCAAGCAAACTATTTGCTACGTTTCGGAGAACCCTCCGACAGAGTACGATTGTTCTCTCTACACCCCTCCAGTCGATGGCGAAAATACCGTCCCTGTAACTGTGACACTGAACTTGGATGATTTCCCAGAAGAAACGGGTTGGTCGATTCGAAATAAGGCAGGTGGAACAATCTATGGGCAAGCCAAGCCAGGAGATTACACTACAAAACGGGACACGGTGATTGAAACTGTTTTCTTGCCGGCTGGTTCCACATGCATATTTGAAATTACCGATATCTTTGCGGATGGGATGTGCTGCAATAACGTTCCAGGCACCTATGTGATCATGATGGGACGGGCTGCCACTGGGACAGTCATTGCCACGGGTGGGGACAAGTTTGGAGCATCACAACAACATGAGTTAATTATCCCTACTGACTACAATGAATCTAATGGGCCGGTGATTGGTGAAGGACAGATTGCAATGACGCTGGTGCTGCAACTAGACAACAACCCCCTGGAGAATGGATGGCGTGTGGACCAATTGGGCGGTGTTGAGAGCAATGAAGTTGTCCGTGTTCCGCCAGGTGCGTATAGGACGCCTCGTGCCAAGATTGTACGGACGATGGCTCTAGACGAAGGAGAGTTGTATGCTTTCCGTGTCAGCGATCTTGGGAACGACGGTATTCAAGACGGATATGGTGAGTCAGTCGATCTCTGAACTCTTTCCCAAGGTTAGAACGAGGGCTCATTCTGCTGTGATGTTTTCTTTCTTTCAGTACAAATTTTCTTGGGGACAACGAACATTAAAGATGAAAGTCGAATGATTTTTGAGAACAATGGTGATTTCCAAGGATCATTAGACTTTTCATTCATCTCCAGTTTTGATACAGACCCAACTTCGCCTCCAAGACTTGACTCAGAGTTTTTCCTTACACTGGAGCTACGGCTAGACTTGTACCCCGAGGAGATTTCATTCCAAGTGCGAGCCAATAGTGACGAAACTGTCCTGTCACGCCAGAATCGCGATGATTCTGTCATTTTCTTCCGGCCACCACGATTCTATTCCGATAAAGCACGACAAACAGTAACGGAAATCATTCCTCTCCCTACCATCAACTCTGGAACGAGTCGAGATTTCACATTTATCATTTCGGACGAGCATGGCGACGGTCTATGCTGCAACTGGAGTGGATCAAATGGAGAGTTGCCTGGGTACACTATGTACGAACGTGGACCTGGGTTGAACAAGGTTCTCTTTGGAAGTAATATGGAAGGAACAAGTAAGGAGGTGCACGAATTTACCATTGAAGGACCACCATTAAGTGGTGAAAAGACGCTTAGCCCTATCGAGTCTCTACCCACTGTCAAAATAAAGATCACAATTGCTCTTGATGGATATCCGACCGAAACTGGTTTTGCCATTAATGAATTATCGGGGAAAAGAGTTGTGGACCGACCGTCAGGGAGTTTTTCGAGTCCCAATTTTCTTATGGAAGAAATCGTCACCTTGGAAATTGGCGTTTACGAATTCTTCATCTTTGACTCGTTTGAAAATGGACTAGAGGGCCAGGACAGCTTCTACCGCATTGATATTGTTGATGGCCAAGATCGCGCCCCAATCGTAAGAGGCTCTGGTAGATTTAGTACTCAAGAGAGCAGAGTCTTTGTCTTGGAGGGTGAAACGGCCGATGCGCCGCTGGACATTGAATTTACGCTTGACGATCACCCATCGGATTTCGGTTTCTTTCTGAAACGATTGGATCTGGTTGCCCCTGAGGCTTTTGTTGCTGAAGTCCCTCCCGGATATTACAGCGGTCGTAACCAGAAAGTTACTGAATCGTTGAAAATCCGAAAAGGTGGACTGTACATTATTGTTTTTGAGGATGCTGGTCGCGATGGCATTGGGGGAGAAATTTTAGTCAATGTAGGATCGAAGCTTGACGGCAAGACTTACTCTATTGATTTTTCAAATCAACAATCTTGGCAGCTCAAATTTCTCGTAGGCGTTAAACCTGCTACTGCTAGTGGTGGAAAGAGGCTAGAGTTGAAAGTGAAATTTGATCAGTTCCCCCAAGAACTAGAATGGATTTTGGTAGCAGACGTGAACGCAGACCTTATCAACCAAGGCAGGGCATTACAAGAGCAGCAAGTGGTCGCTTTTTCCAATGAACCGTACTCCCAAGACCTAGAAAACAAGAACCACGTTGAAACCATACCACTGCCTCCTCACATCGGCCCGAGGACCTTCACAATGATCATCACAGATTCTGAAGGAGATGGCATTTGCTGTGAGTTTGATTCAGGAGGTCCAATCGAGCTTTTTGACAACGGACGACTTGTCTTCACGGACCCTTTTGCAGGTAAGAGTCGGGCGTACCACTCGTTTACCGTAACAGACAATGAAGCCGTTTCCACGACAGCGAATGTTCGCAACCATCAATCCATTGTGATAGCGATTGCCTTGGTTTTGATGACGAGATGATATTGTTGCGACAATGGGTACTTGCGGCAGTACCAGATAGCAGTGGATATTGTGACTGGTAGATACTCTTTCAATTCCCTGAATGTAAAATAGTTGTTGGATTTCCCCCCCGGGAGTGCGTTCCGGTTTGCCATTTTCCGAGTTTTGCTATCTTTTGGTCTGTCCTGCCTTTCATTTTCGGAGATGATATCGGAAGCAACACGATTTGGACAACAATAAAGAGTCTCTATCCTCTCCGAAGATTTGAGTCTATATCTTTTCCGAAGATACCATGGATCTGTCCTCAAAACTACAGCATGATGAATGGCATAATGAAACAGAATGAATGTCATGAACGCACAAACACTCACTCTTTGGCTAGCTATTCTCAGCTCAACTGCCTTTGCTAAACCTCGAATCATTGGTGGCTCAGATGCGAATAAAGGACGCTTTGAATACGGGCAAGTATCATTACAACTTGGTGGGCTTCATGTTTGCGGTGGCGCACTCGTATCTACAAATTTAGTTTTAACAGCAGCCCATTGCCGAAAAAGCTTTGACACTGTTGTGGTCAATGCATACAATGTAAGTGCATCACCTTACTTTTGAATGCAACGTTTCGTTCACCACTTCTCATCTGGTTTGTTGAAAGCTGAGTGACAGCTCTGAAACTCGACTACAATATAAGCCTCGTCGTCAATTCATCCATCCTGCTTACAATAGAGAAAGTGATACTCATGATGCAATGATAGTAGGTGCGTTGTGCTGCCTTGTTCCGTCGTGATGTTTGGAAGCTTCGCTGATCAACAATTATTCGATATTACAGAATTGGACGGAATAATAGAAGATATTGATCCGGTGGTTATCAATAAATATTCGACCGTTCCAAGCGTTAATGACACCCTTTTTGTCATGGGGTGGGGCATGACAGTGTTTGGAGACGAATCATCTTATGCTGAAGTTCTTCAAATAGCTGCACTACGATACATCAACCCTGACGCTTGCAAGTCAATGGCGAATGGAAATGGACAGTCGCTAGGAGATTGGATCCTAGAAGATCACCTGTGTGCATGGGAGGAACGAAAGGATGCTTGTTCCGGTGACTCAGGTTCGCCATTGATCGTGCCCGGCAACTCCCATAAGGGCGACGTTCTCGTTGGTGTTGTTTCTTGGGGAGTAGATTGTGCAGGACCCCTCCCTGGTGTTTATGGCCGGGCCAGCTATATCTACAGTTGGTTGGAGCAAATCATATGTACACTCTCTTCCGCTCCACCGGGCAACATGGAATGCAAAGCATACGATGTTCTTGGAACGAAGACCACACCTAATACTACAGGTTGTAAAGGGTGTGATTCCATAAAGATACAGGATGACGACGCATCAGAGAAGAGGGGAACTAGTGGAATTCCTGTTGGAAATGGGATCTCATGCTTTTCCGTCTGCGCTCTGAATTTGACACTTTGGTTTTGGGTTTTCCAATAATACTAGTGCAGCATTGACCATCAGGCTCTGTTACCCTTCGGACTATAGAACGCTTGCATACCTTCTCCACCTAAATTATATCAGAGCTGGGTTATTTTTCTTTGTGTTTCCAGATCCCGTAACCTTTTGTCTCTTCTTGGAAGTTTTACTTTCTTTCGATTCCGAACCCAACAACTTTCCACCAAGAATCCACCTCGACTTCACATACAAATCATTTGCCATAGTTCCACTTTGTCGGACCCGTTCGCCACTAAAAGGGTTTATACTAAAGAAAGTCTCATTGTCTTCAATTTCAGTTCTGGGTGCATCGGGTTCGAGGATATGTGCAAGTCCCTCGGGTAGATGGGCAATAAATGAATTCTCCATAAGGTACTGTGCATCGGCGATCCCCTCGAGCTCAGTATTCGTTGTGACAAGGTATGGGGTACCACCTGGAATTGCTGATACTGCTTCTTCCCAGGTGTAATCAGGACATGTGAAACCTTTATTGAGCAAAGGGAGAATAGCGTGTAAATGCATGAGTTCACCTCAAGAAGTAGCTGTCGCCCTTGTTCGCGATGACGTACCTGGATTAAAGAATACCACTATATCTGGACAATTGAAGTGTTTGCCATTCAGGAGCGATTTGCTGTAATTTACTCGCTTTGTCATGACATTTAGCTTGCATTTGATCTTTCGGTTCTTCATGGACGGAATCAGGATCGTGTCCACCATATCTATCTTTGGGCACTCTGGTCCGATGAACTTCAATTGGATAGATTCAAATTTGAATCTATCTGCCATTTCAGATAGTGCTTCAGCATAGCATTTGAAAACCTTCTTCTCTTGAGATGAGTCAGGGTGGCCCTCCCATAGCTCTGAGTCCGGAGATGTCCCGATTACATGAATTTCGACCTCACCTCCCGAGTTTTTTTGGAGCTTCTCCTGAAAGCATGGTCCTTCAAATATTATGTTTGCAAGGGTCGCAGGGTATGATTCCATTTCACTGGCCACGCGGTCAAAGGCTGGCGTTCTCTTGGCTTCCGGCATTCCCTTGTCCTCCTTTCCTTCAACAAGCTCGTCATCGTTGCAAGTCCGAAGTAGTGTACAAACTATGGAGGAATGTCCAAGAGCTTGCTCTTCATCATCATCAGGTGGCGTAGTATCCTTCTTCTTACATGCATCGGAGCAGTATTTGACTCGCTTACATGCTTGACAATAGATTTTAGGATTAGAATTTCCGCATGCAACGCAAACATCAAACCCAACTTTCACATCCTCAACAAGTTCACCGCCAGACGACAAAAATAGGCCAATTCGAGTTTGCTGCTCTGGAACATCCTCTAGGCCTAGTGATCGAACTACATCCATCGTGGGTTTTGGCTTTGGAGATAGCGATAGAATGGCGACTCTTGATATGTATTTATTCTATCGAGCTTGGTTTGTTGGTGAGCAATTTTCTGTGGTTCTGAAGTCAGTCACGGATGTTATCCATTCCCGTTTTGCTACCCAGAAAACCTTTAACACTCTCGTTGTGTATGGCGGGACGATATTCTCCTCATAACTATTAACAGTGTTTCCCAGTCATCCTTATTCTCTTCTTTTGGCAACCCCCTCGAATATCCACCGATCTCTTTAAAATCTTTTGGCCACTTTGCTATCATTTCTTTCTTCAGTTCGTGATCTGTCATATGAGGATTCTCTATCAGCGCTTCTCGGGTTGAGAACAATGCCCTGGATTCCGAGTATTCCACATAATGAAAACTAATAGTTTCTTGTGCACAACATCCCACACCAGAATCAAGGTGATTGTAGGAAGCATCTGTCTTCATCATTTTGTCCATATCTTCGTGTTTCTTTTTGTACCAATCATCGACAGCGCCACTCACTACTCGAGTGAGTGGAAAGGCATGGAATCGGTGATACTTTCCGTGATAGCGTGTATCAACTGCTTCCACATGAAGAACCTCCTTCAAACACTTGGAAGTCACAAGACCTGGGTTCCCTTGTAGCCATTTGGCACCATTTTTCAACAAACATGTCGGATCTTCTTTGTCCCATGCTTGTACCAAACTTTGCATCGTCTTGCGCGACAAGACATATCCTGCTGCTCCAGAATTGAAGATATCTTTTTGATTCTTCATAGCATGTCCATGGTACATATCTTCTTCCGGATGCTTGTCTTCCAAGTACTTGCACAAGTGTTCTGGAATTACAAATGTATGGTCATTTACAAAAAAAGCAAAATCAGGGTTGACTTTCTCATAGACGGTGCGAATGACATAGTTCAACCTGGGAAGGCCATCGTTAAAGCTGATACTTGGAGGAACCAAGAGGATCTGTGGATATGAGTACGGATCTTCTGGTTGACTCTTTTCGGATATGACCGCATGGTGATCTGCCTGTGGAAATTCGCTGACATTATGAACCACGTAGATTGCTCGGGCATTCGGCCCCCATGTTTCAAAGATGGAATCTAAACGTCGTTTACGGTTCTTAGGATTGACCACACTAGGCAATACGACAGTCACTGTTCGTGGTTGACCGGAATAGAAGTGATGCCGAAAGCCCGCTCGTCCATGCAACCTTAGATGGCCCAATGGATCGGAAATAAAGTGCATGACATGCCGATGTTGATGGCTCAGAACAAGATAACCCAGAAGGAAACCACAGACTAGGAAGACGACGACGATTTCAAAGGCAACCCCAACCTCGCTATGAAGAAAGGAAGGAAGATAACGGGAATAACGACGACTCCGTCTTCGATGAGGACTCTGTGGGTGTGAGTCGTCAGTGTCATCAGCGTGATTATTGGCAGACCCCTTATGGTGCTTACGAGCATGGAGCCCAGTTCCCCCAGTGCCACCGACAATGTCCATGGAATAAGCTCTCCTAAAGTCGTTGTGTTGTGATTGAATCAATCGCTATCGGATTCTGATTGCTGGCCTCTGTTTTCTTTTCATTCATCAGTCTTGTCAGGATTCATTCGACCTTTTCGACTGGAACAGATACGTAAAGGACAACTAGCTAGGAAGAATGTCAATGGTACCTAATGTTGCCGATGTTGACTAGGAATGCTATCAAACTTATTGTACAATCTAAAAGCTCGACTAATTCCAAGCGTAATCTCGAATGAAGCACTATTGTTTCCACTCGGACAGGTTTTGGGTGTGTCTCAAAGCGAAAACGAAAGGCTTGTATTTGGGCGTCCCAATTTCTGGACTTGCAGTCCAGAACTGTAGGCAGTCTTTCACCAAATCGGCTCGTGAATGCCAGTGATCGTCGTACTTATGAGAGCTAGCGATATTGCATGGACCAAACACTAGATCCATCAAGTTAGCAAGAAGGAACCAAACGTTTGAAGCAAAATATGCGTTGCGTTTTGAGTCTTGTCCAAGTTTAGTCCATCTCTCTGTAATGGTCATCTTCCGTTCTCGAGGTCTTCATTCCGCTTGAAAGCTGTTTTTGTTGTTCGTCCACCGCCTTTGCGTGAGCTACAGCTTGTTCATAGTCCCCCACCAAAAACAAGATCGAAAAGCTGATCAGCATGAATACTGCGAGCGATGTCACCCCAAGTCTCATGGAGTATCCAGCCTCATTCAGCATGGAAAAGACCAAAGGTGGGAGCCATGACAAGACTTGACACGCACAAATATAGGTACCCATGAGCTCTGCTTCCTGTCCTCGTGGAATGACAGTAACATATAGTGTCTTTTCTGTAGGAAATGTCCAGCCCAAGGCGAGCCCCCAAAATACTGCAAAGGTATAGGCAAGGGACTGCTGCCCTTCGTGTTTTAGAAATACTGCTGCCGCAGTGATCGAGACCATCCATAAGCAGAGGCACGCTTGCAAACTGCGGATTGGATTGAAAATCTTGGTAATTCGCGTGGCAATTTGTGCTCCAGGAACACTAAAGAGCAGTAGAATGAGAATGGCAATACCATTCTCCTCCGCTTCAAAACTCAATTGCTCCGTCATATATGTGATGGCAATGGTGGCAAATGTTGTAGTTGCAGCTTCAGTAAAGGCCACCGAAATAAGGACCCATTTGATGGCGGCATGATCTTTGAGGATCTTTTTACCAGTCTTGTAAATCTTTCGAAACCCAGCAGTGACAAGAGAACCATTTTCCGGTACTTTTTGGGAAGCAGATCGCGAGTGGAATAATCTGATCCAGGAAGTTGCAAAGAATATACAGCAAACGATAACGACGACTTCTTGCGCAAGAAATGCCGAGTTGACTTCCTCGTCTTTGTTGACTGCCTCCAGAATCAACACCATCATAACGAGAAAGGCCACAGAACTTCCGTATTGGACCCCTGTAAAATGTGCTGCTAATTTGGTCAATTCACCATGATCTGATGTCAGTTCAGGAAAGTAAGAGTATACAACTGTCAGGTGCACAGTGTAGGCAACGGAAACGAGAATCTGCAGAATGGCTGCCGTCACCCAGTGGTCTTCCATGACGAACATCTGAATAAATATGAACACGGTAATCGCAGCTGCTGATATTGAACCGACAGCTCTTCTGTGATCCGTATGATCAATAATAGAACCAGCTAGCGGCATGATGAGCGCAGACAACAGTCCCGTAATGGTGACAATATTGGTCAAAACAGATGTTGGCCGCATTCCGTGCACTCTACAGTCCTCCTCTCCTCCTCTTTCTTCTGATGAATCTACACAGACTGAAGCTTCTTTCGCCAGTCTTAGAAGTTCTGAAGATACAAAGACTGCTGTGGCCATGAGAATGACACCTCTTGCTGAGGCATCCAAACCCCACCCCAAAACTTCGTCTATCTGTCGACGCTTCTTTGCAAGACTTGCTGGTTTAACTGATTCACCATCCGGTATACCTTCTTCATCATCTAGTCTGGGGGTGCATCCATAACACGCGACCGCTACACCACAAAGCAAGGACGACTCATCTTTTTGGGACAAAAGGTCCTTGTTCGAGTCCATTATTCTCACTTGTGGTGTGGTGAAACTCGTGTTTTTCAAAATTTCCTTGGCTTGCTTGCGCGGAACGCTTTTGCTTTTAGTCCATTGAGTCGCCAATGAAATCAAAACGATCGTACCAACCGGTATTTTGTATCGTATCCAAAGCATCAAATTCCGTGAAACCCGCGGTTAGATTATCGTTGAAATTCAATCATCATCAGTCGTCATCATCTAGAATCTCGACACCGTAAGAGTATTACGATAATGGTGAAGTTAATCACCAGACTAGAATTGGCCCATGACGACAGGAAGCTAATTGATCTTATCGCGAATGAAGACTGGAAGCAACTTCGAACCGCATTGAAGGAACAAAAAGACGAATTGACACAGATTGACAAGCGTCGTGGTTGGACCGTCCTCCATTACATGTGTGCCATTCCATCTATTCCGGACGATATATTTGCTACAGCTGTGCGATTGTATCCCATAGCAACCTCCGTGCAAGGTACCTCGCCGTACTGCCATCTACCTCTTCACGTGTTTTGCGGAGCCCAAGACCATTCGTTTTGCAAGGTGCAGGTGCTACTAGAGCACATGAGACCTGACGACCTCTTAGTTACGTCATACACGAGAGGTTCCTTGTTGCATCATGCATATCGAAAGCAGGTACGGCTATCGATCTTGCAGGAACTCATTCGGGCCAATCCAAAGATTGTTCTCTTGCGCCATCACTTCCAACTTACCCCTCTTCATGCAGAGCAGTACGGCTTATTGCAAGTGAGATACCTTCTAAGAGGAATCAAAGTTGACGAAAGACGATTCCAAGAATATTGGGCCAAGGTAGTCCTCATTGCGACCGCTGCCTTTAAGCTGTCTACAAATTATGATCCAGCTAGTAGTATTGAAGGCAATATTGAAGATTACACACTGCATGGTCTTCAATTCCTCCATGCCCCGCATTCAATACAGCATGCAGCTACAATATTACATCCCAAATGGGCCTCGATACCAGACAGCCAAGGAAACTATCCACTACACAATGCCATCCTCGACATACCCCCAAAAAACATCTTCTTGCCACCATTTGTCAAGGAAATCCTTGAGGCTTTTCCTGAAGCAGTAATGAAACGAAACACTGAAGGCGAATCGCCAATATTTGTTGCAATGAGAAAAGGTATGACCTGGGAAAAGGGCATAAAGGACATTGTCCGAACTCATCCGGAAAGCCTTTACTCTACAGACCACCAGACTGGCTTGTTTCCGTTTCTGCTCGCAGCTTCTTTGAACCAAGAAGCTAACATGGAAACCTCGTATCAATTGCTTTGTTCGAATCCTAGTTTACTCAAAACGTAGATGATGCGAATTATGTATCATAGTGGAAGTATTTTAAAAAATAACGACGTAAGGTGTATCAGGAGATCAGTTCCCACTCCCATGAGTCGAATCAATCACGATCCGACACTTTCAAACGTGCCGCAAACACATGTTATTATTACTGTCATGCTATGCAACAATAATCGCCCTCCCCTCCGCCTTCGCTCTTCCACATTTCATATCTTTGCATAGTTGTGAAGAAGAAAGGCACAAACAATGGAGGAAGTCCTCAAGGAACTACAAGATTTGAAGAAGACCGAAATAAAAAAGGAGGAAGTCTTGAAGGAACTACAAGATGATGCCCGGACGCTTGCTGGTCTGATTGAAGACATGAATTGGGAGAAACTCCGTACAGCCATTCATGAACGCAAAGAAGAACTCAAAGAGGTCGATGACAGTCGAGGGTGGACCATACTTCACCGTTTATGTGCTCTACCACCTGTTCCAAAGGACATCTTTCAGAGTGTGGTGAAATTGTGCCCTGAAGCCACCAAAGTCCGTGACAAGAAATGGGGCCAAACACCTTTGCATGTGCTATGTTGGAACAGTCAAAAGACGGTGGGTAAAATTCAAATCCTTCTGCAGCACATGCCTCCAGAAGATTTGTTGATTGGTACACATCTTGGGGGATCAGCTTTGCACTGCGCATGTTCGGGTCATGCGTTTCTTCCTGTCCATCAGGAACTGATTCGAGCCAATCCCAAGATTGTACTTGTCAAGTCTCGCGAGTACAAGCACACGGCATTGGTGGCCTTATGGCAATCACATTTGAATACAATTCAGGGACACATGCAAGTTGCTAGAATTTTAAAAGGAGAGACAGTAGAAGAACGGCATTTCAAGAGATTCTGGGAAAAGGTTGTATTGATGGCGACTACTGCTTTCAAGCTATCACCAACCTACAGTCCCGAGATGAACAACGATATTGAAAGATATGCTCTACATGGTCTTCAGTTCCTTCGGGCACCGTTGAAGACACAGCAGGTTGCCATCAAACTACACCCGGAATGGGTGTCTGTCGCAGATAGCGAAGGAAACTACCCACTACATAATGTCATCATTCGAAGGCCCTTCAGAATAAAGGATATTCACCTCATCAAGGATCTAGTGGCCGTTTACCCAGAAGCTGCGTCCAAGCGGAACGCCAGAGGGGACGAACCCATTTTTATTGCCTTACGAGAACGAATGGCTTGGGATGCTGGGGTAGAAGCTTTGGTCAAAGCCCAACCGGAGATTCTTTCCTCCATGGATCGTGAGACTGGACTGTGTCCGTTTCTTCTCGCAGCTTCTCTGGATGGAAAGGTTGCCGTGGAAACTACCTACCAACTGCTTAGTGAAAACCCACATGTTGCCAAAGTGTAGCAAAAGCACTTTGTGACCATTTTAGCTGGCAGATTGACTAAGCGAAGAAGCTACCACCTATGTCCCTAATCAACTGCTTTTGGATAACCCTAGTCAACTTCTTGACAAAGTAGAAAAATACAGTGCACTGTTAGAGAAAGAAACCAGAACAAACTACGCAGTAGCACCTTAGTTTTTCGGATCGAATGAATCAACTTTCAGATACCACTTTCAAAAAATTTCGTCACGCATCTCAGATCTCAGTTTGCATCTACAGTACACTCTAACAGCATACTGTAGTTGACAAGAGACCAAGGCACAAGATCTTCCTTGCCTTGGTGATCTAGTAGCTTCACCCCCTCTCCCCCTACGAAAGTCGAGAAACATAGTGACAAGCGACAAACTAGTGAAATGGACAAAGGCTGGAAGAAGGTAGAAGATGAGGATGCCAGAACACTCATAGATCTTATCGAAGATATGAATTGGCCCAAACTCCGCACTGCCGTTCATGAGCGCCAGGAGGAACTGAAAGAAGTAAGCGGACTTCACGGGTACGATTGGACCATACTTCATTTCCTTTGTGCAGTGCCTCCCGTTCCAAATGACATATTTGAGAGTGTTGTGGAACTGTATCCTGAAGCCACGAGGGTGCGAGGAAAGAAATGGGGCCAGACCCCCTTGCACGTCCTGTGTCGGAATAGCCAAAAGTCAGTTCGAAAGGTACAAATTATACTGAAACACATGGAACCAGAGGATTTGTTGATTGGAACCAATATCGGTAGTACGGCTTTACACTGTGCATGTGCCAGTCATGCTTGGATTCCCGTTCTTCAAGAGCTCATTCAAGCAAACCCAAAGATTGTCTTGGTCGCGACACATGATCAACATACGGCGCTATCCGCGCTATTTCAATCACATTTACAGACGATCCAAGGACATTTACAAGTTGTCCGAATTCTGAGGGGAGAAACAGTCGAAGAAAACCACTTTACAAAGTTTTGGCAGAAGGTTGTATTGATGGCAACTACAGCCTTTAAATTTTCACCGATCTATAATCCCGACATGGAGCCTAATCTTGAAAAGTCCGGTCTCCACGGTCTGCAGTTGCTCCGAGCTCCTTTGCAACTCCAACAAGTCGCCATCAAACTACATCCTGAATGGGTCTCTGTGGCGGATAGCGCAGGAAACTACCCCTTGCACAATATTCTCATTCAAAAGCCCTTCCGGATAAAGGATGTTCATCTCATCAGGGACCTAGCGACAGCTTATCCGGAAGCAGCATCCAAACGCAATGCCAAAGGTGAAGAACCGATTTTTATTGCACTACGAGGGCAGATGGCTTGGCATGCGGGAGTGGAGGCCCTCGTCAAGGCCCAACCAGAAATTCTTTCTTCTATGGATAGTGAGACAGGCTTGTATCCATTTTTGCTGGCAGCTTCACTAGATGGAGAGGTTGCTGTGGAAAATACCTATCATCTACTCTGCGCGAATCCACATTTAGCAAAGATATAGCGGACCTTCCAATCGGAAGTCGAAGCAGAACGTAATAGAAACAGTCTCAGTTTTTAAACCAGGTTTTATCTAGGATCTTTTTTGTAAGAGTATGTGTATTTGAGGTGATTTCAAACCAAACGTCAAATTGCGAGTGGGAAATGTCGTTAAACAGACGCACGCCAGCGAGCTCGCAATCGACAAATATGGAAAAACTGAAACTGTTGGTCGTTCGCAACGATGACCATTTCAAAAAGCATTACACTCTTGGCAAGCCAACTATCACCACCGCCCCTCGGAGAATTATCGCAAAACGATTGCAGGAAGGAAAGAAGTTCTTTCAAGGAATCAACTTCAGTGCGACAGAGAGCTGATTTCTAAAAAAGAACGGCACAAACCAAAATTCTGTCATGGGGGATGCCATCAGCTCTCTCCTCTTTCAGCCTCCGCCTCCTACCTATCTACATCCTTCACGCCATTTTTGGTTGAACAACTCAAAGGGGTTTCGAATTCCTGCTTTCTTTATTGAGCGACCCAATGCGCAAGTGACAATTCTCTTTTCACATGGAAATGCGGAGGATTTAGGGATGATATACGATTGGTTCAATGACTTGGCGAGGGTATTACGGGTGAATATTATGGCATACGATTACACAGGATATGGAAAATCAAATGGTCATCCAAATGAAGAATGCTGCTACGCTGATATTGAGGCTGCCTTTGAGTACTTGATTGAAGTCCGACGGCTTCAACCTGAACAAATTGTGTTGTATGGGAGATCGCTTGGTTCTGGACCCTCGTGTTATCTAGCTCAAAAATCAGCAAAAGAGGGACACAGTGTCGGTGGTTTGATTTTACAAAGTCCACTGCTTAGTGCATACCGTGTTGCCTTTGACTTTCGGTTCACCATGATCGGAGACAGAGTATGTATCAATTGGTCCATTTGTTCAGAGACATCATACCTTGCCAACGGTACATCATTCATAAAACTCACATTTTTCATATTACAGTTTGCAAACGTAGACAAAGCACCAAAAATCCAATGTCCTAGCTTCATCATTCACGGTACACAGGATGAGGTAGTTCCGTTTTGGCATGGCGAAGAACTCTTTTTGGCGTTGCCGCAACAATGGCGGGCAAAACCATTCTGGGTCGAGGGGGCTGGTCACAACAACATTGAAGCCTTGTTACGACCAACTGGGGCGTTTGTAGACAAACTCACAGAGTTTCTAGATTTGCACGTAAGTGCCAGACGGGGGCGGATTGCACCTCCCACGAGTGTACCAGAGTGCGTGCCACTGGCATTGCGAGAAATTCGAAGTGCGGCGGGAGAAGAAACAGCAAGTAGTATTATAACATAAAGTATTGATAGAGACAAACATGGATATTGCGAGTTGCTCTACTATGGATATGGTTTGCCAACTTCATGGCCGAACTCAAAATCGTTTCTTCATATCACCGAAATATTTGAATCAATCATGTTGGTCAAAGATATTGAGCAAATATTGTAACCGCATATTGAATAAGACGTGGAGCAGAAATGTATGAGCGACTGGATACATACCAGTATTGCTGCAGTCGACAACGTAGATGAATATAACAACCACAGATGAGCGTGAGTCCACACAAGTGGAAAGCACCTGGTCCTTAGATGCGATGGGCAACTTTGCCGTGGAGGATCGATCGAAGAATCCATTCTTCGCTCGTCATCACAACTCCGGTGAAGATGATGCCTGGGTCTCTCTGCTTCTACCTTTGCCTTCTACATTATCATCATCACCATCATTACCACTGAAAATTAGCAGGAACAAAGACATTTCGCTGTATGCACATGATAACTACAAACAAGCGTATCAGAATATCTCAATTCTTTCAACCGAGCAACTTTCAAATGAAGAATGGACCGCTCGCAGGTTTCAAAGAGAGCAGAATGCCAGATTTCCAGGACAGATTTCAACTGAACAAAACCTCCCTGTACAGCAGTACTATCGCAGTGATCAGAGCGGTATCGAAGGTAGCTTGTCGGCGACAAGGAACTTTTCTGTGGAGCAGGAGTTGCTGTTGTCTCAAAGGCGGCCCGAACCAACACAATCGCCAACTCGTGAGGAATATCCTCGTGCAAGACCCCATCGTCTACCTATATCTACAATTTTTCATCGAGAGAGCCTCATTGATCGATCTAGGACTGCGGTTTCAAGTATGACTCGTTTTCTTGTTGGATCGTTCTTGTCAATAAACAACCTCGAACCAGCCTCAAGATCCGAGGCAACAACATCACCCGCTTGGGTGGGACGCGATGGTATTGAGGATTACAATGGGACAGATCGCGCTGGTCTAGACTCAATGGCAGGTATTGGCGTCAGACGAAGCAGGCAAAGTGAAATCCAAGCATTTTATGGTGATGACGACAGCGACGACGATACGGCATATTGGACCACTGGCACTGCAATGGAGACTATATACGATTCTGATTCCTCCAATGATGCTGAAACTGAAGAATTAGAAAGTGCACCAGCAGCAGAAGAACGCCACCAAATCGAGAACGACGCTGCCTGGTCGTCTGGAGGAGACGAATTTTTGGAGTGGAACTATTGCACCGAAGCACAACAAGGTGTCAAGATAGAGCCCACATTTCCACACGATCCGTTTGTACAGTTTAATTCTAGAAGACTCTAAGAGGATGACGTTTAATAGCAACACTACAGTAGATACCCAGTATAGGAACGGTTACGGCAATAAGGCGAGGAAACGTTAGGCGATTGATTGACTCATCCGAATGAATCCTACAGAAAATAGTATATCTCACCACCACAAAAACAACAACAACCGAAGTTCAGAGGGACACCAAACATCATGTCTTGCGAAGAACCAATGCCAAAAAAGCCAAAAGTTGATGCCAAAGAAGCTGTTGAAACAGCTGAAGCCGAAGAAGAGGAATCTCCAAAAATGCAGCAAGCAGAAAAGAATGACAGTGGCGAATCCTTCTTTGCACTTTCTTCTACCAGACGATGCACCATTCGATCCTTCAAAGGCACAACTTTGGTCGACATTCGCGAAGTGAGTTTTATTCTGATAAGGATGAGTGAGATTATTCCATTTCTTCGATGATCAACCTTACCATCTGCCGTGTGTTAATGTTTCAGATGTATGAGAAAAATGGCAAAATGCTTCCTGGGAAGAAAGGCATCAGTCTCACTACAGAACAATTTGAGGTCCTTCGAGACATTATCAAATCGGGACAAGTAGAAAAGGAAATTGCAGAGCTCTAATAAGTGTTAAATTCTATCTTGCGCACGATGGGACTTTGGGAATCGAAACTCTTCTTACTGGAAGTTCCATTCAGTCTCCCCCAAAACCACACGTCGTCGTGTATACAGCAGGCAGCCAGGCAGGTTGCATTTTGATTGTAGTACCACTAGCTAGGTGTTCAATGATAATGTGTGTGTTTTCCTCTGTGAGACAAACTTCTTAATCTGTGAATTTGCTATAGTTGACTGTGATAGTCTTGCGAACATGAGGTTACTGGTTGCACAAAGAGCAATATCTTGGAAGGTGTAATGTTCGCTCCTCCTTGCTGCTGTCGAATCAATGCAAGATGGATATATTTCTTATTCTTTGTCTAGTTTAGTGTTGAAATCGACACTCGATTACTTTTATGGCAATAGCATTTCCAAAAAAGCCAAGGCAGAATCATTTGACCTTGCCTCCGCGACATCTTCATAACTAGGAAAGAACAGAAAGGAAATGGAAAAAGTAAGATGCAGGTAGGTATGAGGTGCTGCAATTGATGGTGATCACTTCAGCCAAAAAGGGGTGTCGACCAAGGTCAAACTCCAGCTTGGACTTACCGAATGGTATTGCGACCTCTATTTTGGGCAATCGCATGACTGTCCTTTGCTAGTTGCTTGAGGAATAGCTCAGCAGCAAGTGTCACCATGATGGCTGCCTCATTTTGGACAATGGGAATATCCGGATCTAGTTTCATTGCCTGAGACAAGTCGGACGAAGAATGAAATAAGCTTGGATGAAAAAAGTTTACAGCCTCAAGGAACGCAGAATTCTTACCTTCTTGACAGTACGAAATGGAATTGTTAATCCCTTGACAGCAGGAGCCCTACCCCTTCGGGATCCCGGAGGCATGGTCCGTTTGCTGGCAGAGGCAGTCGCAGATGCGGGTGAGCCATTCGTCTTTGGTGTCGCCACCGAGGACTCGTCGACTGGCGGTGCCGTTGATTTGCTTTCATTATCGTCCTCTTCCGCAGTATCAGGTTCCTTTTTCGTTTCCGTTTTCATCGGCGTCTTCAAGGTATCCTCATCTTCCTTTGCTGGTGAATCATCCTCATCGCCAGCATTCTTAGTGCTTTCCGCGGTTGCTTTGGCAGCCTCTTTCGATTCATTGGAATCCTGGTCGTCGTTTTCTGACTTGTCGTTCTCTGGCTTCTCTTCCTTTGGGTCGGTCATGTTATCTTGATGTATTTATTTACTGTGTCCGTTGCTGCTTGTGTTTTACGTTGTAACTTCATGCGTGTTCGATGCGATTGTTGCTCCTATCGACCCAATCGACTCAACAATTATAATGCTTACACAAATACGAGATCGATCGATTGATCTTCATTCTCAGAAGTCATCCATCGTATCATCCGTCACCAGCGATTACCATGAATTGAATACAGAAACAAAACAAATTCTACAAATCAGGAAGACCACTATGATCCATATGCTATTCTATATTTATTGTTTGTACGATCCCAGTCGATACTGATCCAATGGTAACACTGGCATGACTGGAATCGAGCACCCAAAACGTAAACGAACGGATGCCAGCAAGATGTAAAATGAAGGACGAACAACTAGCAGCAGATTTGACCAAACCCAAATTACAAGTCGGAGGCGACGACGAAGCGGATGAGAGAAGCTGCCAAAATCAACATTCTTCTTGACTCTTTCGGACCACCTGTCGTACTTTTTTCTTGAATGCTGTTTTGTCGTTTCTCCACATAACTGCCGCATCCAAATTGGCTGGAGACTCATCGTTGGGGTCCGATAGCATAGAAATGACCGAGATCAAGATTTGTTCTACCCCAAGAATCGGTCTCCATCTCTCATCCGCGCTCTCTTGCGAGTTGAATTCGTCTTCACCAGGTGGGTGAAGGATGGAGATGCATACCTTTCCATCGGCGTAAACATTAGGATGCCACATTTCGGAAGTGAAAGTCATGGTGGGAGGCATATTGGGAAAATCGGAGGGAAAGGTTAAGCGAGCTTTGAAGAAGCCTCCTTCGTACAAGGTTCCATCCGGACCCATAATCATGATTTCCCACTCGTAAACATTGCTGTCATCCACAAGACCCACAGATACCAAATCAATTGGGTTTTTGGATAATTCTGGGCAATTAGTACAGGAAAAAGTTAGTGTGCTGTTTATTGCATGAAATTAAGAACAGGAGGGACCTGGAATGCATTTTCATTCCACCTCGACAGGTATAGAATTTTTTTCAATTATTCCCGTCTGCCCGTAGAAGTGCTACCATGGCATACGAGACGACAAGGAAAACGCAACTCGTTCCCGCCTCTACTGTTGTCAAATCGACTCACCTGTGAGCTGTCTCTTCAAAAGTTCTGTTCCGTATTCTGACATTGTCGCTCGATTAATGAAAACGAAAAGACTTGGTGCTATAAGCTATGGATTGTGTGTGTTGACGTGAGAAAAGAATGGGCAAACTTGCAATGCTCGCAGTGCAGGCTGTTGTCTGTCCATCATTTCATCTTCCCTCCGAATATGTTCAACGTGGGGAATTCGTAAAAGAAGCACAGTGACCGATTATTGAAGCCACACGCGATGAGTGAGTCAGGAGTCAGACAAGTCGCAGAAGATCGACCAGATTCATTGTCAACACTACAGTAGCATTCATTCAACGACAAGACAACGTTTTGGAAACCATGAAATTCATCTCAAGCATAACCTTGCTGGGCGTATGCGCAGTTAACACCTCGGAAGGATTCCAATTGAACAATCCTCGTAGTGCTTCCAGGTCGTTGGTGGCTTCCAAGATCCAAGAGTACAGGACCCCTTCCAGCAAGCACTCCATTCGAAGACAACAAGCATCCGCTCTATACGCTGCCACTCCTCAAGAATCTCCCAGTAAAGATCTTGATACTGACGCACTCGTCAAGTACGGGTCCAGTATTGGCATTCAAATGGGTATCATTACCGCCCTTCTCTATGGATTGGATACTCTGGTAGGAACAATTGGACTTGAGGTCCCCTTTCCGGCCGTGTTTGCCCTGTTTTATTTTTTCTCCTTGAAATCGAGAACCTTTAATCCGCTCAACAATCAAAGACCCAACTTGAAAAAGGCTGTCAATGGGGAAGGTACTCCCAGTAAGGGCTTTCGTGATCGGGTCATGCCTTCCTGGACTCCACCGGGTGTTACCTTTCCCATAATGTGGATTTTGGTGATTGGACCTCTACGGTCGTTTTCTTCCGCGTTGGTCTACATGGCGAATGGGCATCACTTTTGCGATCCTACCTTGTTGGCATTGCTCTTGCACTTGAGTATTGGAGATGTATGGAACACCATCAACAACACTGAAAAGCGCTATGGAGCTGCAGTTCCATCTGTCTTGATGGTTTCGGCTGCCGCCGCCAATGCCGCATTTCAGTACAGTCAAGTGGACCCATTTGCCGGAAAACTGTTGGGGTTAACCCTAGTTTGGTTTTCCGTCGCCTCCACCTTGATTGCGGATACCTGGAGACTGAATCCAGATCCTAGCACTGGACAACGCGATCCCTTGTATCCAGTGACTGGAGGAGAAAGCAAGACGGAATTTTCGTGGTTCAACAGTAGTCCATAAGAAGACTATAGAAGGCGTAGGCAACTCATTCACATATATTCGGAAGGGCATATGATAAGATAGAGCTACCGCTAATGACTAAGGACAAATGCTGCTAATGCTGGAAGGTTCTAAGAGTTCTACATATAGCCAATATTCAATAGTGTCTCGAGTAAAGTTTGCATCGATGCGTAATGATGCGACAACGAACTTGATTGATTCATCCTAGGGCAACTACACCTGACGCTTGCTGTCCGTCCTTGAATGTTCCTCATACTCCAAATATTGGGCTCCTTGTGTGTAGTCATCTTTTGTCTATCCGCTAGATGGATCGCAAAGTGCAGACAGTCAGGCGCATCTGGATATATCAACGTGAACTCGCTGGCAGCGATCGTCCTTCACCTTCAGATCCGCCGAGTGGAGCACGAAGTGAAGACAGTCTTGGCTACGAGGACACGACAGCGCAAGCTTTCTAGCCACGATTCGGAACGATTCCAGAGCTCTGATATCACATTGGAGGCAATTGGCTGCAATTGTCATGAGATTGCGGAAGAAATCCGCTCCAGAATGCTCAAACTTGCCTAGAGTATTTGGAAAAGGGAAAAGAATTAAAAGGACGAGACGAAAAGTGAGATTGAAACCTTTCCAGGCAAATAAGGAAAGCCATAAATCAGTTCTACGTACGAAAAGGGTGATTTGGATCATCGCCATAAGGGACATGTTGCCCGAAAATTACGTATGTGCAGTCCTGTAGCCCCACAATGTTCATTGCCCGCTCCATCGCCAGCTGAAGCTCCTGAGTGCTCGGTTGGAAAGTTGTTCCTCCACTCAACGGAAAGTAGAAACTCACGGGTAACATTTGAAACACTGGAGGCTCATCGGTACCTGCCTTCAATACCATGAATTGTTGGGCTTCGTCTTTGAAAGGATATCTGGAAAGGCCTCGAAATCGACGACGCGGCATTTCTAAGAAACGCAATTCATCGTCAACCATTTGTTCAGCTGCTGAATAGATTCTTCTTGCCGATAAGACTTTGGAAGAGCAGGGATTCGCATCTTCCAATAATGCTTTGACTCGACTGTTGCAAGTCGCAAACACTTTTTTGCGTCGCTTGACTTCCCTTTCCAAGCCATCTCTAAGGCCTGTGGTGCACGAGCCAAAGGCTACCATTGATCGAACCCCAAGAAATTTCATAATCTCAATTACAAGGTCTTCATTCTTGAAAATACACGAAGCAGCATCCTTGCTTTCATAATTTGCTCGAGGTTTAGTATAGTGCTTCTCTGTCATTTCGGAAGAGTTTACTTTTTTCGCAAAACCGTATCGACTCGCAAAGGATTTTTCCTTCGACTTGAGCTTCTTGAAGTTCGGCTTCGTCTTGCTGGAGAGAGTGGTAGAAGTTCCCATGATTTTGTCTCGGATGGAAGGTTGAAAGTCTTTTGTTTCCTTCCAATGATGGTTCCTCGTATCCCTTCTTCGTTTCGTCTTGCTCTATCTTCTGGGGCTATCTCGGACTGGTTCTTGTAGAAGGAAGGTGACAATAGTGAATGCAGTGGTGGAAAGAAATGGCGTCCTTCAGCTTGTCATTGAGTTGTTGCAGAATGAATGCAGTGTCGATTTGTTTTCTCGGTCGGCATCAAGAAAATTGTGTTTTCGAAACATCCGACTCAATTTATCAAATTGATCATACAGTGCCATACCGGTATGTCACATGTGCCCTCTTGGCCCATGGATGTTTTAACTAAATGGACTGCGTCTTAACATTCAGATTGGTAAAGCGTAGTGCATCTAGTGTAACACAGTAGATGGTATCTTGATACGGAAATGATCTTCTTTTTAAATAATCTTTAGTTGAAGCACTGTTTCGCAACTTGATAGACATGAAAGGAATTTTTAATCGCTATCGCTATCATCACTGTCAGCTTCTTGCAACCAGACAATGACTGGCTCGGCCTCTCCACGAAGAGCTGCGCGAGTCTCCTCGTCAACCTTTTCCAAGGTGTACTCGGAACGACCTTGGTCAGCCCATTCCAAAATGGTTTCCTCTTGAAGAACATCTTCATCGTAGCATTGCTTGAGCATAACAGCAAAGTTCTTGGGCTTTTCAATGCACAAGAGTTCGAGAGCAGCAATCAAGTGACGTTCAATAATGGTGTTGCCGTTGGCAATGGCCTCCATGGCTCCTCCGTACTTTTCAATTTGCTTCTCCTTGAAGAATTGAGGAGTAATGGCGGCACGGGCGAGGATCTGAATCTTATCGTGAGCCTTTAGGGCAGATGCCATCTGCTGGTTGGTGACAAGTTCAACGATATCTCCAGCAGAAGCATCTGGATTGTCGGCCAAGTATTTTTTGGTTCCATCAATGGCAAGTTCTGTAGACCAAACAAAAGATTAAAATGTGTCAGCAATATGTTGATTCGAACAAAAACAAAAGAGAAACAGTGTGTGAAAGAAACTTACGCATAGCACCTTCATCATCGACACCGGCTTCTGAAGCAACAGACGTTTCTTCGTCGTCAGAGGGAATGAAATTGGGGTCATCCTCCTTCTTTCCAAAGATGGCCTCCTTGAGGTATGCTTTATCATCGTCATCATCGTCGTCATCGAGATCGGCATCACCCTTTTTATCCTTTTTCTTGTCCTTCTTTTTATCCTTTTTCTTATCCTTCTTGCTCTTCTTCTTTTCTTCATCACTGTCATCCTTGCCCTTGCCCTTATTCTTCTTGTCCTTTTTATCTTTACCCTTCTTGTCCTTCTTATTTTTCTTGTCTTGAGCAAGAATGTAGTTGCATAACTTGTGTCCTTGGTCGACCATTTCCTTGGCTCCACAGGCAGCACACTTATGCCAGATGATAGCATTCTTAATCTTGTAATCAGTCTCAGGAAGACCACAGTTGGGGCACAAGACAAAACCTTCAACGTAACGATGAATCAGCTTTTGCAAGACAGCGTCATTGTGGGCTCCATTGACAATGGCACGGTCAGTGTCTTCGTTATAAGTAGTTTGGGCTCCTAATTCGCAACCAAAGAACTTGTTAACTTCTCCAGGTGCTCTGTGAAGACTCAGGGCGACATCCGAAATGTTTGGAATTGCAGTCTTGATACCGTTTCCAGAGCCTTCAATCTTTCCAAAGACTGCAGGCATCTTGTAGCGGTAGGTAGGATCATCGACGGGTGTGTTCCCGGAGATGTTGATGATGGTTCCTCCTCGGACAGGCATTTTGTTCTTTTATTTGTTGTATACAGATTGAAAAGAGTAGTAGGTAGGTTATAAACTTATCGATTTCTTTCGATTCGAATTGCTCCGCAAAAGGGACGTCGTCGTGCTGGTTCGAAGAAGAATTTTGAATGCTTTCCGACACGGTTTGTCGGTAGGAATTTGAGTTTGGTTTTGGAAACAACAATTATTTTGTATTTGCATCGACCGAGGGAACTGTAGTCGATGTGGGTTTGAACTTGTGTTGTACCTTGTGGTTGTAATATCACAGGACCTGAAATCAATCGGGTTTGTGTGGGTGTCCAATGATGTTTGTCTTCATCTGCAACCAGTGTGTAGATAATGTACTGATTCTACGTAGATTGAATGTGAAATCGCACGACTTGCGCGCGCAACAATTATGTGAGTCCGTTAAATCGGCCAATTTCCGTCGAATCTAAGTTAGCAAGTAAGCGAAGATTATGGAAGATGATGAGATTTTGAGATCTTGGAACTGGGCTTGAAGGAAGAGCAGGAGGAGGACCCAAAAGTGTGTTGTATGGGGAAAGAAAGTTTGCTCTTCCTTGTAGTACTCATCTCAAAGTTTTTGAATCGATGTCCTTTCGATTGCATGTCAATGCGGAATGAATCTCAACGTCCAGTTCGCTCAGTCCATCATGAGGATCAATGGTCAATCAACATGAACTAAAATGGAAGGTAAAATATGAACTTCTATCTTATGTGTGCATGCACTATCTGCGATACTAAAATTTACAATCGGTTCTATGACTTCACACCTCCTTGTACCCTGTACCGGTAGTTGCTGGCAAGTCAGGTTGGTTAGTGGTCAGAGTCTAGTATACATCCGGTGGGCGGTGAGGGAAGCCCATGAAATCGTTCCGAGTGTTCGATTGCTGTGTTTGGAGATGGTAGCGAAGAGATAGGATGATTTGTTCCAGCTTTTTGATGCGCTCTTCGGCATCAAACTTGTACTTGTGAGCGGCCTCAATTTCGGAAGCAGCTTGATTCTGTCGTTCTTGTTGAATGGTGACAGCCCTCTTCAGGATTTTGTTTTCGTTCAGAACCTTTTCATGTTCTGATTTGAAATCGTTGAAAGATGTCTCCACCTTTTGTTTGTCATCCTTGAGCGACTGGATTTCATTCGCTTGTGATGTGACAACCTTTTCGAGTTCGTGCTGAGGGGTTTCAGTTCTGGATCGCTTGAAAGATTGGGCTGATAGAGCTAAAAATTGAATAAAAAGCAAACCAAGGGAGGAATTAGAGACTGAACAAAGGAACAGTTGAAGAATCCATAGGAGAGGCGAAGAAAATATGTGTTCGGCACTCCTCGTCTTGCTGACAGCTGACATCGTTCTTGATGTGGTTTTCAATTTTCGAGCGAGCGAGCAAGCAAGCCGAATAGAAATTATCGTTCACAAAGATTTTGTACGGAAAAACAGAAACTCCAGACATGTCTGCGACATCGCCGGAGTCCGAAAATCACCATCGACGTTTGCAGCATGAGGATGTGGAACTTGTGTCAACTTACCAGAGGATGCCGATAAAAATGGCTTTTGGAATGCTTGATGATTATTGAAAGGGGTTTGGTTTACTGAGTTCTCAGTGTCGCCTTCCATGGATTCGTCAACAGCGAAACGCCGCCGTTTGAAACTGCGTTGATGGAGGAAATCATCTCCGGACTCCCCGAATGGACTGCAATTTGTTGTGTCAAATGCTACAGGAGTGCATGGAAACTGTCTCTTTGTGCCCGCAGCTGTGTGTCCGAATGGCAGTGGTGAAGCAACTTCCATGGTCAATTATTCCGAGTGCAACAGATGTGCAGAGAAAGAATTTATGTTTGGATTGGGCGTGGCTCCGATGTGGTTTGGAGAGCTTCGTTTCCTGTGTCGTACAATTTCTACGTGCGCGAAAAAACGCTCCGTACGGTGAAAAATCTACTGGGCCTACCTACGACTGAATCAAGAAAAACATACTCGAAAAGAATAGGTCTTGCTTGTCCGTTCAACACTCCTGCGTTTGAGACCAGCACCAACCAAGATGTCACCAGAAACAAGAAGAACTATGTTTTGATTTAGTAGTAGACGATTACAATAATAATATAACAATAGATCTGTAAAGTATTAGGCTTTCTGTAGGAGCTATGACAGCATCAGTTTGAAACAGCAGACAGCCAGGCCGAAGGCCAGCAAGAATAAGCAATGCCGCGTTGTTACTAGGTAGCTAGTATCCCATCTGGAACATTCGGGTTGGAATTATCGAATATTGAAACTGAAAGACTTAGTTCAATCCATTGAGCCTTCGGAAACATGTTTCAAAATACTGTTGGCTTCTCCCGCCCACGTGGATAATATTACTGTATCTCTTCTGCCGTTTTTGGTTTCGGCGATTTTCTTGGGATTGCTGTATTTGACAACTTTGACTCGGAAAGATTTGCTCACGCACGCAAGCCCACGCGTCACAGCCAAGCGGTAAGGAAAAGCAAGCCAAATAAATACACTATTGTAACCATAACGAACCCCAACCCCAGCTTGTTATTGTATCTGATACTCTGCACATAGATTAGCTCGCAAAACGTGTTGTTGCTATTGGGGGTTACCTTTCTGTAGGAGAACTGAGCGAACAAGAATCAATTTTATTGCTTTGGCTGGGACGAAACAAGCAACAAAGACTGGATTCGATTGTCATTTGCATTGCTTATTCGACTTTGAGAATCCAATAATTTGTGCAAGATCCGTCATTGCAACTCGTGACAATTCTGCAATATACAACGATTTGAATTGGACTGTTGAGACAGGCAAAATACAACCAAAGTATCAAAATATACATAAAGTTGATCCAAAATGATGTCAGAAGTTGGATTACATGCAACAGTCACCTTTGAAGAGGTCCAAACATCTGGATCCCCCACTCGGCCATTGGAATTTCCTCCGCCGAATGTGGCTCGAGGTGTTCGAGTACAAGCTCTAGTCATTGATCTAGAACGAGGAGTCCGAGATGTCTGGCCAAATGTGATTCATCGAGAAGATTTGCTAAGTGGGGATCAAGAGGTTCAAGCCTTTTTTCCAAACAAGCGATTGCAGGATGCCATTTATGGAAGTGTTTGGGCAGCGGTCGTTCTGCGTCGACACCATGGACCTGCTGCTGATGACGCTGCCCGGGCAGCTGGCTTGGAACCTGGTAGTCCACAAGCACCAATTGTTTGGGAAACAACCAACATGCGAGTAGCCATCAAAATGGTGGACTGGAGCCGAGTGCATCGAATGAGAGGTCGATTGCTGGAAGATCCTGTAAAGGAAGTGGCCGCACTACAGCTAATAGGGGCGGATCATCCACATGTATTGGGTTCCATTGATGTCATGCAGGATGAAAACTACCTTTATTCAGTCATGCCGTTTTGTAGGGGAGGAGATTTGTTTGGCATCGTTGTGCGTTATGCTGAAGAGGTGGGTGGTGAGAGGGGAATGCCAGAACCTGTTGCAAGGTATTGGTTTCGTCAAATACTGTGGGTAAGTCGATTCAGTTGGTGATGGGAGAGAATCATTCTCTTCTCATTGGTTTCATCTGGTGCTTACAATTTGTTCTCGATTGGCAAACAGGGATTACACAGGCTACAGGAGCTAGGAATTTGCCACAGAGATCTCTCACTGGAAAATATTCTGGTGGATGTAGAAAACTGCTTGGTGATTGATATGGGAATGTGTTTGCGCATTCCCTACAACAGCGATGGGAAGAGTAGTGTAACAGATGCTCGACGAGGGACTTCGCGACGATTGATCAAACCACAGGGCGTTTGTGGGAAGCACAACTACATGTCGCCTGAAGTATTTGAAAACACGAAACCCTTTGATGGCTTTGCGATTGATCTGTGGGCGGCAGGTGCGATTTTGTACATTATGCTCACTGGCTTTCCTGCCTACGATCAAGCCAGCAGAGCAGACCAACGATTTGATCTCATTGTCAATGGACATCTAACGAAACAGTTGAAGGAATGGGGAATCATGTTGTCCTCTGAGGCTGGCGATTTGCTCCAAAATATGATGCAACTGAACCCCAAGGACAGGCTGACTCTAGCAGAAATCATGAGCCACCCTTGGGTTGCCAACGGAGATGTACATGCACCACTTCCACAGGAACCAATGCCGTTCTAGGCATTGGGATGCTTTGTGGAAGATGATGTTTGATTTAATGTGCTGAATTTGTTCTCCAAGATGTACCGTGATTTTAAATATTCTAATGATAGACCATAGATTCTTTGTAAACCTTTTCTTGTGATTGTGTAACTCGCGTACCGGTAGACGCAGATCTTAGGACCGACACGCAAGTTTTTTTCCTATGCACTAATGCAATTGTGATTTTGATATAAGAACAGAGAATAATCGAAAACACTTCAATGATTTAGAACCAAAAAGAAACAAGACTAGTACAATAAAGGAGCAGGTTTAATCAACAGTGCTAGAATAGATAAGAAACTATGAGAAAGTTTGGAATGAATGACATCCAACAGCTCCCTTGCTTCCATACAATACCCAAGGGGACGGGATTTATGGTCGATGACTGTAATCCTCGGCCTTGGTCAAGGCTTCCGCCCAGGCAATACTTCCGTAGGTAAGGGCAAAGGATCCTCCAAGCCAGATAATGTACGAAGGGGCACGTTCAATGGTTTTCTTGGGGAAAGTTCTGAGCCATGGTCCGACAGGGTGTTGCTCGTGGGCAGAGATTGTTTGCGTGATCTATAAAAAGAAAATCTGTTGGTTAGAAAATGAATTACATCATCAGCGCTACCGTGACTGTAAACCCCTTTATCCATGGAATGCCAACCATTTCCTTCGATCATTCTCAGGACGAAAAAATCAAAACTCACTTGTCCCTCAGCAGGTCTCTTCTTAGTCCACCACTTGGACATGGCGAGTTCAACATCGGCCCGTCCGGGGCCCATAAGGGCTCTTGATCGAGAGAAAGCACGGCTCATCTTGCTGTTTTGCTTTGATGATGACGACAACAACGGTAAACAGCCGAAGGGAGAGTTCGTACCGGTACGGAGAATGAATGTACTACAGCGTACTTACGCATGTCCTTTCTAGGTACGAGACACGCGACTCGCGCGCAGTGACACAAGTAAGGAAGACTTTCACTTCAGCAGATTGATCGATTAACGACAGATCCTTCGTAAGGCCTAAAGAAGCTCCACCTCGTTCTCCTCTTGTTCTTGCGTCGTTGTTTGAGCTGCATCTCCGGTACCGGTGTGGTGTTCGTGAATGATTGCAGCCGGGAAAAAATCTACTATGCCCATTTGGTCAAGATCTGTGCCTCCGGCTGTTTGTAGGCATGCCTGATAACACAAGGGCAGCAACAAAAGCTCATCGTTTCTTTAAAATAATAGATTTGGAAGCACCTTCCCTTGACCGGTATCGAATGTTCGTTTCACGGTAGCCAGTCATCATGTCCTGAAAATCGATGTTGTGTTTTCCGGCCTTTGATCTAAAAAGGATACATAAAATGTGTTGATACCGGTCGGTGTAGTCGAAGGTTAAATGTACGTCTGATCTGCAGGAACTTTCCAATCGTGTGTTGAAATCGTTGCACTTTCCGCGGGAAATTGGCTATGCGGGAACCAGGCTCGTTGAAAACACACGCTAAAGAAACGGAAGCCCGACGAAAACAATAGCCTACTATGCGCAATTCGCCGAAATGTTCATCTATGTTCATGAATACGAATATTGTTGCACGATTGAGGGCCATCAAACTGCCGCTAACTATTTTGAAAAATATTTGGGCTGTAATCACTGGATCGTTCCAAATCCAAAAATTAACGTGGTAACACCACCCCATCCAACAGTAACCAAGCAGACTATTCTACATTTATTGTATCCAATTGAATGGTAATCGGAAGAGAATAAATTCATACAACCGCTGAAACAAAACAAGTAATGAGCATATTAGGATTATGGGAATGTGCAGAAGAAGAACCAGAAAGTGGATCTTGTCATTCCGAGCTCACATACAATGATGTCGAAGCAGCTGGAGCACCATCAAGGCCCTTAGACTTCCCTGCACCCTCAGTTTATCGCTGCACTCGTGTCGATCTCCGTGCTAGAGATCATCTATCCGGAAACGTGCATATGCTTAGAGACGTCATCATCCGAACAGGGGTCGACAGATGTGGCAGACGCTCAGATGTTGCATATTTGAGCCGAAAGAAGCTGGGGAAAACAACGTATGGCGGTTTACGGCTGTGCGTAGTCTTGAGGCGGAAACCACGAAGCAAAGTTGATTTTAAAGAATCGAGACAAGACGCGTTTGAGGTACGAGACTTTACCGAGTGGGAAAGCACTGACGAGAAAATAGTCATGAAGATTTCCGAATGGCGAAAGATCCACTCTATGCGTGGACGTCATTTGGAGGATCCAATCAAAGAAATTTCTACCCTGCAAATGCTGGGTGACTACCATCCTCACGTTCAAGGTGCAAAAGAAGCACTCCAAGATGACAACAATCTATATACGATAATGCCTTACCTTCCTGGTGGAGATCTGTATGGGAGACTTGTAGAGCGTGACCTACCATGTCCACTCGGAACTATCTTGGAGGAAGGAAACGAATTCAATGGACATGTTGAAAACCGAGCTCGTTTTTGGTTCGGACAGCTGCTCGAGGTAAGACTTGGTGTGAAAATGATTAAATGAAAATTAATTTGAAGGAAGAAACTAAGCAACTTTCCTGTTTCAGGCTGTTTGTCATTTACAAAAGAAAGGTGTATGCCACCGTGATATATCCTTAGAGAATCTTCTGTTGGATGACCATGATAACTTGGTGCTGATAGATCCTGGATTGAGCCTGAGAGTACCATACTCAGACCCGCGCAACTACGGATGTGTGTCGGATGTTTCCTGCGGAGGCTCTCGGTTGCTCATGAAGGCACAAGGGCAAGGTGGCCAGCTCGTATATACACCACCTGAAATCATCAACAAGGCAGATTATGTCGATGCCTTTGCTCTTGACATGTGGGCAGTCGGAGTCGTCCTATTCATCATGTTAGTTGGTCGTGCTCCTTTCGAGTGGGCCCATCCCACTGATCAAAGATACGAAAAGATGTCGAGCGGAGATCTTAAGAGTTTACTTAAACTACTTGAGATTCGCATGAGTCCAGAAGCGACTGATTTGCTTCAGGGATTTTTCCACCGTGATCCAAGAAAACGATTGACGCTGGCAGAGGTAATGAATCACCCCTGGGTCCAAGGCAAAGAGTTTGCAACCAAGACAACGATTCCAGCACCCCCAGCACAGAAAAAACGTTCTTTTACCAGGCAGGACCTGAAAGGATTGGAACAATCTCCAAATTCATCCCCCAGTTCTTTCCTGAGAAAATCAAAGGTGATCAACATGACCCAAAAACGAAGATTGCCTCCACGACCATCATGCAATCGATTCAAAGAAGGCACTCGATTTAATGTTGCATCAGCATAGTGAAACAATAACTGCTACACAAGCATGTACAATAGACAGACGAATAGACTTCATAGCTAATCAATAGACTCATTTACTTTGGTACTACTTTGATTGATACTTCATTGAGACGGCGCCATGGAACAGTGAAGGGATCATTGTATTGCGCTGTAGTTGCTTCATCTTCTTCTGCTTTCCACTGCTTGTCCTTCTTTAGCGCAGCCATGAGTTCTCTTTTGCGCTTAGCAACTTCCTTCTTTGAGGCATATCCACCGAACATAAGTACTGCTCTATCTTGCGACACCCGTTGTTGCAAGCTTACACCACTCCCCGATAGAGGCTTGGGAGCCGTTCCCAAGCTATCGTCATCCCAGTAGCTCGAAGGGAGGACAAATTCCATTTGCTTGTCACCTTGTTCAATTGGAGATGTGAACACTGGAGTTGTCATTTTCATAGCTGTTGATTGGTCGTTCTTTCCAAAAAGATATCCAGCCAATGCTCCAAAAGAACTAGCCCCGCTGATTTCAGGTACTCGTACCTTGTTGTCAGTTTCTTTTGCCGCATCTGGTCGAGGCTTGTTCATGTTCACGGCACATACCGAGAATGGTTTGTATCGGCGAATTTCAATTGTTTGTCCATTGTGCTTCGAAGTTGCGACAATATCGTAATTTGGGGTCTCCAGACCTTCGGGCATACGACTCTTCATATCCTCATTCGATTCCTTGCTTGCAAGTCGAGCTCTGTTTTCAATCGTTACGATAACCGGCTCCTTGGAATCCAGACCCTCTTCCGTTGAGATTGAACGAAGTAGTGCTACGAGTGCACGGCGGCGACGACCGAGCTTTCGTTCTACTGTTTCTTCTTCGGCCTCAGGTGCTGGTGTCGTCAAATCAAGAGTCCTTCGCAGGGATGCCATACGAGCTCTTCGGGAGAAGCGTGCTAGTCTCTTCGACCTTGCCCAGAATGGAAGTCTTTTGTCTGGTCCAGCAGCAAGCAGTTTGTTCAAGTAGGCCTCCATGGTTTCTTGTGAAACAGCGTTTTCCCGCATCATTGAAATCTTCGAGAGCAAAGCTTCAGCAGCTGTTGCGTTCGAATTGATCGCTTGCGTTAAACGTTCGACCGCATTATCATTCGCTACTGGATTCGAAGGAGATTCACCTCCCTCGAATGAAAGACGGACAGTTGAAACTTCTCTCGAAAGAACCTTGTTCATTGTCGTTTCCTTCTTGCACACGACAAACCGAAAACCAGATGCATGTGTTTGAAAAGCAAGGGCTGCATGACAGCTGAGGAAGAGAAGCAGGCAAATGAGCGAGTTCATCGTTATGCACTTCTAATGGTCAAGGAAGACTTTGCCAAACAACTGAGCAGCAAATGCAAAATTTTGCTGAAGAATGACGTCACCCACGAATGGAACATTCGCGGGATATAACTCGCATCTTGAGTAAAACAAAAAGACCATGGCAGCAGGCGAGAATGATGACGAAATAGCCCAAGTTCTGCAACATTTCCGAGTGAAGCCAGACTTCCTGACAAACAAAGGACAGCGACGGAAACGGGACAAACATTCTGTACACCTGCGATATGTAAAGGATAACAAATGCTTGGAACTATTTTGCCTGCACCTCCACGTTTCAAAACATGATAACCGAATGGTTTTGAGATTGAAATTTCGGATCTCCACAAGGAAGCCTCACACTGTAATGTACCAGAGTTCCAAACTCTCAAAACCAGCGGAAAAGGCTCAAGCCGATGAGAAGCTTCGTCAAATAATGGATAATTTATGTGAAACGGTTTCTCGTTTTGCTGAAGCCCGAATAGAAGAACTCTCCCTCTTCTCAGTCATCTCAAAATTGCTCGCCGCTCTCAACGGTAAAATCATTTTTAAGCAGCTGGCTAAATTGCAACTTGAAATATCACAATCATTTTGCACTGACGGGGCTAAAACTGGGAATAAGCAAGTCTACCACTTGCCGCGTGTTGAGAAAATGAAAAAATCCACAGAGCATTGCATGGACCTTCAAGTATTCTTAATGAGATGCGCCGCAACCAGTAAATCCAGGACAACAATGGTGACACCCGTGCCGCCGGGCGACTTGTGGTCGATGGCCGTGAACAATGGAATGACTGCACCACTGGTGCTGGCGACGACAAATGAATCCATCGCAATGCCTTTGACAGCTTTTCCACAAACTCTATCAACCAAATCTACAACCCAACAATATGAAATTCGGTGCGCCCGACAAGAACTTTGTGGATATCTTTCATGTCTTCCCTGGACATTTGATGGCCATGTTTCGGCGGAATCCTCCACAAAAGCTTTGAAATCAGGAGCGAACATAAGAGTCGTCTTATCTATGGAGGATGCTATGGGCGATGATTTGCCACGCTTTGAGAAGCTTGCCGATGAAAGAGGGGTAGCTACAGCATACCATGGGACAAAGCTGAATGCTGTGTGGTCCATCTTGAACCATGGTCTACTGAATTTGAGTGGGACTCAGCAATGCCAACACGGTGCCATGCTAGGTTCTGGGGTTTATGTCAGTCCATCCCTACAAGTCGCCGAGTTCTTTGCCAAGAGCACAGAACTGCAACCTAACGTATTTTGGCAGTGGGTGCAGAACCAGCAACGAAAGTCGTCCATCAAAGACGGCGCTGCAATTCCATGGCTTGATGACATGCAAATCACTGCAACAAAGGACTTCAACATTGCTTGTCGGGCTGTTGTACAAACAAGGATTATTCTTCCTCCTACCCGCTCTAGCCCTCGAAAAGGAGGGACTGCTGCTGATTTTCAGAACGCAACTCGACGGGACGGCAAATACTTTGTGGTTCCAAATGACCAGGACATACAAATTACCAAGATACACCTCACATTTGAGTTTCAAAAGAAGAGATCCAATTTGCTTGCAGGCATCGCATTCTGTCTCCTCATTCTTTTGGGTGTCTTGCTAAAGCGCGCATTGTATGAGTAACATATGCACTAATGTATTACAAATCCTCGTCGGAGTCACTGCCATCAATCAGCTTCGGTGGAGATACCTCGGAAGATGCGATATCACCCACTGTCAATAGGGACCCTGTCTCTTTCAACCGCTTGTGTAGCTGCTGAATACTTGGCTGCTTCCAAAGCGTCGAACGAACATTTCGCACCTTTCGAAAGTCCGAATTCAAGGCTTGCAGATCGACAATAGGATCCTTGTAGATGAGCCAACCAAAAACCGCTGCCGCACTACGCCCATGTCCAGCACGACAATGCACGTAGACACGTTTTCCTTGCGCCTCATGTCGACGAATGAAGGCAATGGCACTCTTGATGACAGAATTTGAATCATCAGGACGAAGTTGGGTGCCTCAACATACAAAATAAAAGATTCTCGTTGACGAACGTACCATCAGGTCATCCAATTCTGGTTCAAAGTGATCCGTAGTTGGTAGATGTAATTCTTCAATTCCTAGCTCCTTGTACTTTCGGAGTGGACCGCTGTACTCTTCGCACATGTTGATGACACCTCGTACATTGTGCTCATTGTAGAGCGTTTCCGGGATTTTTGCAAAACCGAAAGGGGCCCCGCCAATTAGGACTAAAGATGTTTTGCAACGTTGTAAAGGTCAGTCCCCAAAGTCGAATCGTGATGTTTTGAAGTTGTCGCAAACCTACATACCTGTGTCATCTACCTGAGTGATCCATTTTCCAACTCTTCGCGACACTGTAATAGGCAACGTAGGCCAGAACAATGATCGTGACACAATCGCCGATAGAGGTCGTGGAAGGAGACGCTTTTGATTGAGAATATAAAGCCCCACAGTCACACCGAGAAAATACTTGAGTATCACTTTTGGTAGTAGCTGTGGAATGACTGCTGCTACAGTTACACGTTGCGAATTCTTGTTGCTCGATGGGATATCAGGTTTCTTGTCCCCTTCGTCATTCTGTGGTGATCCTTCATGAACACGCTGGGTGACGGGTTGATTCGGTCTTCCAAACGGTTTTGCCATTGTATTTCAAGCAGGTGAAGACTTGTGAGTACGTGGTCGCAGCTTCCGATGGTTGACAACTTGAAACTTCGAGGTTCGAATTTGAATCATTCATACAATGCTAAATTAGTCCATATTCTCCAATTCTCTTATCCTCCAACGAATCTTCGAACGAAAGATACAACCGTGCCAGTAGCGCAGCATGCAATAATAGTAGTTATTAATTTTCATCATAATTGCCATTCAGTATTTTTTTAAGAAAACTTTGAATTGTCTCGGTGCATACCAATAGGCATCCGTCGTCGAATGTTATCAATTGCATCCAAGTCAATTTCACAAGTCACAATCGAGGGAGGAGCATCATCGACTGCACTAGTGTTCTTGGCACCACCCGCATCGGCCAAGATGGTGCCCCAAGGATCCACGGCAAGACTATGACCAAAACTTTCGCGTTTGCCGTTGTGTTTTCCAACCTGTGCTGCCGCCAAGACGTAACATTGGCTTTCAATAGCTCTTGCTAAGGAATGAAAAGAAATACATGAGATCCAACTTGTAAAGCAAGAAGCTATTATACCGTGACTTTGAACATGTACGCACTCATCATCTTACATACCTTGTAATAGGGTGTGCCAATGGGCCATCCCCGTTGGTACAGTAAATGCTGACGGCATCAACATAATCTGTGCTCCACGTTTCACCAATTCCATGTACAATTCCGGAAATCGCATATCATAGCACGTAGTCAGACCCAATCTTCCTGTAGTAAATACAGCATGGATAGATTTAGGACAATGTGTTTAGTTGTGAATTCCAACCGACCTTACGGCTTGTACAAAGATGTTCTTCCACCAGCACTTACCCAAGGGTGAATCACAAAGCACCACCTCGGTGCCAGGCGCCGTCGTCTTGCTCTCCCTTAGTTCTACTTTCCCTGGTATTGAAACGTCAAACAAGTGAATTTTGCGATATAATGCTTGTATCTGGCCCTTCTCGTCCAGAATGAGGTGCGTGTTGTAGACTCTCGGAGAGCCTTCGGTTTCGTCCGGAGGTGCACCTCCAATGTGCATACCGCCACCCGAAATCCACAAACTAGATTCTTTAGCAATTGTCCGCAATCCATCCAATATTGAAATCTGTGATCCATCATCGGGGATGAACAATGCTTCGGGTGTTTCTGTGCAGGCAGATTTCAAAAAAGAAGATATGGATTCATGATTTTGTATCCTGGTATTGTTGTCAACGGCAGAGGGATCTTCCGCATTTTCCAAGGTTTGATCCGAGTTCTCTCCAATGAAACCGAAGCATTCGGGCAAAAAGAGCATGGATGCCTTCTTGTGACGCGCTAATCGGGCACACTCGGCCACCGAAGCCAGGTTAGCTAGTTTGTCGCTGGTAGACTTCAATTGTGCAATTGCGGCAATTCCTTTCTTCGCAGCACTAGTGGGAGCCATGGCAAAACAAAAGTGAGATTGGAAGCAGACTGCGATGACCAATATAAGCCACCAAGTGTTGCCCAGTAGAAGCAATTTGAGGAGCATCATTTGAGGTTTGGTTTAACTCTTTGGTAAGAAGTCGATTGATTCATTCGACCGTGAGATATCAATGTGATACTCGCTCGATGCAAGAAAGCATGTACAAGAAGTCAGTCTACAGTGGGAATGTAAACAGCAGTTTTAAGGTAGGAATGCACATAGTCTACAGTAGTATTCTTGAAAATTGTCTTGGTATCTTCTATTGTTGTATTTTAACATTCTATTCTTTTGTTGTAGGACCTATCATGTATTCTTCACCATGGTCACTTTTTGATGGCAAACTTGCGAAAGAAAGGCAATCGAATCGTTTCCATTTGCTGACTCTGAAGTTCCATATGCTCATGAGTGATCTCGAGAAGTGGCCTTAGTGCCGCAAACCGACGTTGGGTCTTGAAAATGGCTCTGGTGTCCTTTATTTGGCAGCTTGCCAAAGCGTTGGCCAAATGCGAGGCCATTCGATCAAAGTATTCTTCTTTTTCCATGAGTCCTAGTCGGACATGCTTTTGTAGAATCTTTTGGTTGTAGACCTTCTTTTTGGAACTACTGGTCAATTCGCTGAGGTCGTCACACAGGGCAAATAGGAGTAGCTCCTTCTGAAGTTGAACCAAGGTTTTGGTATTCAAGTCTCGGCAGTAGATTGCAGAAAGGATATCGTCATCGACAATTCGCTCGGTAAAGTAAATGGTCAAAAATTCCAATGCATCTTCACCGCCCAAGAGAGTAACTACTCGGGAAAGTGCTGTGGGGGAATGAGGGCTTTTGCTGGGTGAACGGCTTTTACTTTGAAGGAGGAAGCGAGCTTCGTAGTCGTTTCTAATGTTCTTGTTGATGAGGACTGTGGTGGTTTGTTTGTTCATTGCTGTTGAGTGTATTGTAGTTTATTACAATTTTGATTTTGTGAGTTTCCTGAGCTTCCATTGAAAAACGATTTGTGTTCTGCTCAAGATATCGCGGGAATGGATGCACTGACACCGAAACGCGTGACCAAGACATGATCATCTTCTCCATTCCTCCGCAAAACTCACGGACTTCCGACCAAAACGTTCAATAGCAACAGTTCGAAGAGACTCCTCCACTACCAATACAGAATGGCATCATCTTTGCCACCCTCTTCAGAGAACAATGATGAGCAACAGCAGCCAGCAGCCACTGAACCAATTTCGAAAAGCGAATTGAAAGCGGAGAATCCAACGACAACTTTCACTACAAACAATAAGGATGCTAGTAGTTTGACCTCCCAATCGGAATCTGACACAATCCGATCTACCATGGATGGCGCTATGCATACTGTATCCGATACGATCAACAACAATTTGGTTGCCGCTCGAATGGGAGTGATGGCGAGTGTGGTTCTGCTGGGTGCCTATGGAATTGCCAACACACCCCTCTTTTTCCGCTTTCGGACGATTCATGAAGTTCCATCCTCTTACTTTGTCGGTCGGAAACGATTGTATGGAAGAATTGTCGAAGTGGATACCAAGTCGTCACTATCTAGTTGCGATGGCTCGATCTATGTGTACGTGAGACATTTGTCGCCCGTGGGACAGATATTGCCCAAGACTTGGTTTGACTTTTTCCAGAGAATGAACACGACGGCAGTGGCGGCTGCTTCGACGGTAGCTAGGTCGAGTCATAAGCGCGATTTGCTCAAAGTCAAGATTGCTGGAGTACAATATCCACCCTTTTCAAATTATCGATATAAGACGGAAGAATACCTCGAACGCATGGCCAGAGATCGTACCTTGGTGTCGTGTCAATTATTAGCACGGCAAATTCCAAAGTCAGAGTCTTGCACTAACATTGAGTCCAAACGCGCATTAGAAGAAGCCTTTCCCGAGTTGAAAGCTGATCTTAGCGACGAGGAGAAGGGAAGACACCAGTATCGCGAGTCCGATGAGGATACCATGGGGGATATTTCGGGCGTTTGCAAACTTGCCTATCGACCAACGCTCTTTCAATTGTTTCCTACAGACATTGCAGTATCTCTACTTCTATCAGGAAATGCTACCATTGCCCCCACTCTGCTGGCGTCGAATCATGAGACAGCCGACGGGGACGACGATCATGCCTCCACAGCAAGCTCTAGCACAACCATTGTAAACTCTTCGCAACGCCTAGACGACTTGCGGAATGATGCCAAGTATTTGGAACGATTGGCACAGGCTGAATTCGAAGCCCTCAAGAAAGAATCAGGAATCTGGGCCTATTCTGAGGTCCGAGAAACAAAGGCAGATGACGTTGCTGAAATTGAATTCCAAGCTAGTGCGAACATATTTCAAAAGCTATGGCGACGATTACGAGGAGGGTAGGTGTTAGGCGATACTTCTAGACAATAACACTAAAAATATCCTGTAGGCGATCAGCGGCACCCGAACAGTCGCCAGATGCATTGCAACAATTCGAAAGACGCCGTAATATGTATAATTCCAGAATTCTAGGTTGGCGATTCTTAGGCACCTGATGTTCCTTTGTGAGTCATGACCCAATACAAAAAGACAATCACTAGCACCACGAATCCCACCATATAACACATGTGCTTGGCACCTCCCGATTCCAGCATGGTCCCAATTCGTACCAGGGAGCCTTGTAGCATATCCTTAGCGTTTTGGAATCCATCTCCCATGTTTTCCAATAGTCGATTTTGTTCACTGACTTCGTTCCCAATATCAATGGTCAGACCCTTCAGCCTGTTAACTTGTTCACTCAATTCATTGATTCGTTCATTGTTTTGTTGTTCCAAAATACCGGCATTAGTATCATTGTGGCGACCACCTTCTAGATCTCCGCCGCCTCGTCGGCCATAAGCTCCTCCTCCTGATCGACCGTACATACTGTTGCCGTTGGTAAAATGTCCGTTGCTGTTGTTGCTATTTCCACTTGATGTATTTTTTCGCTGGTGCATCGGCGTCGTCATTCAATGTCAAAACGGGTGATTACAACGAGTCTTGCTAGGAAACGAGAAGACGAGAGTGTCAATGTCAATCGTGGGATGGTCCAATGCAAATCTCGTCAAGTGATCAATGAATATCGTCATTCATTGTCGTCTTCAAACGGCAACTTTTTTCTTGCGCAAGTAGGCACGCGCACGCACGCTACGACCCAGTCCAACGTACGACACCTTCGACTAACGATGAAGAACACCGACTGTTTCTGAATTGTCGTGGAAGACATCGTCAGGAAGGTCAAGATGGGCGTGGGCCAACTGTGACATTTCTCAGTATGGGTCAGGTTCTGTGTCAGGACTATACTGTAACTTTACAGTGTAACATGAGTACAAGTCTTCAACAAGGAGATGACGATCGATAGTCCTAATAGTATTCGCTAAAATTTGTAACAAAGTGTACAGCCGGATGCAGAGAGCACTCTTAAACTTCAAATTGCCCGTCTAACCACTTTTGCACTTCAGGATATATAACATCACTTTTCGTTCCTTGGAACGATCTCAACACACCGTTGCCCTCATAATATTCGACCAAGGGCAAAGTTGCCTATTAAAGGAAATAATTAATATCAGTATCAGTGCTATATCTTCGACCAGATCAACAGTAAAGCTTCCTTCACTTACCTCATCGTACAAACTCAATCGCGCTCGGACCTTGTCTGGCTGATCATCAGGGCGTTGCACGAGATCTTCCCCCGTTTCATCATCCTTTCCGTGTACCTTGGGGGGCTTGTACGAGTACGAGTAAATACGTCCTGAAGCCGGATGGATCCAACGATCTGCTATTCTCTCGACAATCGTATCGGTGGGAACATCCAAGTTAATGACTAGATCCACGTGCACAGACTTTTCGAGTTCCCTTGCTTGGACCACAGTTCTGGGAAAGCCATCCAAGAGCAACGACTTTCCGTCTTCCAAGTTGGGAGTGGTCTCCTCCATTACCAATCCAATCATGAGCTCATCTGGCACCAATTCTCCAGCGTTCATATATTTCTTGGCGTCGTTTCCCAAAGCTGTACCATCACGAACGTGTTGTCGTAGCAAATCTCCAGTGGAGATGTGATGAAACTGAGGGAAATCGTCGAGAATCTTCTTGCTAATGGTACCTTTGCCACCACCGGGCTTGCCCAAAATTACAGCGAAGTGTTGGCCTTCTTCTGCAGGTGCTTCCAAGCTGGTAGAGAAACCTCTATTGCGCATACACTGCGCCCAGATGCGACGAGAAGTTGCTCGGGTGACAATTGTGGGATGGAGTAGCATCTTCAAGTAATACCTTCGACAGTGAGGCGAAATGAAGAAAAGAAGTATCTTGAGAAGAATTTTTGGTGGGTGTTCGGTTACGTACGGCAAGTTGAATTGTTGATTTTATCAACTTCACTCCTCAGTAGTAGCTATAGGATTCGTTTGGTGTACTTCGGTAATGTTTCCGTGTAGCAACGTGAAGCATCCCTACAGAGTGGACAATAAATCCAACACGTGTCACCGACCACAGACTGACGAGTTGAAGCTAAAAACATATTTTGGCGCGCGAGCCGTTCGATATTTGGAGAGAAAGAGTGTAAGGGAATCAAATTCTGCACAGAATCGTTGACAGAACACCTCTGTGTGCTACTGTAGTGTCAGCAACAGAAGACCGTAAGTAATTGAAGACAAGAGACTGGGACTGTCGGAAAGAGATTGGTGAATGCCTGTAGATAGCGCACCAAACGTCTAGAAGAGAATTGAAGCTCAAAGATAACTACAGGTTGTAGCCCCCTTTCGTTCCTACTACAAATGAGAGATCGGTGTCATGAACTAAGTAGTGGGAATGTATTTTTCCCTTTGAACGATTCCCTACCATCCGGATCAATCGATACGAGTACGGTACGTGACAATGTTCCAACTCCTACGAAATAGCAGCAAAACTGGTACAAATCCTAAAAGATTACAAATAGTTTCGAGATAAGCTTTCGTAGCTTTGGGTATGTTGTTAGAGGGCAGCAACCTCAAAGATAGATAAGCGATACCAATAAGTTGTGTTCTCTCAGAAGATAGATAAACGTGCGGTTCTAGCTTAAAGATGCCACACGGACCTGGATTCAGATCAGTCAACAATGGTCATCATTCAAGTTTTGTTTTCGGAGGCAATAGAAAAGAGACATACGTATGTCTATCGTCTTCGCCGTGTTGTCTCTTCTTTTGATTCCCCATATTCGCCCCCATAAGGTACTGCTTTCTCGGCACCATTGATATTAGGCCAGACCTTCGTGTCAAGGAAATCGTTCAAGCGTGCAATGAACATCGGCCGGACTACAGAATGAACATTGTTGTGACCCATTCCTTCAATATACAGCGGACGCGCCCTTGAACTAGGCTGCAATGCTTCATACAGTCGTTCCGAGTGATTGAATGGAACAATTTGATCAGCAGTCCCGTGTACAAGGATTACTGGTGATTTGATTTGTGGAACGTAATCAATATTGGGGAATTTGTCACCATATACTGTGCAGCCAGTGTCGACCACAATGCGGTATACAGATAGAAAAGGAGCGTGAAGGATGACTCCACCGACGGGGCCTCCTAGAGTTTTGTCGACAGATTGTGAGGTGCCAGCAGCCATAAAACAGGACGGACCACCACCTAATGACCTTCCATACAACACAACATTCTGTGATGGTACTTTCAGGTTATGCCTAACAAACTTATAAGCTGCTTGAACATCCGCGTAACAGTCTTCTTCCGAGGGTTTTCCTGTTGACAGAAATGAATAGTCCAATGAGTTCCGAGTGCACAAAGAGATAAAAACAATCAATAATCAATCTAATGTTGCGTACCTTGATCAAACGCCATTCCATATCCCGTGTAGTCATAGGCCAGAAGATTGACCCGGAGCATCTTACTCAGGAATTTACACCAAGGATAGATACCCCCCAGATCTTCTGCATTTGCATGTGAATACAGAATTGTTATCCCTTGCGATGTGTCCGTCTGACTTAACTCCGCCGTCGTTAACGACCTTGCCGTGTCTTCTCCTCCGTTTCCATTATAGTGAATATAGAAGGCTGGTACCCTCTTTCCCAACTCTGTATCAAGCCATATGATCTTATTTTCCTTTAGATTGGTTGGTTGGGGAGGCTGAAACAGCAATGAACTGATTGTATCACCCATTTTCAAGCCTATTTGTCGTAATTTTATTGCCGACCGGCTGGTATCAGTGCAATTTTATTGCGTATTGTGCTTGATATAGTGAATGCTTGCTGATACCGTCAATTCTTCCGTTTCTCTTTGGCTCTATTGCCAGCAACAACAACAAGGACGATGAGGGATAGGTGGCGAAATAGTTGCCCGTCTCCAACGAGACAGCAAGTTTATTTTCGTGAAAACAGGACGGATGGCGCAGCTACTTTTCCAGATTACTGCCGTTGGGTTACTTGCCGGTTATGCGCTTGAATCTCCCCTAAGTAGAATGGAATGTTCTTTTACGTGCCATAGGTCAAAATTTGTTGAGGGTTGCTCGTGCGGCAGGCTAGCTCTACGTGTTTCATGGTACATTCACTTTGAAAATGACACAGGTGCGCGTGCCGAAGACTTCCAACGCTTCAAACTAAATAAAACTGCTCAATCATGTTTTCGACCCATTGGAATGGATTGCGACGGCCAACACCCGCCCAACACATCCATCGCCAACCCCTTTTAAAATACCCCCGGTAAAGTAAGGAGATGCCATAATGTCAATATATAATGCAGTTTTATAGATAGCATAGCTGATACAAGACCTTGATCGGTGTATGCGTCATTCGCTCATTCTGAAACTGGTCCACAATCATTGCGGCATCCGTATCCAAAGTGTCACTCGACGCCTCTAGTTTCCAACAAAGTTCCAAAGCCACTCGCCCTTGCAACAGTGCCTCGTGTGGGTTATCCTTGGTATCCAAGCATATCACATGAATGGGTGCAAAATTCTCGGTAGGCTCTCGTATTTGCAAATCTTCGACCACGGCATCATAAATTCGTTCTTCAAAGGCGATTACAACATTGTGGGTGGAAACAAATTCCGATGACATGTCTTGCCATCGTTGGGGAGCTTTCTTGACAGCGGCTCCTCTCCGACAAAGCTGCAAGACACCATTGCGGACAAAGAAAGCCTCGTCTTCAGGAGTGGCAGAAAGATTGTTGTACATTTCTTCATAGGGTGTTCCGAATTTGAAAATTCGTGGTTCCATGGCCGTTCTTCCTGGTAATCTAATAGGAGAAGAGTTCATCGTGTGACTAAGAATGAGTCGTCGATCATCATTGCAGATATGCAAGCAAACACCAGAAACCTACCTCACTTGGGTTCCCGTTCCATAGCTCTCTACCCGCAGTCCTAAATAAATGAAACAAGTACAGTTGGTTAGATTGCCAAATAGGCATTTTGATTTCAAAATCCGAATATTATTATATTCATACCTGCATTTCCCAATACCAAATGTGCTTCCATGGAACGATTAATGTTACTTGAACAGACGACTCCATACGAAAGCTTGGAGAATACTCGGCGTGCTTCTGGTGGTGGAACTCCTGGGGGCGTGGAGGGACGAGGTAGCTTTTGACTGTATCCACCAGCCGGCATGTTTGCGATAATTTGTGGTTATGAAAATAAACTGAACAGTAAGTACTGTTTGGACCACGATCTTTTTGAATGATTTGTGTTGCATGTCGTGGTGGGTTGGTTGTTGGTCGATTTTCGGTTTGGGGTCGGGGGAGTTAGCCCCCAATAATTGTGAAAAGAGGAGGGGTGTCATAAATAACGGTTTCAGAAACCGAGAACAGAACTTTGCGACTGACTTGAGACTGGCAGCGGATGATTGATTCGGATTGGGCAGTTCGTGGTTTTGGGGCGGTTCGGCATAAGTCATAATCGTGAAGTCGAACTCCTCGGATGACTTTGCCACGATTGGGCCAAACTCGACTTAAAGAATGCGGTTAGATATATGTGCGATATGTCGAAAGAATTGGAATTTTGGCGCCCGGCTGGCAGTTTTGGACCGGCCCTTTGGTTTCTTCCGGCTTTCTTCCAGCCGACTTGGCAGAAGTTGCCGATTGACGCAAGTGAACTAAGAATTTGGTTTGCTCATTTCTTGATACCCATCAAATCCCACAAGCTTCAATCTTGTTTTAGTAGAAAGCATTTCACTGCCTCTACCAACAAGTTTGATACCAGTCCCCTCTCTCTTTCTCTCCTTGAAGTTACATCACATCTCCTCTACTACAATCATGTCTGCGATCTCTACTACGGGCACCGAAGAAAGCTGCAGCAGTCTCAGATCCAAAGTTGGATTTCGAGATGTTGAAGTTCGTCATTACGAACGTTGCATCAGCGACAACCCATCTGTCCAAGACGGACCTCCAATTGGAATCGGATGGAAGGTAGAGGAAGAACAAAAGTTCTCTGTGGATGAATTCGAAGGCTCTCGAGAGTTTGTCCGACAGCCGGATGTCAACTCGCTAATGCTCCCCAAGACACACCGACAAGAGTTACTCCTGTCGGAGGGATTCTCCAAGAAAGAGATTGCCCAATCCGTACGAAGCGTCATCAAGGCCAAGAACCAACGACGACAGACAGTGAACAACCTAGATAAGATTCCTCTAGAAGAGTTCATGGAGAACACCAAGCGCAGTGTGAAGGGTGTCTTTTGCATTGGCAAGTCAAAGGAAAACAAGATGCTCTTGTCTGAATCCCAGACCCTTCCCATTGCCAACGCTGCAGCGTAACTGTTGCTTGAGAGTCCAATTTTTGTTCTGTACAGGATCGTTACATCTTTCTCTCCTTTTTACATTTAGAAAGATGTAACACAAGCAACCCAATCTTTCTTTTTCTCACGAGATGAGATAGAAAAAAACTCGACCCATCGCCACATTTTGTAATGAGTGGTTTGATACACAATGAATTTTATTTTTTTATATTTTATTTTGATGACTAAACGTATTGATTTTTATATTTCCTTACTATTTACTAGTATCATGTCCAATGCTGTCGCTGCCTACAGTACTGTCTGTGTATGTTACGTAGTAGATCTTGTTGTCAATCAAGAGATTATGAGCTGTGATGTATGGTAACAGCTCTTGGTACTATATCCGAAGGCGGCGGCTTCGAGACAGTACCATGCCGTACATTAGGCAACAGTCAAGTGTACCGGTAGGCAAACCAACCAACTCTCACGGTAGATGGGAAAAAAGGACAGCTCCGCCGCAGCTGCTACTACTCTTTTTGGCAGATTTGGTACACTTCTTACGGGCGCGGTACGACACGCGGTCATATTCCCGAAATTTTTGAAAAGCCAACAGTGAAAACCATTTTCACCATCATTGCTGGATCATTTCTCACTCCTTTCCTTAATAGAAGTCCAGACCCATCCTCACTAGAACACTGGGGGAATGCCAAAGGAAGATAGATCCGACTGGGTGGCAGTCGCCCCGGAGTTTGCAGCTTCTATAGGGGACAAAATCAAACCGGTAACCTCTGCCTATCAATACTTTCAAAAGGATATCAGTGAACAAGTCAAAGCCGAGTTGGGCAAGGGGTTCAAGGTTTATGAATTCGGTAGAGCCGTCAAGGAAAAATGGAACAACTTGGACGATGACGAACGAGAGCATTATGAGCAATTGTGTCGAGAAGACAAGGCTCGGTTTGCCCGTGAATCTCATGCAGCCGATATTGCAGCCATTGAACGACGAGAGCGATTGCAACGAGAACGAGACATGCTGATGCTGGATGATGAAGGTGGGGTTAGACGGACGACACGTGGAGTTCGAGCCAAGAAGGAACGAAAAAAGGCACGCAAAGACAAGAGAGGGAATCAACGGCACTCCAAAACGGACAGGAACATGGCTGATAATCAAGAGTTTGTCGACGACGACGACGACGAAAGCAGTGATTCATATTCGGCAGCAAGTGACTCGGATAGTGAAGGTGATTCCGACGGCAATGGCCGCCCTAAAAAAAAGAAAGCAGTCAAACCAAAGCCGCAAATGAGTGAAAAGCAAATAGAGTACAGGAGAAAAATCAAAGAAGAAAAACAACAGAAGGAACAAATCATCGCAGCTCGACAGGAAGATGTTCGGAAAGAAAAGGCCAGTCAAGCCAAGCGACGATTGGAATTTCTCCTCAAGCAGAGTAATATATTTTCACACTTTGGACAAGTCAAACAAGATACTGCCAAGTATGGGATCAAGACGGCGGTGGCAACCAAAAATTCTGACGACACCGCCAGTAGTCGTCGAGATGCCGGTGACGATGATGATGACTTGGAGGAAGCGGATGAGTCCAGGGCAACTTTTCTGACTGCACAACCTACAACAATAGGCTTTGGAAAGATGAGACAGTACCAGCTCGAGGGTCTTAATTGGATGGTTCGTCTGCAGGAAAACGGTGTCAATGGAATTTTGGCCGACGAGGTACGAATAGTTTGCGACTTTGGGGAATAGAAGGTGTGAATGAGGTGATGTTTAGCTTACACTCACTGTCTCTCTGTACTATAGATGGGACTGGGAAAGACTCTTCAATCGATATCCGTTCTTGTCTACATGCTGGAATACCAGAATAGCACCGGGCCTCATTTGATCGTCGTTCCGAAAAGTACGCTAAGTAACTGGATGAACGAAATCAAGCGATGGGCGCCAACACTTTCCGCAGTCAAGTTCCATGGGGACAAGACAGCTCGAGAAGAACTTGCCAATAACGTACTCTGCCCCGGCCAACACGATTCTGAACGGACGTGGAACGTCTGCGTTACGACCTACGAGGTTTGCAATATTGACAAGAATGTTTTGAACAAGTTTGCCTGGTCCTACTTGATTATTGACGAAGCTCATCGGTTGAAGAATGAAGCTTCCACCTTCTCTGTGACTATTAGAACCTTTGAAACTCGATACCGTCTCTTGCTCACCGGGTAAGGCTGACCAGTGTATAACGAGTCATGTGGTTCATCATGAATTCTTACACTCACCTTTGTTCCCCCACAGTACGCCTCTCCAGAACTCCCTCCACGAGTTGTGGGCACTACTGAATTTTCTGGTGCCCGATGTGTTCGCCAATGCAGAACAGTTTGACGAATGGTTCAATCTTGACATTGAAGACAACGATGAGAAGAACAAACTCATCTCCCAGTTGCACAAGATTCTGCGACCGTTTATGCTTCGGCGCTTGAAAAAGGAGGTCGAGAAGAGCCTTCCACCAAAACATGAAACCATTTTGTATACTGGCATGAGTGCAATGCAGAAGAAGCTGTATCGAGATATTCTGATCCGAGATATTGACGCAGTGCAAGGGACAACAGGGAATCGGACTGCCATTCTAAACATTGTCATGCAACTTCGAAAGTGTGCTGGGCATCCCTACCTATTTCCAGGAGTGGAAGACAGAACGCTGCCTCCATTAGGCGAGCACTTGGTGGAAAATTGTGGCAAGATGGTACTTCTTGACAAACTCCTGAAACGACTACACGAACGCGGTCATCGTGTTCTACTTTTCACTCAGATGACACGTATACTTGATATCATGGAGGACTATTTGGTCATGCGAAGATTCAAATATTGTCGCATTGATGGAAATACCACCTACGAAGTCCGAGAAGACTACATTGACGCTTTCAACAAACCAGATTCCGAAAAGTTCATCTTCTTGCTGTCCACACGTGCCGGTGGTCTGGGAATCAATCTTCAAACGGCTGACGTTGTCATTTTGTACGATTCCGATTGGAACCCTCAAGCAGATCTCCAAGCTCAAGATCGTGCTCACCGTATTGGTCAAAAGAGAGAAGTTCAGGTCTTTAGATTTGTGACAGAGCATACAGTTGAGGAAAAGATTGTTGAGCGAGCGCAACAGAAGTTGAAGCTTGATGCCATGGTGGTTCAGCAGGGTCGCCTAAAAGAGAAAGATAAACTGTCACGCGATGAGTTGCTGGAAGCCGTTCGCTTTGGAGCCGACAAGATCTTCAAGAGCAAGGATTCTTCCATCACCGATGCAGACATTGATATGATTCTCGATGCTGGGAAACGAAAGACACAGGAGCTGAACGAAAAGCTGAAAGCTGCGGACAAGGGAGACCTTCTCGATTTCAAGCTTGACGGCAATTCCAATTTGCAAACATTCGAGGGAGTGGACTATTCGAGCAACGTTCTCGCCCAAGCGAGGAAAGAAGCCGAGCTGCTGCACATTATTGATATGGGAAAACGTGAACGCCGGACGGTGGCCAACTACAACGAGAACAAGTTGTACCAGGAACAGATGGCAGCGATGCAAGGAAAGAAAGTTGAACGGAAGAGAAAGATCATCAAGTTGCCCAAAGAAAAGAGGCTCCCAAGAATGGAAGAGTGGCAAATGTTCAAGAGGGATCGATTGATTGCGATTCAAGAACAGGAAGAAGCCAAATTTCGTAGCCTACCAGAAGAAGTGCAAAAGCTTGAAGCTTCAAGTAACAAGGCTTCAGACCCTGTAGACTCATCAACAGGCGCTTCTGCTACAAATGGCGATGGCAATGGAGCCGAAGGAAAAGAAGAAGGTAGTAAGCCAACCCCTCCTCTCGAAGTTCCACCTCTTTTGGACGAAGAAACGCAGGCCGAGAAGGACAAGCTTTTGAGTGAAGGCTTTGCGACTTGGAGACGTCCCCACTATTCTGCTTTTGTCAAGGCAAGTGGCCGTTATGGTCGTTCCAATTATGCTCAGATTGCAGCAGACGTGGGGAAGTCCGAGGCGGAAGTGAAAGAGTACGCCGACGCATTTTGGGGGCCAGTCGGAAAAGAGCGTTTCTCCGAACACGAATATGATCGGGTTGTGAAGCTCATTGAGAAAGGGGAAAAGAAAATTTTAGAAATCGCGAGTCTCGAAAGATGTACAAAAGTCCTCGTATCACTATTCGAGAATCCTTGGGAAGAATTGGAGTACCAGCATGTCACAACTAAGGACAAGCTCTTCTCTGCGGACAATGATCGCTTCTTGCTGTGTTGGGCTCACAAATTTGGATATGGGCAGTGGGGTGCAGTCAAGATGGCGATACGTCGAAGCCCGAAGTTCCGGTTTGACTACTTTATGCGCAGCTTGCCTATGGACGTCCTCGGCCGACGCTGCGAGCATCTGATGAGAGCAGCAGAAAAGGAAGTCGAGCATCTTGAAAAGAATGCAAGAGAAGAAGCTGGGTTGCCTGTGGAAGCACCGGAAGGTGGTGCACTACCACCTGTTCAGTTGCCTTCGTTCAAGGAAATGCAGCGTATTTTCCGTCAAAGAAAGCGAGAACAAACGGAACAAGAGAAGATCCAACTTGAAAGGAAGGTTGAAGAGTTAGAGACTGAGATGAAAAATATCCAGGACCGTCTCAAGGAACTGAACAGCAGCGGGGTGATGGAAGTGCAACAAAAAACTCCTTCGAAGACCATGGCATCCAGAAAACGACCTCGGTCGTCCGAAACTACGAAAGAAGAGGAGGTGTCGGGCCCCAATGATATCGACGAGAGCAAGGGGACAATCGGACCTGAGGGCGAATTTTTAGAATTCCCCGAGTACGATGGCGTCGATCCGCCTAAGGAACCAAAGAAAGCATTCACGCATTTCTGTGTTTCAACAAGGAAGACTGTGAAGGCGGCGCTTGATCCAACAGAGCGAAAGAACAAGGAGAAAATCCATGAGATATTACGAGAAAAGTGGATGAACTTGCCAGACGAAGAAAAGCTATCTTGGCGAAAGTGGGCTACCTGGGACAAGAAGCGTTTTGCTCGGGACATGGATATCCATGAAAGCAAGAAGAAGAATGGTACCCCAAAGGCAGACGATGAAAACTCGGAGAGCATATCTGCGGAACATGATCTGCAAGTCACGAAAAAGAAGATACCTTCTCTCCATGTGCCGAAGAAGAAGCGGCTTACATAGGTAGTGTAACATCACAGCTAGCAAACATGCTTAGTTCACAAATACTGAAGCGATATTGGCGTAGGTATGTCTCGTTAGTGTATTTAGTCTTTCCCAGAGTCAAATTCATCGATTCCATATTTTCCTTGCCAGCTGAAGAAGTGCCTTTACTCCCTTCAACCAGTCCTTGTGACCTCTCCACTCGCTACTGACGAGATCAGTCAAAACAGATTGGGCTGATCCGAAATCGTAAGTTGTGATGAAGCCAATCATTTGAAGCACCTTGGCGCATATTTCAGGTTGAATGTCTCCGAGCGCCAATCTTTTCAATAGCACTGCGACTCCACGTTCTGATTCGCTCAACAAACGCTTATCGCTTCCACCCATGGAAGGATCTGCCTTCAAAGCATCAATGACACCAATCAAACAATCCTTAATCGGCTGGAGCTCGGCCGAAAGTTCAGGAATATTGTTTGGGTCAAATGTTCCCGAAACTGGTGGCTTCTCTACCGTGCTTACAGACGCGATTCCAGCTCGGGCGCCGCCATATGGATTACTAGACATCGGAAGCAAATGGTAAGAGCGGAAGAACAACGTGTCTATAGTAGCAGCAATTCGTACCTTGTACCAACATTGCCATACTGACTGGCGAGTTCTGGGTGCGATGCCGAGGTGACAAATCCATCTCCATACTTCGAAGCTAACTTGTTTGGCCTGCTTGGAGTAGCCGGAGTTGTTTTCTGAGGCTCGGGTTGTGGTGCTGGGGGCAGCGCCTGTGCGGCGACGGGTTGGGGCCTCTCCCAAGTCGTTTCTCCGGTTGTTTGATTAGCATAGTACATCATACCACTTGACGGGTCTTGAAGTTCAATCCATCCGTCTGGTAGTGTTCCAGCCGAAGCCTACGATCACAATAGTAAGAAACCCACATTTTCAATATCTGCTCGACACAATAAATGACTTACCGGTTGTGTCACACTTGGAGTTGGAGTAGCACTACGCTGTTGCGATTGACCAGCATAGCTATTGGACATTGCACTCACTTGAGAATACTGAGAATAGTTCGAGGCTGTTGATGCCTGGGTCCTCATCTGCCGAGTGTTTCTCGTCGTTTTTGCTGGCTCGGCTCGAGACATTTTGACATTGGTCATATCGAATGGGAACTCAGGTGCAACACCACCCATGGCAGCTAGACAGCTTGGACTTGCTTTACTTCTATACAGTCGGTCCCGCAACACCTTGCCCTCGTAACTATCTGGAGTGCTATATTTCGCGGCGCTGACTAGGAGCCCTTGCTCTGCCAATTTGGAAGAGTACTTTGAGAACAACTCAGCGTCCTCAAGACAAAGCTTTGACGTGGGTCCCACAGCCACCAGAAAGATTGTAACCTTGACGGCATATTCGTGCAAGGCAGCTAAATCCAGAGATCCCTTTGCCTACGTAGAAGATGAGATGATGCAAGATTGAAAACAATAAGATGAGATGATGCAAGATTGAAAATAGTATTGTGAGCGCTGCTGATTCTTACCTTGTTCACTTCGTCGAGCTGCTGTCTCCAGTACTTTCCAACTTTACCTAGATTCATGGAACACATGAAGCAAAGCGAGGCATGTCGGTCGTCTCCATACTGCTCCAATAGATCACCCAAAGCGTCACAGAGAACATGATACTCTTCTGTCTTGGCATATGTCAAAATGATTGCAAGGGTCTCCTTCCAATCTTCGGGATCTGACTTTTGCACCAAGTCAGCCAATCCATCCCCGAATACCGCACTAACTAAAGGCAAAAAGTTGCGCTTTTCGACTTGTGCCTCAAAGTATCGTTGCTGCGTCTTGGTCCAGAGATCTCCGCCTCCGTATGATGCCAGCAACAAAGCATCAGCCGCGTGTCCCATTCGGAAACAGCATTCGACCGCGGCATCAAAGTTTCCAACCATGATTGCTTGCTTCACCATTTGCTCGGTCGTCTTTGTCATTGGACCAGCTGGCTTGTCGTCAACAGCCAACTTCTCAATGCCATTGGTCAGGTTATCTTCCGCATAAGCGTTTGCTTTGCTGGCAATCATTTCCGGATCAAAACCAAGCATACCCAAAAGTTGCTGCCTTGAGTTTGGATCGAAGATTATCTGCATAAAGGCCCACAACTCTGCCTCTGAGGTAACCTTCGTCTTTGTGGCTCGTTCGTAGCAATACTCTGCAACATTAGTCGTTTGCAAAACCGATTCAAACTCAGCTGAAAGCTTGGCAAAGCTTTCTTCTTCGACAACAGTGCTCATTCGAATGTAGCGATCTGTCGATCCGCACGAAACCAAGGATCCTCCAAACCCAAAGGAAACACTACTACTCGGTCGCATCCATTTTGGTGGACGAGCGGAACTAGATGATAGCCCAAGAATCGAATGCGCTTGTACCTTACGATCTAGCGAGCATGTCAGGGTAACTCCTCGTTTGATGGGGGACCATTGTACATCATATCGTCTCTGATGATTCGAGGCGAGTCCTCCTGCAGCAAACATTTCCTGGCTGTTCGAGTTTGTGTCAGTTTGGTGGTCAACTTCGTCAATTGGTACTTCTCCGATTGGTGTGAGCGTGAAAAGGTCCCACAATATGGTGCGATTATCCTTTCCACAGCTGCAACAGAACCACAAAAACAAATGAGTACGAATCTCTTGTTGTCATGGTTAGCGTATACAAACAAAACTTACGATAGGAGCAAGTGCTCGTCATGCGGACACCAAGCCATGCTTAGAATTCCTTGTGAATGGCCTGTCAACGTTGTCAGGGGCATACTGGTAGACGATCGGAGATCCCAGAGCTTAATAACTGGGTTGTTGTCATCCGCTGAAGCAGTCAAAAGATGCAACCCTTCGCTAGGATTCCATGCCAGATCTGCGACAGCTTTACCGGCTGACTCACAACGCAAATTACACCATGACTTTTTGCTCTTCAAGTCCCAAACCGAAACGGTACCATCAGCAGCAGCACTCGCCACGATATGAGAGACTTGCGTATTCCAGGCAACGGCAGTAATCTGAGCATTTTGTTGTGTGGACTCACAAGGCATAAAGACTTCATCTTCCTTATCCAAGTTTACAATGAGTACTTTTCCATCGCTTCCACCAGTCGCCAATTGACTCAGGTTCAGTGGATTGAATTGCAAGGCTTTGACCGGTCCAGTAGCGTGCCCCTTGATCGTTCGAATGAGGGACTGTTGATTCTTCATAATGGCCTTTGGATTCCATACATGAATAACTCCATTTTCCATCCCTCCTGTCAGTAGTCCCATTGGATACTTTCCTCCCAGAGTTTCTGGAGACCAACAAACGCTGGAGAAACGAGCCTCAGTCTTGACCGACCCCAGAAGTCGTGGTTCATCCCCATTGGATAGATCAAGATCATACAAGTCCAATGCACTCCCATTATCTTCAAATCCTATACCACCAGAGTCCTAAAGGAGGGTTATCATTAGTTGATATTCAATTCAATTGTATGAGCCGTAGCACCTCCTGGGTCATTTCCAATGAGAAAATCTTGAAACATACCTTTGTGCCTATTGCAATCACATCTGAGCAGCTCTGAATCGGGCTCCAAGCAGCAACGGCGCTTTTGCCTTCTATTTCAGTTATCTTAGTCATCGTCGTCTACGTTTTAATATCCAGACAGACCGACTCCAAGGCTCCTGCAACGGATTGTTGTTCAAATGCAATCGTTTGGCATTTTTCCCAGATCTGATTGATTCCCTCGAACTCTGCGGATTCGATTCTGGTCCAGCGGCGGATGACGCAAGGTTTGAAAAGGGGTCGAATCCTTCGAGTGGTTGATGGTTTGCCCACGACTCACAAGTGTCCATTCCCGTGAAAGCTTTTCACTTTTCTTTCTTGGACTTTCAACTTCCGTTCCACTCAAGCTACTATAACTTTGTTGCATATTGTAGTTTGGACAACAGACCAAGCACTCATCTACCGATGACGAAGCAAGACACACAAGAACAATTAAATATAGCCGCACCTGATTTACCACGATGGTATCCAAAGTGGCGAGGGAAACCTTGGTACGATGGTAATCAAGAGGTGAGCCAAACAATTCGACATTTTTGAAACAGTTCTTTTGTTTGTTGTCACCTTCTCACTTATTCCATGGATATAGGCACTCGCATGGATGTTTGACGGAATTGCTAGAAATGTATCCTTTCTAGGAGCTGGTGCATTTTTCGCCACGGCCTTGCTGCGACTGGCCAAAGAAAGCTTGGGGTGCGCCACGGAGCCCCTTGAAGGGAGCATTGTCATACCAGAATGTGAAGGGCGAGTACTGGGTATCAAACCATCATCACTTCTTACCACTTATACCATGATTATTGGTGTAGCCTCTGCCCTATTTTTGCCGCTCATGGGAGCCATGGTTGACTATACAAGACATCGATTATTGTTCGGACAAATCACCTCAGCAATCATCTGCCTTTGCATCTTTCCACAAATATTCATGAACGAAGACAATTTTATTGTCATGGCGATATTACAAGTAATATCCTCCTTTGTCGGTTGGGCGCAAACTGCGTTGAGCCATGCTTACCTCCCCGAGCTGACGGATGATGAATTGATTTTGAACGAGTACAACAAACGATACACTGTTGTCTTCTTTTCCTTTGGTGTGGCGTTTTTGATTGTCACCATTGCCATTACGACCGTTATTGGATATGCAGACAATGATTTGGTTACGTCTCAGGTCGCCATGTCTATGGCCTTCGTAGTGAATGCCACTTTGTTGCCATTGGCCTGGGGTCGGCTCTTCAAGCGACGAGAACCAATGCACCCTCTACCGGAAGATGCCTTCTTGTGGTCGGCTGGCTTTGTACAATTGTATCGAACGGGTAAGAAAATTGCCGGCAACTATCGAGGCTTGAAGTGGTTCTATCTAGCGATTGCAATGTCCGATTCCGGAATCAATGCACTTGCGACCATTGCGATTACCTACAATACGGATGTGTTGCAATTCTCGGCATTGGAGAATGGCATTTCGCTAATTGTTATTCTCATTGGATGTACTCCTGGTGCCTTTCTGTCGAAGTATACTACAGAGAAATTTGACCCGATTAAAAGTTCCATCTTTGCACTCTTGCTACTGATTGTGGCTACTGCACTGTTCGCCATCTTGATTGTGCGCCCCAAACAATTCGCACAAACTTATGCGATTGCCTTTTTCTGGGGAATGGGCATGGGATGGAAATGGACCATTGATAGGACACTGGCAGCTCTTATCATCCCGGAAGGACAGGATGCCGAACTGATGGGATTCTTCTTGTTCAGTGGTCAGTGCCTGTCTTGGGTTCCACCATTGGTATACACTGCCATTAATGAAGCAGGTGTTTCGCAACGAGTTGGGCTGGCATCATTGGATGCTTACTTCATTCTTTCACTTATTTGTTATCTTCTCATGGGAGGATACAAACAAGCTCGTATAGAAGTGGGACGGGACAAGAATCTTGAAAAGGAACTGAAGGAAATGCCAGGTGCTGAGACGCCTCATCCTGACTGCGATGCAATTCCCAACCCAAACGATGGAGAGTGAAACGATGGAGGGTGATAGAATTGGGAAACTCCTCCATCATCAGTTGATGAGAAATTCGGCCAAGGCTCACCATAAATTGAACGAATGGACACCGAGGATCCAACCACCTCTTGAAAGAATTCAGGGAGGAAACAGCCATTTCAAGAATCCGCCAGATGGTTATCTTCGAATTCTATCGCACAAGTCAAGGGCGTCCTCTGCAAAAGTAGGCAGGAAGAGACCTAAAATCCTGGTTCAAGTTCCTACCGGATAGTACTATGAAAAAATCAATAGTGAAACAACATTTCTATTTCTTTCTTCCCTAAAGTATTTATGTGAACGACCCCTGTATTGTTTTCCAAACGCCAGAAGCGTAGGTGCCCCACTCTTTTGTCCTGGAGGACGACTGACAGGTTCCTCTATTTGATTTCAAGGAATCGCAGACTTCTTACCACCCCAATTGGTTAGGCTGCAATGGAAGCCGGGATCTCTAGTCTTCGTGGAATCCCAGCGAATTTACGTTCTTGATATTTAGCGCATGGAGTTTCGTCGTCACCAAAAGAGGAACTGGTAGAGGACAAACTATCACAATCCAAAGTCGAAGTGGTAGAAGCAGATTTGAGGGAGTTGCCATCACTCTGTGCTGGTTTCTTGTTGTACTTCTTCAACAGCGATTGGATCTTCTGATCAATCGCAGCCATCTGCTTCTTGGTACTTTCCAAACTCGACAACTTTGTATTACATTTAATGTCTTCATCTACATCGTCAAAGTGGAAAGACGATCTTCGCTTTTGACGAATATTGACCGATGATTGCAGCAAGCCATCGAAACGACTCTTGTCCGATTCGCTGGGAGGACTGAATTGTTTCTCAAATGGTTGCAGCACCACTTCAATGGAATCTTCACAGCTGATGTTTACAGATAGGTTGAACATGGTCAATGATAAACACTTTGGTGTCTGGATGGATGGATAATGTGGTTAATGTGGTTACCTAGAGTGGAACGAGCTTTTTGTGGAAGCAGATCCTCGCAAAAATCGTTCCAATTAGCGATTTGTTGGTCGCGCGGACAGTTTCAAGATTTGCCAACAGACGTTGGTCTGTACTTCAACCAACTCTGTCCTTCAACCAAGAGTCTTGCTTCAACCGGAGTGATGATGGGACTCACAAAAACTGCCCTTCATCCAAGAGTAATCAACCCAAAAGAAAGTCAAAACAAGACAGAAAAAATAGGTGCAAACTTAAGTGCAACGACCATACCAGTATGAGTGATATTGGAGTTAACACAGGAACCACCATCAGTGATATTGCGCCAGATGCAAACAACACAAAAATCTTGGAAGCAAAGCCCTTAGACAACAATAATGCCGTCTCTGCTAATCCTCACATTCCATCCGTCTCGGCTTCCGCTGTTCTAGGAGAGAGCGAATCCCTGCCGGAATCGACTCCGAAATGTAAGGGTGTTGAATTCAACAACTTGTCATCGGAAAATATGTTGACGGCAATTATGGAATCATTCAAGACAACTGGATTCCAGGCTACCAACTTGGGGTTGGCGGTTGATCAAATCCATGAAATGAGAAAATGGAGACTCAGTGATGTGAAATGGAAGGAAGGTGACGACCCAGCGCTAAAGCCAAAGGAATTGCGTGAGCGTATCCGAGCTAGGATCTTTCTAGCCTATACCTCTAACCAGATTTCTTCGGGACAACGGGAAGTCCTTCGATTCTTGGTCCAACACAAAATGGTCGATTGCATCGTTACCACGGCAGGGGGGGTTGAAGAAGATATCATGAAGTGTTTCCAACCTACTTTCATGGGGGATTTCAAGCTTAATGGAAGAGAGTTGCGAAAAAAGGGAATCAACCGCATTGGAAACCTACTAGTCCCCAACAAGAACTATTGTGAGTTCGAAGATTGGTGCAGCCCTCTGCTTGATAAGATGCACGACGAACAAGACGAACAGTGGGCCAAATGGGCCATGGAGTTTGCCTCCCGCGACAAGGACGACAAGTCAACCCTTGAAAAGTTTGTCTGGACCCCCTCCAAGATCATCCATCGCATGGGCAAGGAGATCAACAACGAGGAGAGTGTCCTATACTGGGCTGCCACAAATGACATTCCTGTCCTGTGTCCTGCCTTGACAGACGGAAGCGTTGGGGACATGTTGTACTTCCAATCGTACAAAAGACCCGGCTTTGTTTTGGATATCAATGAAGACATTCGCCGCATCAACGACTTGGCCGTCCGAAGTCATGCCACGGGGCAAATCATTTTGGGTGGTGGTTTGGTGAAGCACCATACCTGCAATGCTAACTTGATGCGCAATGGTGCCGACTATTCAGTCTACATCAACACGGGATCTGAATTTGATGGTAGCGACAGCGGGGCTTCGCCCGACGAAGCCATTAGTTGGGGAAAGATTCGCATTACAGCAAAACCAGTCAAAGTAACGATGGAAGCCACCGTTGCTTTCCCATTGATTGTTAGTCAAACCTTCGCAAAGGATGTGGAGCAGTGGAAAGAAGCCACTAAGAATACCGTTTGCCACGTTGACGATCTTGGCTAAACTTCCTGTCTCTAATCTAATGATAGATATGCGATTGTTTCCTAAGCATACTTATAATATAATTATTGTTAACCCAAATTATTACACCCACATGGATCCCCACTAAACCGTCACAGTATATATTGATCTTCGCCCCGACCCGCAACAAAATCAATTGCGGCCACATGACTAGTAGCATTTCGAACAGCACGTGCAAGTCACCTTTGTACAATCCGCAGTAAACTCTCGCAATGGATGTACGCACATGACATCAATTCCCCCCACTAGATTGTTGTTGTGCAGCGTCAATCGTTCCAAACCCGTAAAGAACATGAACGCATCATCAATTTGACCCGACAACTTATTGTCATTTAGCTTGATGGTCTTGAAGCCACCAAAGGATCGAAAGCCCTTCTTGCCCGTGTCTACCGAAGGAACCTCAATCACACCTATAAATTGGTTTAGCGAGAAATCCATGGTTTGCAAGGAATCAGACAAGAAGAATTCATTGGGAAGTACACTGTTGAAGTCATTTTGATGAAGATCAATGTCCTTTAACATCTTCATCTTTGCAATGCATTCTGGCACATCACCCGAGAGGGCGTTCTGGTCTAGGACTAAGTACTCCACTTCCTTGAGCAAACAAAGCTCTGAAGGCAACTCTCCCGCCAGTCCATTTTGTGCTGCGAATTGAATTGAAGAACGACGAGAAAATCGATGTCAGTGAGTCGTCCTTGCCGTCAAGCGGTATGCACCTCATTGTCAAAATCAAAAACTTACACAAAGTCACGTTGGTCGCTATCCGGTTGCGATTGAAGCATTCCACTCCATGCCATTCACACTCGTTGCGTTCAAAGACTTCCCATCCCATGTTGTTCAGCCAAGAACTTTCCCCACCAGTCGAAAAGTACAGAACCATGAGCGCAAATCGCTGGGTAATGCGATATTCTCTAAACTCGGTTTGTAGTTGACGTCCATCTTCCATAGGTTCCAAATCTTCCAGTTCTGCTAACTCTTCGAGATATCTTCCAGCACCGTCTCCCGAGTCTTCTCGCGCCGCAGTTGTTTCCTGGAATATTCGATCAAAGGCCTTGCCTTGTGCAGTCTCGGGATCCAAGAGCAAGGCAGGGTTCTCCACTTGAGGACCCAAGATGTTGTATGCCTCACTTGCTTTCAATTCCTCCACTTCCTCTGGAGGACGGTTAGGCACGGATGGCTCGGATGGCACAGATGGTCCGGGGTTGTTTGGTTTTGGTCCACCTTGCGATTTGCCAGCTTGAGATGGATCCGAGCCTGATCCACTACCCGTTCTTGTCACATTCTGTTGTCCATCAACAATTTCCATATAGGCAAAGACACCAATACCAATTGCCAAAAGAATCGTCACGATACCAAATCCTCTCAAACAGCGGCTGCGGCGACGCTCCAAAACTGCAAAATTGGAAGCCCTTTTCTGGGAAGGGAGTCGATGCCTCACATTGCCTCCAAATCCTCTAGATGGACTGGAAGACTTGGAATAATCGTCCATGGCCAGAGTCACATTGTATTCATCCAATGGTAAATCCTCCATAGGCGTTGGACTCGATCGATGGCTTGCCGATTCCACCGAATACGAGTACATGGATTGTTGAGACTGCTGGGAGGATTCGGTAATAGGAAAGAGTGGTTTCACAGTTCCAGTTTCCGAAACGAATTGCAATCCTCCCAACATGGCCGAATCGTCCTCGTTACTGTAGTCGATATGAGGTTCTCGGTGGTGGGGCGAACGTTGGGGGTGCTGTTGACGCATGTTGGCATTGCGGGTTCTCGGTGGAGTTCGCAAATCAGCTTCGTCTAGCATGGTATTGGCTGATTTCATGTCCTCTCCAAAAATGGTGGATTCTTCTTCCTGTCTACCACCACCACCACCACCACGATAGCGTTGAGGACCTCGTTGTGCTGATTGTGGCGGCACTTGATTGTTGTTACTATTGTTCTGGTACATCGTTGCATGATTTCGAGGATTGGTGGTGATTTGAATGTTGGTGGGAACGTCAAAAGGCTGTTTGTCCGACTGAGGTGCGGAACGCGATCGCGGAGGAGACGGGTGGAAACGAGACGAAGCCTTGCGCGACATTGGTCTTGGATCGATATCGGCAGCATCCTCGGTCATGATTGTCACCTTTTGCACTGGAACAGAAGGGTAATCATAATCCAAGAGTTCTTGATTGTCTGGATAATGAGCTCCTGACCTGGCTGATCCTCCTGATGGCCCTCTTTCCAAATCTCCTCTCTGACTGAAGCGTCCAGATTGATCATCACGAGAAGATTGCCCAAAGGGTTGAAAGAAGGACTGCACCATGACTTCCTCATCCTTGGAGTTCAATGGCGGACGCCCTCGCTTTCCACAAATATCCTCAAACTCACAATAAGTTGACATGTTTTATTCAGATTTTGGCGCAAATAATTTGATCTAGTTTCTGTAGATTGTTTGTACTTGGAGTAAACCTTTCGTCGCTCCGGTGTGGTTGTTGTTACAGTACCCTCTGCTATTGCTATTGCTGTTGCCCTCTGTTGCTGCGGTGATGTTTATTACTGCAGTTAACCTTCGTCTTTGGCTAGTCTTATTCTGTTTCAGTCACAATTTTGCCGCCATTTCCAAAGGTTGGAAGCAGACAAAGGAAATCTATTGGCATGTCCGGCGCGCATACCGATCAAATTTCGACGTTGATATTGTCTACAAGAGTGGGAACTTGACTTTGTCCACCATCTCAAAATTTGGGGACCACAATAGCCAATGGCAGGTGCCAAAAGCTCCCGAGCACGTGGGAAAAATGGCGCTTTCCCCGACTGCAATGACTGGTCTGACTCGGATGAGATTCGCTCGACTGTGACTTCAAAAAATAACGGTCAAGGTGTCGGCGTAGGAGCGACATACGAGAATGGCACTGCTGCACCGGTAGAAACCACCTGCCGCAACTGATGCACACACAAAATGTGACCAAAGTACTGGCCCTTAGGCAGTTTGTACGTAGCGTACCTAGCGAAGGACGGACGGGGCTCCTCAGACTTTCTCCGCAAGCAGTCGTCTATTCAATTGAATCGTTCTTGCCTTGACTACTCGTACCGGTACTTGCGAGCGTTCACAACACAGCACTCTCGTTCTGTCAACCCCAACACCAACCATCCAATTCTTTTTCACACTCTTGGTGGCTCGTTTGCGAAAGCTTGCGTTGTAATCAAGAGTAGTGAATCAGTTGTTGACAAGAAATAGCCGTTAGCTTGCTTCAGTCGGACACGAGAAAACATCACAACACAGAGGTTTTTTCCGATTGGAACGTACCGCAATACTGTACTGTACTGTAGCAAAATAGGCAAAAGTCTACGTTCGACATTGATTGAACCGATAATTGCAATACAAAACTCAACAAGCAAAGAATTCCATACAACTACATAGTAAGAGCCATGGCCATGGAAGATGCCGATCTTTCCAGAGAGATTCCAGTCACTCCCGTCCGATCCAGCAGTGACAACAGTGGCCTAGCCAGCAACTACTCGGAGACTGCATCATCATCCGTTACCGGTCCTCATGGAGCCAATGATAGCATTGCTTCTGGTATTGTACCGCCATCGCCCCAACGATCCTATCAAGGTACTCTTCCGCCTTCGGTTACGAGCTCACCAGTGTCCGTTGCCCGGTCCACTGCCAACACTGCCAAAATGAGTCCACCGGATGGACGGAATAAGACTCCATTGCTACCAAAGTCGGGTTCCAAAGTTCCTATGCAACCTGATTTGCAAACGCCGACTTTCAATGATGCGGATGTAGAAGTTGCAGACTTGTTGGGGGACTATTCCAATGCTCCCAGCAACCATCGACACCAACACTATTCTTCTACACCAGAACCAAGGGTCTTGTACACCTCGGATGACGAAGAAACGGATCCAACGTCTTCCATTACGGCGGATTATCCAGCATATGCGAGAAACAATGCCACTTCAACCTTTGGCAAGGTTATTCAACCACTCAAGGTGAGAATAGAAACCACGATTCACTGAAGATCAGAAGCAATGACCAATTCGCATGTAGATGATGCAAGAACTCATGTCTAACTCTCCTCCTTCCCTTATTCCCTTATTCTTATAATTGTTATTTTCCATGGTTTAGGATAAGATGAACAGTTCCAAGAATCGATCTAACTCGGAAGAGGAAGGTGAAAAGAACATCCCACCGGGAGCAATCATCTTTGGATACCTACAAAAGCAGGGCAGGAACGGAAAATGGCAGACCCGTTGGTTTGAATCTGACGGAGAGTGTCTGGCTTACTACAAATCCAGCAAACGAGTCAAGCTTTTGGCAACACTCGATCTAGCCAAGGTTGGGTACATTTTGGTGAACAATCAAGACCCAACTGGATGCACCTTTACAATCAATATCAAGAATAGACCTTATTTCTTGAGATCTGATTCTAAGGTATCCTGTAATGACTGGGTTATTACCTTGAACCGAATCAAGGAGGCACGCTTGCGACAAGGCAATGTGAAACTAGTGAACTCTCAGCCACCAGATCTACTGGACTCTGAAGTGGCACCTCGAGTCGTAGTTGTCGCTGGTCGCCAACGGACCCACGCCATTGATGACGACGATGCCTTTCAATGGGAGGGCAATTCGTGGAATGATAACCCCGCGGCCCACGAAGAGTATATTTACGATCCGACAAACTCGTCTGCCAAATGGCAAAAGTCAGCTCATAAGCTGTCCAAGTTTGCTGGCAAGGTCTTGCGATGGGCAAGAAGTATTGGTCGTCGAACAAGTGGACATGGTTGCACAGCTGCTGACGAGCAAGTCGTTTTGGATCATCATGTGCATCCACCCGGTCACGACGATGGAAAGGTAAGATTGTGTTATGAATTAGCCACTTCTTTGTGCACTTGATTTGATAGAGAAGGTGCAAATACTCACTAGTCCTTCCTTTTTCGCAGAGATCTGGTCGTTCTAAGAAACCTATTGTAAACAAGACCCCCCATTATCAAGGCCAAAATATCAATTCCAAACCGGAAAACGACTCCTTGACTCTGGGACGATCCATGTCTATAGAGGATGCAAGAGAACTGTCATAAGACGAGTCAGTCAATCACAGCCCATTCTATATATCAAACAAAAAAATGGTCGGCACTATATATCATCGTGCCGTGCCCCACAGTGAGTGCATTTCCTCTTGTGTTGCAAGATTATGATGCCTCCTGCTTTCTATGTGTCTGTAAAGAGTACAGTATGTGACATAAGTTGAATGTTTTTGAGACCCTTTTGTTTGTACAGTATTTTATTTCGTAGTCTGTGCGACCGCGCGAAAATGGAGCTTCCACCAACCAGTCCAAAATCTCATGATTTTCTTGCCTTGAAGAGAACAAATACTAAAGAGAATATTTGGATTCCGTAACCATCGTCTTGCTACAGTACAGTTGAAAGTGTCGCGACTCTATTATTCGACCGAACAATGGGAGGTGAAGGAGCCAAAGAACGACGACGTCTGAAACGGGCTGGACAGGATGGTGGCGGCGCGTCTGCAGCCGACAAGAAGACCCCACCATTCAAGCGAAATGATGCTCGCATGAAACCAGTCGCCAAACACCAATTCCAAAAGAAACCATTTGGGAAGGGCGCTAAAGTGGTTGGCAAATTCAACAACAGCAATAATAATAATAATAATAATAGCAATCACAACAATAGGAACTCGGCAAAGCATGGTGCTGCAACTTTCAAGAAATTCCAACAAACGAAATCGAAAAAGAAGAACCCCTCCAAGAAACCAAAACATTTGAAGCGAAAGTTGGAACAATTGGGAGAGGACAATGCTGAAGAACGGGAAGCCGTCTTGAAAAGGTTGAATGAATGGGAACGTGCAAAGGAGAATTTTTCTGTTCAAAATAAGAACAAGAAAGCTCATTCGTCCAAAGAAGAAGAAACGAAGGATACGCCTTCCAAAAAGAATAAAGACGTGGCAGAGGAAATCAAGGCCTTTCCCAGGGGTGGTAGTGGTGAAACAATTGTGAGCGAGAAGAAAGAAACATCAGCACCAGAACCAGAACCGGAACTAGATGATTCATCCGAAAAATCAGCAAGTGGTTCAGCAAGTGGTAGCAGCGAAAAAAGTATGAGTGAGACACAAGAAACACCAGCACCAGACGATGATTCATCCGAAAAATCAGCAAGTGGCACAGAAACACCAGCTTCCAAACCTAGCAACGATACAATGAATGATTCGGGTTCAGATGACGAACCTGGCGAACCTCGCCGGCAACGAGGACGTCGACGACGCGGTCGGAAGGATACGGACAAAGTAGTTGCCGAAATCACTTCAGCAGTTGAAGAGGCCAAGTCCACACCGAGCAAAAGTGGCAATGCTACTGGGGATGAAGGCAATGGGGAAACCAATCCAACTGAAAAGAAGGAAGGAAAAGCCTCGAGCAGATATTGTACCGGGAGAAAACCCGTCACAGATTTTGCTGTTGGGAAGTGTTACACTGGAAAGGTGGTCTACGTCAAGCCCTTTGGCGTTTTCATTGATATTGGCTGCCACTCGGATGCGTTTTGTCACGTGTCTCGGCTGAGTGACGACTATGTGGAATCGCCTGAAATCATGTTTAAGGAAGGTGACGAGCTTGTCCCTCGGATTGTTGAAATTGACCGTAAGCAAAAGAAAATTACTGTTAGTTTGCAGTCCGAGGCAAGAATCGCAGATGAACATAAGTCCATGGTGGCCCGAAAAGAGCGCAAAGTGTCTCGCAGCAAGAAGTCCAAACCGAAGCCTGCTGCGTTAAAGAAAGACTTAAACAGAGATGATTCTTTCCGAAAGGCAACTACAAGTGCTGAGAAGCCTGCTACTCGGACACCAGGAGTACTACCACCAAAACTAGTCCGACCCCCGGATGAATCTACAATGACCCCCGTGGAGCTAAAGAGAGCTCGAAAACTAGCGAGAAGAGCTGCAAGAAGAGAGCAAACAGAGGCAACCACGGACCAATAATTCTAACAAGAGTATGACTACTACCGGTAGAACAGGACCTGATGAACCTCTTGTACCTACAGTACCAGGTACTGTAGACGACTGTAGACTGTACAGATGATTTGTCGTCCGTACGTCGTCTTTCAATTCTCATTTTTGCCCGTAGAATGCTACATACGCTTTGATGGTACATAGATCGACGTTCGAGCTCGTCAAATGATGAGAGCAACAACTTCATCCAAAGCTCACTCCACAGTTAAGAACCCAACTGTCAGTCCAACTTGTTAGATATCTGCTATCAGTGCCTGGCTTTGCTTGTAGACTACGTAGGAGTCTTTCAAATGACGGATCAACGAAGAGTTTCGTATTTCTACGACGCAGAAGTTGGGAATTATCACTATGGGCAAGGTGAGTATTGGCATCTCGAATGACACCGACAGCCAGTTCCAATAGAGGGCGGTATCGTCCGTTCATATGCTTCAAACTAACGTTGCTATCTCCCTTCATTAATCCAGGTCACCCCATGAAACCTCACCGTGTTCGCATGACCCACAACTTGGTTGTCAATTATGGGCTCTACCGCAAAATGGAGGTTTTTCGTCCACGCTTGGTGTCTCCGACCGCCATGACTCGCTTCCACAGTGACGATTACATCAACTTTTTGAAGGTCATTACCCCTGACAATATGCAAGACTACATTCGACAATTACAACGATTTAACGTCGGAGAGGACTGTCCGGTCTTTGACGGACTCTTTGAGTTTTGCCAACTTTACACCTCTGGCTCCATTGGTGGTGCATCGCGCCTGAACGAAAACATGGTGGACATTGTCATTAACTGGGCTGGAGGACTGCATCACGCGAAGAAGGCTGAGGCATCTGGATTCTGCTACGTTAACGATTGCGTTCTTGCCATTTTGGAGTTATTGAAGAAACACGAACGTGTGCTGTACATTGATATCGATATCCATCACGGAGACGGTGTGGAGGAAGCCTTCTATACCACCAACAGGGTTATGACGTGTTCTTTCCACAAGTTTGGAGAGTATTTTCCGGGAACTGGGGATGTTAAGGATTATGGATATAATGAAGGAAAGAACTACGCTATCAATTTCCCTCTCAATGATGGAATGGATGACAAGGCTTACAGAAGTATTTTCCGACCTGTTGTTGGCAAGATTATGGAAATGTTTGCTCCAGGAGCTGTGGTGTTGCAGTGCGGTGCAGATAGTTTGTCTGGTGATCGCCTTGGTTGCTTCAACCTTTCCGTGAAGGGGCATGCGGACTGTGTCGAGTTTGTGCGAAGCTTTGGTGTTCCCATGTTGGTATTGGGAGGCGGTGGTTACACTTTGCGCAATGTTCCAAGATGCTGGACCTATGAGACTGCCGTATTGACTGGCGAGAACGTCAAGGATGAACTTCCATTCAACGATTACTTCGAGTACTTTGGTCCTGACTATCGTCTGCACTTGCCAGTCAGCAACATGGAAAACATCAACTCCCCCGAGTACTTGGATACAACGAAGTCGCAATTGTTGGAGATTCTGCGAGATGTCGAACCAGTTCCTAGTACCCAGATACAAACTGGTCAAGTTGAATCCCAGCTCAACCCTCGCAGCATGCAAATGGAAGTCGATACTCCTGGCCCAGACGAAGGTGATCCAGACAAGAGGATCACCCACGAAGATACGGGGAGAAAGGAGCATGCTTCTGAACTTGCCTCTTAGAGGCTTGCGTTCGAACATCATGTAACAGAATGTTGCATGCTACTCTAGTTTTGTAACGTGTGTAAAGAATCTATTCAGAAAAAAGAATATTGCATTTATCCCCTATATATTATATCACATCACTCGAAATATTCACGTCCACGCCGTACCTGTTCAGTCACACTGAGTGCTGCAAGCGCAACGAAGATGGACTGCTAATTGACTGGCTGATGGATGAATTTATCGATTCCCCTGGACGAGAACCTCGACCGTTTCGGATTCACACTCGATCCCTACTAGAAGAACAAGAAGAGTTCTTATCGAGGAGCAGCCTTTACCGTAGCTATCCGAAGGTCGAATCCAATGACCCACGATGGAAAGAAGAAATGCTTTCAGTCTTGTCGACTGAATACAGGTGATCGGGAATGGATAGCGTTATCTACAAGCCAGTAATTCCTGTTTGGTGGTGGCACATTCAGAAACGAAAAATATCTTTGATGTGGTTTTCGCCCTCCCATCTGTGATTGCTTTGACAACCACTAATTGTAGTTTCAGAACAAATAAAAGCTCAAAAGAAAAATCTTATTGTCGCTTTTCTCTTTTGTGGGGAGGAGAATTCATGAGGGGGGGATAGGCCATACTGTACAGTAGGACGGTACCAGGTACCAGCATTGCGCCGGTATCTCACTGTGGTGACACACTGAGTTTATTTACTTTTGATGAGAACGATCCGGAGGCTTCAACCAGGCAACTGGGAATGATCCTGGAGCATTCGTTTCCTCATAATATTAATTAAAATTCGGTGCTGTTCGATCATAAATGTGACCGGAAATTCCATTAAAAATCCCATTCACAGTTCGAATAACAAAGTCTTTTGGGATTTTTTTGAGGTAATTTGAGTGATTTTGTTGAAGATAGAGGCAAAATCTGCCCATTCCAACCGGAAGCGGAATGTTAAAAGTCCATCCCGTTTCGCGATTGACTTCCGTCGATTCCCGGGTTTTGTACGTAGGATCTACGAGCGGCAGTACGAATGTGAGTACCACAAAGCTCAATTTTTTTCGCACGGCTGCCATTGCTGATGCGCAATCCTTTAAATACTACCCGTCGGCGGGAATCTGAAGGAAGCACGATTTCTGGGGTCCGGACGCCACTACGCCCAGTACTTGTAAATTCCAATCGGGGTTGCTATTTAGAGCCAGCGCCCACGACAGGTGTATTTCTACGTACGAAGTTTTCGTACGAACGATGCAAAACACGGAAGACAGCCAAAACCAGGGCCCAAGCATTAGCATAAAAGCAATCAACCACAAGATTTTAGAGCAAACAACAAACAACAAACATCAAACAATGAACCCTAACGATAGAAACCGCAGACCCCCAGGCAGCAAGAAGGGTGTCCCTGCAATCCCCAAGAGGAATATGGATGACGATGAAGAAGAAGTCACCCGAAGAATTGGAGGCGTACGGCCCAACTTTAGCCCCAATCTATCCAATACTCAATTCGCATCTCCCATGCTGCCGTCACCTATGATGCAAACAGCCCCATCTAAATTACAAGCCTCAGTCCCCAATAAAAGTAGACAGGTGTACAACTGGGCTCTTCACACTGTTCCAACATTGCCAGAATTTTACCCTCTGGAGCGCACAGCCGTCTTTATAGCCGGTACTTCTTGCGAGACAATCGCTTCACGTATTGCCAAGGTGCTTCGAGAACGATCAATTGAAGCCTCATACGATGACGCTAAAGCTAAGGTCAGATGCATGTCTACTGAAGGTGTTGACTTTCGTGTTCGCTTGTACCGTGGACGCGATCAATTCAGCGATGGAATCATTGTGGAAGTCCAACGGCGCTTTGGCTCTGGCTTGGCTTTCTACAACGAAACGAAAGCTATTCTGAATGCTGCTGAAGGCAAGCCACCCGCTCCCACACCAATGACACTCTCTTCGAGAAACCTCCCAGAGGTTTCGGATGATGAAGATGACAGTTACGTCCCACCACCCAGTGGTGCTTCTTCGCTCTTGGTTGTCTCCAAGATGCTTCGAATCCCAGGATTTGATGGACAGTACCTCGGTCTCTCTACCCTTGCCACTCTAGTGGATCCGGAGAAGATGTCTCCTCAAACTTCCAGAAAAGTCTCTGCTGAGCTCCTCAAGCCCGACAGCGAAAGCGATGTTGGCCCTCAAGTGTTCAGTTATATTATCAGCCGAAAGGAAGATGAAGACTACGCTCAACTACGAATCTTGGCTTTACAAGTACTTGCCCACGCCATCAAGGCCACTGGGATCATTCCTGCATTTCTTAGAGGCGACCTTCGGGCTGTCCTCTTGGAGGATGTCAAGGCCGCTGAGAAGCATCCAAGAGCTGCGTGTGCCGCTCTCGGCTCCATGGAATTCTTTATCCATGGTGATGAAGACACTATGGAATTGAACGAAGCGTTCGAGTCTGCCTTTGCAGCTGGCGAAGCACGACACAACATGCTAATGCAACAAGCACAACGATGTATTGCTACTATTCGATAAACGGGAACGAGCATCCACACATTTTTGTTTAACAACTATCAACTCGAGGGGGTGTACAATAGAGGGTCTGTCAGCATTTTGACTATATTTTAAAACAGAAAATAAAGCACACGGTTCAAAGATCGAAATAATCGATTTGCTTGTAGAAGATTGCTAAACTGCTAAACTGGCGACTCTTTCCTTTTAACGCCATTTCTTCTAGTCATGGTTAAACTGGCTTCAGATGGTCCAACAAGAACAACAACTTTCACTCCCTCTCACTCATCTCGGGCAGCCGATCACGAATCACGACTACAATTTGAAACTTTTCCCAATCTCACTGCTTTAGCGATGTATACCACTGTTAAGTAATTTTCGAAACATTATATGTGTGATCCCGGTGGTATTGTGTTTTCATTCCCACTAGAAGACATCGTTGTGAATAGATCGCTAAATTGAGCCATAGCCAGAGGCCCAATCCGCGACCCAATTTACTGAATTGGCGAATTGGCTTCTACTTTTAGTGGCCCCTCCCCCCCCCGACAAAGTACAGTAGGCCCTCTTGAAAACCGTCCTTCATCCGTGTGTTTTAGTGATGTCGAATTGTTCGATTTTTAATTAAAAAAAACTGCAAATCAAATCCATTCCATTCCACATCACCAACAAGCGAAGTCTAAAACCCAAAACGTTGTCATTTTCTTCACCATGGCAAAAAAACAAGCACCGGCTGATATAAAGTCGCTGGAACAATTGTTTCAAGGTTGGGCCAAAAGATGCGTGAAGGAACAGGGATCAGACAATGATGAATTGTTAGACACTCCAGCTGCTCATGAGGTCTTGCAACAGGATTCTCAATCGTTCTTTTTGGATCTTAATACCAAGGCAATCCACTCCAATCCTGTCTTTTTGGATGGAGACATTCGAATTGAAACGAAATCACCAATTGAAATTGCACTGGCCAAATTGATACAAGATTTGGGTCCAGCCTTTTCGGCAATTCATCACGAAAGTCGATACCGGGCATTGCATGTTTTGGTGGGAGCAATTCAAGGTTGCAAGAATAATTCCTTTTCCAACACAGTGGCTCAACTGCTCGGAGGCTTTCTGTTGAAACATTGTGGCCCGATTGATGACGATGACTATGGAGAGGATTATGACAGCATGATTCGCAATACGGCGATTCATGGACTCGTCGCTCTTCTTCAATTATCCAGCTCCAGTATTGCCAATGATGACGAAGTACAAAAGGCCGTTGAAATTCGATTGCAGTTTGCACAAGAAGGGATCAAATTGCGGTGTGCAGCTCCCGACTCGATGGTAGTAGATGACTACGGCATGCCACCGGAGACCAAAGATATGCGCGAACAATTATCATCACTGCCGCGGTCGAAGCGATCGCTTTGTTTTGAATTAATTGAGAGTGCCATAAAGGGAGTGGCCGGCATTACGAACCAAATCAGATCAGACGCATCCTTGTTGCAAGACAAATCTGTTCTGCAACAAAATTTGATCACCTTTACTCGATTGACTACCAGCTGTCTTCATGGCGAGTCAGATCCTCGTTGTCTGCAACAGCTATTGACTATATTTCATGAAATGCAGCAAGCCTTCGAACCCTACTTTTTGGAATCAAGCAAGGAAGACTTGGTATTTCCCAGTGAGGATCTCTTCGACGCCGTGGCTCCTTACTTCCCCATACAATTCACACCTCCACCGAATAATGTTTATGGCATTACTCGCGATGGATTGAATTCTGCACTCCTTGCAGTGTTGTGCTACACAAAGATGGACAAAAATGCAATAGCACACAAAAGATTACCCATGATAAATCTCACTGTTGGGCTCTTTCTGGAGCAACTGGTACCGCTGGAAGGTGAAGAGCCACCAAGCACGCTGGACAAGCTTGAAGGAACAGAGTGTCTTTCCAAATTATTATTCCCAGAAACTGGTTCTGCGATGGTCGAGCTATTAGATGCGCCCACTTTGAAGAGCTTGTGGAGTGAAATCAAGCGAACTCACGACGAATCTTCCATGGACATCTCCGCACCTGGAGTTGAAGGAGTGAATAATAAAATCTTGGCAGACAACTGTCGAACACTGGTTTCTAGTTTGGCGTTGGCATTGGAAATGCTTTCGGACAAGTCTCTGTGGGATGCCTTTGTATCCGAGCCGCTCTTGAAGCAAAAGCGAAAGATTGACATGTCACCATCCGCGTCAAGATTAAACATTGCATACATGGCGTGCTTGACAGCATCGGGTGGACCTCGGACATTGAGATTTTGCCTCGGAGTTGGATTGGAATCATTGCTTGACTTCCTGTCGGAGAACCTAGAAGACACCGAAGATGCTGCGGCTGCTACTCATGGAATTGGAGCGTTCTTTTCATCATGCACGGTCGCAATTAATCGCGGACGCAAGGAAGGGGTGGTCTTCTATCCACACCCACTGGAGCAATACGCGAAAAAGGCTTCCAAAGTTCTTTTAGATGCCGTAGAACACAAGGAGTTGTCCCCGGCAATCAAGGTTGGAGCGACCAGAGCCCTGGAATTTTTAGTTTTGGCGGTTTCTGAGGAGACTTTCAAGGACGAGCTTTTGACCCGACTGTGCTCGTTCATTGAAACTATGTCAGAAAGTGTCACGCAAAAAAGTCCAAGTGACGAATCAGACTGGGTTGATGCTTGTAGCTCGACGCTAGGGTCAATTCTAGGGAATGTGGTAGACCAGGAGACAAACGATGCGTCGAAAACAGTTGTCTCGAGTCCAGCGATTCAACAGTTGGTCAAAGAGGTTGTTACACCGAAACTCTTGGAGGCTGCAAAATCCCTCCCCTTGGCATCTAGTGCCAGCAAGAAAGCCATCGCAATGGCTTGCACACTAAGTGCAACGTACTCATCACAAACGATCACCGCCTTATTGGAGGCTCTACAGAAAAGTCTTGAAGGTGGGGTTATCGATGATTCGTGCATTCAATGCTGCGATGCCTTATCCTATGTGCTACGAAACGGAGGTGATTCTCCTGCTCGAGCGTACCATGACAGCCCCGCGTCATCGGCGATACTGAAATCATTGGGTGGGGGAAGAATGCGTTACTCCAAGAGTACAGAAAAAATGGCAAACCTAAGTCTACCGACTGAAGAGAGCAAGGGCAATGCGGATTCAGCACGTACAAAGGTAAGAAACAGGAAACATAGTGTTCTTGGCCATGGAGTATTGGTGAGGCTTACTAACGTACACTGTTGCAACTGCGTTACAACTATTGTTCCTTACCAAGGTCCAACTGGTCCTTTCCTATTTGCTCCCAGCATACGAAAATAATGTTCCCGTAATGACACTTGTGCAGCTCAACCGCGATGTGGCAGACGTCCTGCCCCCAATGTCGGAAGCGGATAAGAGGACTTTGTCAATTACGCTTCCGATCCTTGGAAGTGCCTTGGGCGCGATAAATGAACTCCCTTCAATTGAAGACGGCGACATGGACACCGACCGATCTTCATTGCAAGAAGTATGCATCGGAATGCTCCCAGGACTAACGGAGCTCGTTATGACTGAAGGTAATGATGTCGAAACCAGATCATCTGCTGCTTATTGTATGCATACAATGCTCTCGCTTGGCAATCTTGGTATGAAGGAATGTCCAGTAAAGCCTGTGGTGGACGACCTAGTGAAGCGATTCACCTCAGCAAAGTTTGATCAACACGCCTATACGGATTGGCTCAACTTTCTTTCATTAATGGTAAGTTATGAAATGAGCTTTTGTCCCTCACAGATGAGACATAGCCTCACAACTATGATCAGGCTTCTTCTTCTGCAAGACGTGGTGGCTCATCAAGCAACACAGCGGGGAAAATCGCACAGTTCTTAGTAGAATTTGCGGTCGTGGGGAAGGCACAATTGCCTTTCACCTCGGGTGCAGAGAATAAATTGGATTTGTCTTCGTTTGTTGATGAAAAGGTTGCTTCCAAATTGCGTGTTGTTTCGGCTTCAGCATACGGTTCAATACTGGCACTAGATGTCAAACCACTGATGAAGCAAAGGTTGACACATGTATGTCTAAGATATATCAAGGAAGCATACGAAGAAGAGAAAAGCCAGGCTCAAATTGGAAACAGTATTCCCCCACCAAGTGTCAGCCTCATGGTTTTGATTTGTCACTTGATATGTAACGTTGATCTATCAAAGATGGGCAAGATGACTTTACATCAAACGGCAGCCATGGCAGTGGAAGGTCTTTCATCTTCGGAACTCTTTGACCCGAGTACCGCATTTGACCCAATGACGACAACGTCGAAGAATCTTGTCTTGGTTGCGATATTGAAATTGGTATCAGCTGCTCCTCATTCGTTGCCGGTAAGTATATGCACGTGTTCTTTCTTGCACAGGCCAATTACTGAATCTGACACTTGGTGATGAATTTAGGCGGATGGTTTCTTGCTGACACTAGTTACAGGGTTGCTTCAAGCATATGCTGTTTCCGATCCATCGTCAGAGGTATCGACGAAGTTACTCGCACTACAAGGTCTAGCAGCACTGGCCAATTTAGAAGGGGCAAGGAAAGCAGTTGCCACGATTCAGCCAGCGGTTGTCTCTGTGCTTGGACCTGCTATCAACCACCCCTCTGGTATGCTGAGGCAAGCTGCTGTTGAAGTGCGAAACGCTTGGTACTTGGTAGAGCAAAGTAGTAGATAATGTGACATATCCAATCAAAGTCGCCATGTTAGAAGTCGTTCCACCAGCTCTGCATCACTACTCGCGTGTACATCCTGTCCCAACGCCTTTTCAAAGTGTCTTTCCGTCAGCTCGATATGGTTTGGATCTTCATCAATGTCCATCAAGGCACGTACGGCAGCAGACCGACAAAGAGCTTCCAGATCAGCGCCACTAAAGCCTTCTGTCGCCTCTGCCAGTTTTCTGCATACTTTCTCCATCATGTCAGCTCCACCTTCGACCTTCATCCTGCCTATGTGAACCCGCAAAATTGACTCGCGTTCATTCGGTTTCGGAAGTCCGACGTGAACAATTCTATCAAACCTCCCAGGGCGAAGGAAGGCTGAATCAATCATCCAAGGTGTATTTGTAGCTGCAAGAACAATAACTCGATTGCTTGGTTGCTCGTCAATGTTATTTTGCTCGTTAGCCATATTTCCATTCTCTTGAACAAAGTTGTCAACTCTTTGCCATCTTTTGATATCGTCCAAACACTGCAGCAAAGTTGTTGAAAGCTTTCCGCTCCCGCCTCGGCTTCTCTCTGTGAATAGCGCCTGAAACTCATCCAAGAATATAACAGCAGGAGCATTTTTGTCGGCAAATTCAAATGTCGAGGCTACCATCTTTTCGCTCGTCCCAATTTCTGCTCGGACAATGTCGCTGGAACTCAGAGAAATAAAAGTTCCCCCCAAGGACGGAGCACTACTATCAGAAGGCGGGGCCTTTAACAGTTTTGCCACCGCCTTGGCCAGTAAAGTCTTCCCACAACCAGGAGGTCCATACAAAAGAATTCCAACGGGTGGCGCCAAACCAAACTTGGAAAGGGCCTTTCGCTTGCGTGGGTCCAAGGCCAGCGCATTCTCCAGCGCAATCTTAGCCTCCACATTACCGCCAACAGATTCAAAGTACGATCGACCTTTTGGGCCATGAGCCGTATGCTCTTCTTCTGTTCCTTGAAAAGTGACCTGTGCAAACTGGGAGCTTCCACTCTTTGCAATGGCCATTGCCATATCGATGTTGTGAACCGATGCAACCATAAATGAAACGCCAATATGTGACTTCACAATTGATTCTAGGTTTCTCGCCACCTTTCCAAAGGCGGCACCCTTAGCCCATGCTGCCGATGCAGCCGCAATGGGGAGTCTCGCCTTGGCACTGTCATCTAAGCGAATCTGACGATTTTCAAACGCAGTGGCAAAGGCCCGGAGCCTTGTGGGCGCAATCGGCGGTTGAACGCGGTAGGTGCCACCCACTAAGGATTCCAAAATGGTCGAGCTTCCTCCCTTATCTCGATGCAAAGACTTCCAACCATCATTGGGACAGGTGACGATGCCAACCAAAGCGACTTTGACCGTTAGAACCCGACCCCCACTTCCGTAAGCGTTGTATAAGGGGTTCTTGACTGGAAAGGGCCATTCTCGGCTCGACTTGAGCACCGAAGTCACCTTGCGTAAATACGATGCTATCGAAATGTGGTCAGTAATATCCAATTGCAATCGTACTCGTGCGAATATTTCCTGAGTCCAACTTACAAATTGCATTCATGACTGGAGCTGCTGCATCTCCCGTCGTACTTCTTCCCGATAATCGTGCTGGCATGAGCGAATCCAAGTGGTCTAGAATGATGCAAATACAATCACCTCGAACAGCCGAGCTGATCACAATGGAATGCAACAATGATTCGAGAGCGGCATCCGCATAGATTCCATATTTGGCCAAGAGAGCGCCTGGGCGAATGAGGTGAATTTTGGAGCATCCAACGGTATGGGCAATGGCTTGTACCAGCAATGTCTTGCCGTCAGCATGATTCGGGGAATGAATAATCAAAGAAGGCTCCCATTGGAGCGGATGTCTTTGCGACTTGTGTCCTTCTTGGCTTGTCTCACCAATTTCTAGAGGCTTTAATGGTATTTGTTTCTCTTTGCAATGACCTCGAATGGCTTGCGCCATCTTCAACCGCCGCTCTTGTTGCTCCCTTTGTAACTGTCTTGCATCTGCCGTAGTACTAATCGTAATGTTTTCAGACAACAACGACGACAGTCGCACTTTCAATTGATGAACTGTATCCTCATTATGGTTGGTTTGCACTTCTCGTAGCAAATCTTCCGACAAGAATTCATCTCCCGATTCGGCTGAGAGGGCATCCAGGAGTTGTTGTTGTTGGTACCAAGATGGCATGGTCTTGGCCAGGTCCATGATCCAACGATTCGTGTCGGCATGATACGTACCCGATCGAGCTGTCGAGATTGGAAGGACCCGCACCAAGCAAGCGGGTGAAAAGGCAACCAACGATGTGGATTGTTGGGAGGTCGTCCTTATGCGTTGACTGTAGACACGAACACAACATGGCAGCAAGTCCAACACAGACGGGTCTTCCGAGGGCAGAAAAAAGACAGGGGTGGACTTTGGATTCCCTGGAAGGATCACACGTTGGGTCGACTCCTTTTGGTCCATTAGATATCCAGATCGCAAGCCATCGGCAGTGGTGCTGGTAGTAGCGTCTTCCCATTCAATCACTAACGTACCCGGAGTGTCTTCAGAAGTAAATGAAAAGCCAGCACTCTTGGTTAATTGTCTCAAGTGTTGTTTGCAGCCAAAGTTGGAGAATGATGGCTGATGAGAATTGACATCCATCGCCAATGGTATTACTTCCACAAAGACTGGAGAAACAATTGAGGATCCCAGAAAGATGGCACCATTACTCCGTTGTAGGTAATTTGAGTTTGTAGTTGATCCCATCATCCATCGGGATTGCAAAGGGCAAGCAAGAGGTTTGGTATGGGATGAAAATGAAATGAAATGAAATGCTCTGTTGAGGGATGACTGCTTCGACCAATTCGCTGTAGAGTCGTATCAGTCATATGCGCGCCGCATTCTGCGCTAATTTTTAATTTTTCCGTTGACCCAGCTAAGCCATTTTCAAAAAATCCGAACGAAATCGAAACTCCGACGCGACAAACACACATCGACGTTATTGTGACGCTAGGTTTACTGTAGTTGCATTCCCAAACGAATCTCCCAGAAGCTTGTTGACTAGATCAATCAAACGGATCTCTCCTTCCTCCAACGGTAGATCATGTCTCAATCGCGAGCACAAGCGCAAGATGCTGCAGGATTGTATTTTTCTCACTTGGACCCGTACAGTCCCAACGATGACAACATGAAAACCTTTCTCAAGGGACCCTTGCTGGCAGTCACTCTGAATTGTTTGAATGCGGCTCCCGAGCTTCCACCTAGTATCAAAGTAAAAGCGGAAGAAGAGAAGAAGAATGCCAGCAATTGGAGAGATTACCTGCCAAATGGACCTTCTGAGAACCCTACAACGTGGGATGAAAGCATGGAAAAATCCTACGAAACGCTTCCGAGAAGAGCCAGAGCCCGAATGGAAGCTTTTCTAGCTGGATGCATGCTCGCCGTACCGTCCACTCTAATACAGCAACCTACTTCTAGAGAAGAAAAGGATGACCCTTCTGTTGTTTCGATTGGTGACGGTCTTTCTGGGTTCAACATTTCAAAGTCATCCTCCAAAGACTCAATCGATAGTTCCAAAAGACCATCTATTATTGAAAGAGTAATTTCCGTCAAGGGCAAGCGAAATCTCATGCCGCAAATTTCCGAACAAGAACTGGTCATTCGATTGGATTTGTACATTCGAACACTTCAGAGAGTGAGGAACCTAAAGGAAGCATGCGTTATTGCGATGGAAAACCCAAAGATTATCAAATTACGGGCTCGATACATCACCAACGCCTTTGTTACCACAGCTGGCTGTGTTCGCAGCATGAACTTTACTCTTACCAGGCTGTTGAGCTGTTTGACTATGGAAGTGCTTGCCGTTGAGTCATTGTCGGAAGACATTGTCAAGGTGATTCGACGAATTGTACTGGAGTACGAGCACGGTACATCCTTTGCATCTCTAGCTTTCTTGTCGTCACCCGAAGGAAATGCAGAATCCCTTCTGACTCCTCTCGTGTTAAAGTACATTCGGTATTTGCAAACCAATTTTGAAAATGTGGTTGAGGGCTGCGAGCTGGAACGTATGATGACAAAGGCTTTGGATCCAAGACTGCGACGATTGTTCAAAACAATTGAATTTAAATCGATTGGACACTTGTTGGAAGTTTGTCATGAGCAAAGGCACAAACTGCAAAACATCGAGCTGGCACCACACGTATGCGCCATGGCCGAAAATGTGAACGAGCTGGTGGACAACGCGATGGTGTTGAAACAAGCCTTGCGGGACTTGCAACGGGAGGTTATCACTGTGAATGGTCACGTCTTACCACCAGTGACCAGTCGAAAGGATCTTCTCCAACTGCTGACCCAAACTTTAAATTCAAGATCATTGACGGCGGCTAAGCCAAAGACAAAACATGGTTCACCCAAGAAGTCCAGGCGTAAAGCGGCCGTAAGACGAATATCTTCTCAGCATTCCGAAGACAGTGCAAGTGACTCCATTGTTATTTCTTCCTCAGAATTCGACTCTTCTGATAGGGATACTAGTGCGGATGACATTGAACCACCGTCGCCCAATGCAGAGCGAGCCAAAGAGAGGAAATTTCGACGGCGACAATCCAGATTTCACGTCTCTACAATTGATCTTTTGACGAGACGGCTACTCATTGCCGCCAGTCGAACAGGGAATGGTGGAGATGCCTATTTTGTAATTCGTGATCTATTCGGTGGTGAAGACGTGGAAGTTGTTCCTACAAATACGTTGTCAATGGAAGGTCGAATGGTTCGACCAGGTACCATTGATATTCTAGTACGCCTCGCTAGTGTAACCATCAAGTGTCACCAAAGCTTTGATGTCTACCCCAAATCCCTCGTTGGAGACTGCGAACCCTTGATTCAATTTCATTCGACTACAACCGAAACAATATATCTCCACGAAGTGCGATCCACCGACAGCAATGGTGAGGCCACCCCAAATGATGATATGTCGTCCGATGGTTCCGAGGGCAATTCAAAGGGATTGGTGGTGGTCCAAGAAAAGAAGACTGATAAATCCGGATGGAGAAGCATCTCGATTAGACCAGCACTTTACGAAAAGGTGGAAGTATGGAATACACCAAGCTAGCTACTTTAGAAGTATAAGGTATAATTTTGTTTTGCTACACCCAAAGCGTCTTGGAATCCTGTACCTATCACATTCTAGAAGAACTTGGAACAAATTCGAAGGGTGAGTCCTGATCGGGATTCTCATTTGTACGCTTAGCGCAAGTAGACCTGGTACGTGAACGAGGGACTCACAACAAACATCTCGAACACACACGACAAAAGAAACACAAACATCATCAAAACATACGGTACACTTACAATGGTTGCACCTACTTCTGTCTGCCTCTTGCTCGGCAACACCTCCGATGTTAGCAGCAACGGCGCCAAGATTCTTAGCGCTTCCACTTCCCAAGAGGTCGAAGCAAGTCGTCAAGGAATGGTCCCTTCTTCCATTGACCAACTTTCGGTTGTCGTTTCCGCTTCGGATTTGGCCACACTCTACAATCCCATGGAATTGGCCAACTGGGCCCCTTTGTTTCGGGAGAATGCTTCTGTCTCAATCAAAGTGATGGGAGACGATGCTGATTTGACTCCCATTCACACTTCTTTCCTTCTCGCTGGATTGTCAGGAGCTTCCGAACAAAAGACTGCTGCTGGACGTACTTTGACGGCCACTCGCAAGGCCACTACCATTGCCGCAGCTCCTTTGAAGCCAAAAAATACAGTCACGATTTCACTCGATGACGGTGACGAAGACATGATTGACGAAGACGCCCTCTTGTCGGACGACTTGTTGGCACCTCCACCAGCAATGGGCGCTCGCACAGCCACGGACGACTGTTCCGGTCGCAAGCCCTGTGACGACTGTACCTGTGGACGAGCAGATGCCGAAAAGGCTACCTCTGGAGAAGTGAAGCAAGCGCCAAGTAGTTCGTGCGGCAATTGTGCCTTGGGAGACGCCTTTCGTTGTGCGTCGTGCCCGTATTTGGGAAAGCCTGCCTTCAAGGCGGGTGAAGAGCATTTGGTGTTGGACCTGACCGATGATTTGTGAGTAAATTAGGGAATAGAGAAACATTTCAATACTATTAAAATATCATCATTTGAAATTCCCATGGAAAAACATTGTTGCAGCAATAACTTGATTGAGTCTTCACGTCTACACTGGTACACTGTTTGCCAAACAAGATGTTAGTGAGGAGGGATGAGTATCAGATCATCTTTGATTAGGAAGTTGGGTATGGGCACTAGTTCCAATCCTCAGAATATCTCAGACTCCATGTCTTGCAATCTCCACCTGATCAGTCAAAATCGGTTGCAATGAGTAGTTTAGACGTGCAGTGGTGGCTCGTCGGAAACGAAGAAGTCCGGTAAACATTCCTTCTCTTTTCACTTTGCTGGTGTATTTTTAACCCGTTGCTGGAATCTCTTGAAACAGGCAACAGCGGAAATGAGAATGTCGCCGAGCCAGTAAGATAACAGCAACACCAAACTCGAGGTTTGCCTTCAACACACGCTTTCGTCTGTTCTGGAAAGGGCGCGTTTCATATTTTCACATGTCTTTGCTTCTTTTTGAAAAATCAGCCTCCAACGCATTGATTACCCTTGATCCAGTCTTGAAGCATCTTTTGAAGCTTCATGGGATGATTGGTAACAACCCCTGCAGCGCCGCTTTCAATGGAATAGGTCAGAGTCTCCTCATTGTCAATGGTCCAGGTGATAATGGGCATGCCTCGAAGCTGCGAGAAGAACTCTTTCTCAAACTTGTATGAGGATGCATACGAGCGAATAGCTTCGTTATTGTTAACAACATCGTGTACCATAGCAACATTTCTATCCCTTTCTTCTCGATCTCGCAACACTAGGCACATGCTTCCTCTAGATGCATTCCGTCCTAGGTGCTTCAGCATATCAAATCCAGGTCCAACGTCTCCATCCTTCAGTACACCAGCGCAGATTGCTACATTGTTCTGTATCCCGAGCTCCAGTAGTTTGTCTTGGATATGATCCAAATGCTTTGGTGTGAGATTTGGGCCCTTCAAATCCAAATGGAACAAAGAACCTCGCACATATTGGGAATTTTCCGAAAAGTACGGTATTTTGGTTGTTTCATCACTGTTGATCAGAGATGCATAGTGCTCCAAGACCGTAATGAGCACTGGGAAGCCTTCTTCGTCAGCACCTAAACTGCGCATATCCTCCAAGGTAAACGATGCAGGATCAAAGGATTTGGAATTTGGACTGATCTTGGGACCAAGTATCTCAGGGTGAGCTGCTATCAATTGACTGTCTTTGGTGGTGACGGAATCAATGTCAAAACATCGAATGCCCCGATTCCAAAATGCTGTCATTGCTGCCATGGATCCTGCCACTGTATTGTCGGGTGGTTCGAGCAACCGATGAGAGCAAATCTGAAATTGTTTCAGTATGGAGCATTCGACTATGGGGTGTCCACCTTTCCCTCTATTTGGATCACGGAGACTGCTGGTCAACGCGATGCTCCTATTGGAATAGGATGAAAAGACCCACAGAAAGGGAGAGCAAGCAATGATCGCTGTTACTACTCGTTGAATCTTTTGATGAATCCTGCTGGATGGCGACAAAGGTTTTCCATTAGGACCTATTTTCTGATTCCATAACATCATTTCATTGCTAATGTGAAACACTATTCTCGGGTGGTCAACGTGATACTATTGTGTGAGTTGTGAGGTGTGGTTGCATTTCAATTTCAAATTGATTGGTCGAAGTGGTCGATTTAGTTGATTCATTTGACTGTTACAATGACCGTTGTAGATTTTGGCATGCTTTCGTCCTGCAGATTTTTGGATTCCCAACCTTCATTTGATCTTTCGTGTTTCCTACAATATCACTTGGCTCCAAGACTCAATATCTCAGCGACCTTGTACAAACGAGACAGCGAAAGGTTCCACCCAAGCGCTATTCAACGTCTACTAGAATAGAGTCAAAGGAAAATCTAGCAACATACACCGAAACAACCAAACAAAAGCATCAACAAACAGTCACAACCAACCCAAATCACAAAATGTCCACCGTTGCCAACCTTGTTTTGCAATCAAAGCGGTTACTCGACGGAGACAACCCAGACGACGGCGACCAAGATAGCGGAATGTCACCCACAGCGTCCCCTTCAAGCGACTCCGCAGGAGCTCCCATGGAAGGTGATGCCGATAGCTTGGCGGGGAAATATGGATTGGCAGCACTGATCCTTGTGGGGGTTGGATTAGTGCTGCTGCTTTGGCAATCTTGCAAACGGTGGCAAATGAGAAGAGAAAGACAATTGCTGCAAATTCAAAGTTCAAGAGCAGATGCCGTTCTGGGGGATATGCAGATGGTTCCAGCAGACGATGACTATGATGATGATGACGATGATCCAGAGCTACTGTAATCGAGTTGTTGTTATATTCCCTGCCATAGTGTGCTTTTTCTTTCATGAGGGTGTCTTTCTGTTTTATTTTTGCTTTATTTTTCTGTATGGGCTTTGGTTACAGATTCAATTAGAGCACACAACCGCTGCTGTCAAGCGTATATTTCCACTTCTTAAAGTGTGAAGCATGTTGCATTTTTAGAACTAGTACATTAGTTACATCATTCGACCATCATCGTCTACTGCGAATTCCCACTCCAAGACAATCGCTCTCCATTGGTCTTCCATTGACTTGGCCACTTCCGACTCGCATCCCTTTAGACGTTTCCTGAGGGACTCGGCCAAACGAGGCGTAAGGGGCAAGCCAACAGTATCCAAATTTTCGGAAGCATACTGAAAGGCTTGGCTGACGCACTCTGCAGCAGTTTCAATGGCACTCTCTCTGTCCTTGTTGCCATTGGTCTTTCCCAGGACACGTGGTCCTTTCTTGGCCGCGTCGCGGGGTGGTGGAGAGAGCGGTAGGTTGCCCAAAATACGCGCACCTCCAAAGGCAGCAGCAAACTTGGACAATTCAGCATCGCACCACAAGACAATGCTAGCCAATGCACCAGCTGGTAGGTTATGTATTCCGCCATCCGTACTAATGGTGCCTTCCTCCTTTCCATTTGGTGGTACTGTCAAGAATAGGTCTAGGAAACCCTCAATTGCACCAGCTAGACACGAGAAGAAAGATTGGCTCAATTGCGCAGCATAGATTACCAAATCAACATTACCAGTTCCTGCTAGTGGACGTTCATGCAGACTAAGTTGATCAAAAGTAAGATGAGGAATAGAAAATGTGAGGTTGTTTCATCATGACAGAAAAAACGAACCAAATGGATGAAATCAAGCACCGTACCTTTCGAGCAACAAGAGCGATCTTCTTGCCGAATACGCTGTAGCTGCATCTTGAGTCTTTCCAAGCTTTACAAGGAGTCGCAACGACACCAAGTCGTCATTAAGGCAGCACGGGGACACCGAAGGAACCATTTGGGTGGAGGCTGCGGATCGCTCTCTTTTGGAGGCTTGCTTGAGAGCTTCATTCTTTCGCCGAAGATTCTCCACCAATCGATTGCTAATAATTTCTGCTAAATCATCCAGACTGGTAATAAGGGTTTGGACTTGGGCAAATTGCTTCCGGGTGAGGTAGTTGTTGGTTGGAGTTTCGTGTTGTTGCATAATTCCAGATACGTCTTGTTTGGCCTTGGCCCAAAGATCAGTAGCATCCGTGTATCGACTCTCCTTCACAAAAGCGGTGATTTCTTCGATAGAATCATCCAAATAGGATGGAATTCCAATGGCTCCATCTTTGGCATCGGCATCGCGAAACCGAAGGCCGGTTTCGAATTTTGGTGCTTCACCTCCATTCGAAGAAACACTACTGGCGTCGGACTGATCGTCATCCAATCGACGTCTGCTGGAAGCGCCGCCACTTTTTCGAGCATCATTGAACATGTCATCGGGATAACTTGCATTCTCATCGCCGTCATCCAAGTTGGAGGTGAGTCCAAAATCAATCTCCTTCATATCCTTCACGGTTTCTACTTGAGTTTCTACCATGTTCTTTAATTCTCCAACCTCTTTACCCATCTTGGTCATTTCGGCTGATGCTTCGACAAAGTATTCATATTGTTCTAAAATTGCCGTCTTGAGTCCCTTCTTGATAGCCGTTTGCTTTTGCTCCATGAGTCGACATTCATCCTCCGCATCTTTCTCGCTGTATTTTTCGAAATAGTTATCCACAAATGCCTTTTCGTTGAATGCCGACTTTCCAAAGTCTTGCAAGGAGTCTTGCACCAGGTTTTCATGGCTACCGCCATCCTTGTCATCCGAACTTTGCAAATGCTTGCGATTTTTCTTTCCCTTCTTCGGTTTGCGCAAGGTCTCGGTGTTGACAGAATTGCCGCTTTTCTTGAGCATATCCTGGGGTTTCAGCGCGGAGGCTTGCGAAAAGTTAAAGACAGTTCTTAACTTGGTATGTCTCTCCTGTCCTGCCCTGGCTTTAATGGCATCAGCCCATCGTTCTCTCAATTGTAGTGTCCGCGCAGCAATAAAAGCAGGAGGACGATTTCCATCTCCTCCTTCCGCACTTCCTCCATGCAAAATAGCAATCTCATATCCCGTCTTGGCACTGGTTTGTGCGTGCTCACGAAAGACACGACGACCCCCCGGAGGGAGAGAAATCGTCACCTTGTCCAGGGGAATGACTCCAATTGGTGCTCCATGATATTCGACATAGTGCGATTGCCCCGAACCAGTAATATCACTCAAATCAAAGTAAAACAAGAAGCCTCCTCTTATACAAAAGTGCCGACTGGGGAAATCTATATCATCTTCAGTCATTTCTCCGTGCATCATGGCTCCATCCGGCGGTGGATCCGGAACTCCTTCGTAATCCAAAATCCTAGCAACATCGCTGGGTTCCATGGGCCGAAAGGACTTTTCGACGCGGCCACTGGAACCAGACGTTTTGGAGACAGAAATACGGGGAATGAAATGATCCGGCCGCTCTTGATTGACCGTAAAGGCCACTCGTTCCTCCACAAACTCCTTGTCGATTCCTCCTCCTCCGCGGCTCATGGTGGTTGTGGATTAGGAGAGGATTTGTCTAGCGAGCGAGCGACTGACTCTTTCTTCAACGTATGACTAGATGAAATACACCAATGGTCCACCTACGCTCCGATCGATCGATCGATCGATCTACCAATGATTACCTATCGAAGCTTTGGCTGCTCTATTTGACTTTTTGTTGGATCTTGATGCGACCTAACCGTTGAGGATGAGACTTGGAAATGAAAATGTCCGTAGTACTTGAAATACCTACAGCGTACAAACGCGCGAAGTGCCAATGATATCCGGGTCTCCTGTATGTGTGTCCTCCAAAATGCCTCTTGAGTTCTAGTGAAGAGTTGTGCTTTTGCGAAAGACGAACTACACATCATTTGGCATCCCTTTACACGCAGATACTCCTTGTTGACAAAGAAATTGATCTGTAGCCACATATTTGCCAGCGCAACTTACTTCGAGCTACAGTACCAGGTAGGACTAGGTCACAAAACGGGCCACATTTGAAAAAAACAATTCATCATCCATAATCATAATGATTATTCTGCTAGGCTAGTACCGGTAGTGTTATTATAATGAAATAAGGTATACATCATACTTATAGGCCAAATATATAAAAGCTTCGACTTATCAAATGCCAAAGCCTCCATTCCATACTGTAGTCGTTGTGTGCGCTGACGTCTAAAGCTCATTCAACACAGCCGCTTCCTTAGCTGCAGCTGCTTCATCGTCCGTCATGTAAAAGGTCTTGCCGGTCATTATATTCATGACTTCATCAACCCCCTTTCCCGTAATTTCTGGTTCATTATGGGTTCCTTTGACAGCCTCTGCCATGTAATCCATGGGATTGTCCGAAAACTCCTGAAGTTCGGCGAACATGGCATCTCCGGCGGCACCTACAAACAAAGAAAAGGCATCCGTGACCTTGTTGACAGCATCAGTAGCCGACTTCAACTCGGACGAAGCAGCTTCTGGAACTTCCTTCATGGTATCGGTGAGGGAAGCAAAGGTGTCCGTCACAAGTTTGCTAGCCTCTCCAATCGCGTTACCAAAGATTTGTGGGAAGGATCCAGGCCCGCCCTTGTCACACCAACGAGCCTTTGCCTTGACCCAACAGTTGTCAAAGACTGTGATATAGTCGGACTCATCAAAATATCCCAACGCCGTTTCCTTTTCTTGGACCTCTTGTTCCAAGCGTTGAATGGTAGCCAAATGTTGAGCAATTTGTTCATCTTTTAGGAACGAAGCAGATCGCCACGTGTACATTGTATACGTAGTGTAACCCAAACCTAGCAAGACTGTACTTAGCAAGAAGATGCCGTACTTTGGAATGGTCCAACCACGGTATGCAATGTCTTGTCCATTCACAGTGCCAACGTCCGTGGGAAGACTGTCCGTGCCAGGAATGGAAAGAACGGATCCAGTTTCTTCGACACCCTCACCTTCCACTCCATCCAAAATAAGAATCCCACTGCCAAAGTAGGCATTGCGTGTGGAAGTTTCAGGTGCGGAACGAATCTCGGATCCATTGTGCGAGACGACTTCGTAATCGCCAGTGTTTTGATCCTCGTCTGCCATCAATGACTCGCCCAAGGAAAGGGAGCCAGAATTCTCAAATGCCGTTGTGTTTTCTACCATTTTGTGCAAAGCTACGGCCTACAATGACTTTTAGCAATGTCTTTCCTGTTCTATTCCTGTTGGTTTAATTGATTGGGCAGTTGCTATTAGTACCCGCTACACACAAAAAGACCAAGCAATCCAAGAGGAAGCAACTTGTTCTTTTTTTTTCTGCTGATGTTTCAATCGAAAACCTCAAATTCTGTGGTGTCGTAAAAATCAATCGTTGCTTCTCACAGAAAATCCTTGCGTTGAACATCAAACACTCATGCTGACTCTATGTTTTACTTATTGTCACGCGCCGGCCGAGTATGTGCAACGTGTCAGAATTGGATCCGGTTTTCAAATTTTGGATCGAGTTTCAGTGAGTTGCACCAAGGTGGGAGATATGAATACCGTATGATAGAGAGGATGGTTTGGATGGACAATGAAAACTCAACGCTAGGCCTATCTACTTTTCATTTCAGCATTGGTGTTGATCTTGCAGTATACGATCAAGATACGATGAGAGAAAGATCGAAGCATTGAGGAGTTCTTCTCACAGCAGAGCAAACAAGAAGTAATGAAAATGTACAGCTGCCTTCCTAGCTATTTATGTAGAGAATACTGCAATGATTATGTAGAATATGACAACCGAGTGAGTGCCATGAGGAAAGCTTTGTTTACCGTAACGTAGCAGTGGACATGTGCTCCTGTTCTCAGTTACTCCAAAACGAACTTTGATGTGTCACCTCGTCTGACACGTACGGACGTCATCAGAACTCCAGATGGAAAAAGTTCTATTACGCGCCGAATCTCCCAAAATGACGAATTTCGAATCACTCGTTTCAGAATCTTCGTTCCAAGTTGAAACAGCTGTAAAAGGGTGTCTTTGATGGATATGCTTCCTTCATAAATTTTCAACTTCCACTGATTCTACTGCCACAAACACTCTTGCAAAAGAAAATGCCATCTACCACCACAAGCACAATGCCAATGCGGCCACACCTCAACAGCAGCAGCAGCAGTAGCAGCAGCATGAGACTTCGTCTATTGCTGACTCTCACAATTCTGACAACCAGTTTGGGACTGTCATTGTCGTCATTTTCACAATTTCATGGAACCTCCTTGCAGTCACCATTTGCAGCACCAAACAAGCCACATCCACCTCAAAATCGCGCTTCCTTGACAATGCGCAAACAGAAGGCATCGGACCGCCGGACCCGACGGATGCAAATGGGCGGAGATCAAATTGTACAAGAACTCATTCGTGACAGTCTACGACAAACTGTGACTAGTTCACCAATGCAACAAACTGGAGAATGGAAACAAAAGAAACGACGGGGAATTCAATCTTACAAAGAAAAGACTGGGGGACGAGGACGATCCCGCAAACGAGCAACACTCTACAACAGTTTGTCGTCCTATCACAACAAGTTTCTGAACATGTTGACGGACGAATACAATCATGAGGCACGTCACGATTGAATAATACATTCATGGAGCATCGGAAAGTGTCATTTTTCCGCACAGTCGCTCATTTTTTCTCTTCTTTTTCTTCTAATATTTTTCGTTCATGTTTCATGTTACAGGAACAAGAAGTAATGGGAAGAATAAAGCGATCCTTGGATGATCCACTTGGATTGGAGATTGCGGGACATGCCATTTACGACTTGTTCCCCCAACGGAGGGGTAATTTGTTTTCGGACGAAGTGTATCGATTGGTCAAGGCCCATGATGCCACCACTAAATTTGAGGATCCAGAAGATGAAACGAATGGCAGCCGCAAGTTGTTGCCGCCAAATCACAAGGTTTCCAACAACGATGTGATACTGCTGACATTTCAGCCACATGGAAGTGGGGATTTTTTCAATGCCAACAACTTGCCCGCCAGTACCACTGCAATTTCTGTGGAAGGCCGAGTCATTTCCACCGGACCCACCTATATTGATATTGCTCTTTCAGGAGGGGCGTTTGAAGCTGCTTTTGGTCCGGCACCGAACAATGTGGGAACAGCGGGTCCTGGGGATTCTCGCATGAGGCTACGATTGGATCGCTTCTTTTCCAATGTGCCCTACACTCGCATGGTAGAAGCTGTCGCACAAATATCATCCATTCCCGAACGAACCAAGCCAACTTCCGAATTGACTCCTGAGGATGAAAATAAGGGTGGGAAGAAGGACGCCGAGGAAAACCCTCAAGCCAATATTTCCATGGACGACGTTTTTAAGGAAGTCATCATTTCGACACATGCATTCACAGATCCTGATAGTCAATTGTTTCACGAAATTGAAGCATGCGATCTTCAGTTGTTGGTAAGTAGTAACGACTATGGATGTGATAGATTGTCTCCATTCCAATCCAAATCAGTTCACTGACAATTACTGTACACATCCCATCACATCTTCGCAGTCCCGAAAAATTGCTAAACCACCAATGCCAACATCCCTAAAGCTGGCGAACCAGGCCTTGACCTACATGCAAAAGAATCCAAACCAACTTTTCAATCCCATGAACGGTCCCCAATTGGCGTCTATTGGAGCAGCCCTCACACGAAAGCTGACCATGATTCAAGGACCTCCTGGAACAGGGAAGACCACCGTCGCCAGTGCGATTGGATTTGGATTTACCCACCAATGTAGATCTATTTCTCCCAATTCAAAGGTCTTGGCTTGTGCTTTCAGCAATGTCGGAGCCGATAACCTGGCAGAGTCCATGCTCAAGCTTGGCCTTCGAGTTGTTCGTATCGGTAAGCCTTCTGGAGTCTCGGAGAATCTCTGGGACTTTACATTGGATTCCTTTATTGACAAGGACCCCGAGGCCCAAAAGGCGTTGCAAAATGCGGCCCGGGCCACTGCACAACTGACCAAGATGCAAAGCCAGCGAAAGGGCAAGAAAGTTGGCAATGCTCCTAGCGAACGAGCAATTCAAGATATTGCAACCGCTGCAGTGAAAAGCTCCATACAAGTAAGTTTTCCCGTGTCTTGCAAAGAGTATGTAGACATTACACGAACCTGGACCTCATCCATTATGAAACACTTTTCAGGCTTGCAACACAGCTGCAGCCAAGGCTCTTCGAGAAGCAGATGTCATTGTAACCACCTCAACTGGTGCAGCCGATCCACGCCTCATGGCAGCGTGTGGCATTCAATCCAGCATGGATGACGTTCGCGAAGAAGAGAAAAAGCAACGTGGGACTGGAAGTATTCGCGAACGACTTGATGCTCCGGACGGCCTTCCACCTTTGTCTCTTCCCTTTGTGATTGTAGACGAAGCGTGTCAGAGTGTGGAACCAGCTACTTTGATCCCTCTCACGGCTTCCAACAGCTGCCAATCTTTGGTTCTCCTTGGCGATCCATGTCAACTACCTGCCGTTGTGAAAAGTGACCCACAGTCGTTATTGTCCATCTCCCTTATGGAGCGACTGGCGGCAACATTACCGCAACCAAGTATCAACATGAGAAATGGTGGCTCCGACGAGGATTCATCTTATCTGTCCAGTCTACCCACGAAGCAAGCCCAATCTCTACTACGATACAAACAAGGAGGCACACAAGTTGCCTACAAGAAACGGTTTGCTGGATCACTTCTTCTCAGCACGCAATATCGAATGCACCCATCTATTGCTGCCTTCTCGTCAGCAGTCTTCTACGAGGGACTCCTCTCTACACCTTGCCTACTATCCAGTCACCGTCCATTCCCCAAGGGATTGCGTAGCTTGATGCCACATGAAGACTCCGGTCTGGCAGTCCGCATGATCAATGTTGGTGGAAGATGTCACGAACGAAGAGGCGAGGCCAACAAGTTCAGCTCCACCGCATTTGGCAGCAGAGCGACGATCCCAGGACAAGAATCCACAACCTATATCAACCAAGCGGAAGCAGATCGAGTAGTTAATCTGCTCAAGGACGTTCTCCGCCAAAACAATGTGAACGATCCGTTTTCTCCCAAGAGCATCGGGGTTATCACTCCCTACAGCGGACAGGTCCAGTTGATCAAGAGTATGGTTGCTGGAGACCCAGAGGTCATGGAATTAGTGAGAGTGGCCAATTCGTCCATCGAAGTGAAGTCTGTGGATGGATACCAAGGACGAGAACGAGATATCATCATCTTCTCTACTGTCCGTTCCAATAGAAACAACAGTGTTGGGTTCCTATCTGATTGGAGAAGATTAAATGTAGCATTGACAAGGGCAAGAATTGGACTTTTTGTTGTTGGTGATTTGGACACATTAAGCAGTGGTGATATGCACTGGGCTGCATTTGCGAAATGGTGTCAGAGTGCGCAGTGCGTTCTGTAGATTTTTAAAATCAAATGTGAATTACAATTTTGGATTAAAAATGCTTCAAAGATGGAGGTCACAAAAGTCTTTAAGTTACTTGAATACTATCTGATTCGTTGTACCGTTGCAGTTCGTACTTTGGAAGAAGGTGATCTCATTTTTCTCACTTTCTCAGCCAAGGCTCTTCTACCCCCAGCTTGCCGCGCTAATTCACGTGGAGTGGATTTTCTTGGGCTTGATACCGGAGCAAAGTCAGCACTGTTGCAGTCACTCTTTGCTGGATCTACATTTTCGTCACCGACTAGATGAGGTGGTGTGCTTTTCTTGCTCACAGGCGTCAATGTGGTACCGGTATGATCCTCCTTAGACTGCGACAAGAGTTCTCTTCTTTTCGCTTCTTCTTGTCGTTGCCGTCGCTCTTTCCTTTCCAAGAGAGGAGATTTGTTCTTCTTCTTGCCGCTGTTGAGATGCTTTTGGACAAATTTATTCCTCGATGGATAGTTCGAGGTCTTTGAGTTGAGCTGTGGACTCTCAACGTAATTGTCATTCCAGACGTTGAAATCGGCTTCCTTAAAACGTGATGTTCTTTGCTCTGACGTTTCTATTGTTTCAGCTGGAATGAGAACCTCGAAACCAAGTAGGTCATCCTTGTTACGTCGCTTTGTCCAAGCGTTCTGATAATCTGGACTCTTGTGTTGTGTGATGACTGATACAGATTTGTCATGAGACTTGGGCGTTTTGGTTTGCGATTTCCTTCTCTGGATTGGGGTTTTTGTCTCCATTTTCTCATATGATTGGTCAATTTTGAAAGGAATGGGCCGCATGTCTATTTCATCATTGGTTTGCTCGATGCCCATGATGTGGCGGATGGGTTTCCCAAGAGATCGAGTATTCGTCTCTCCGTTGAGATACTCAGTTGGCGATTCCGCAACCCTCCTCACTGCTTGCTTTCCTTCTGGGCTTGGAAGATGGCCAAGAGCGCTGGAAGTCTTGTCTGTTTTCTCGAGCTCTACCACCTTCGCAACTAGCGTCGCAATTCTCTTGTTTGCCTCCTGAAGATCTTGGCTTTTCCTTTTCCCATCGTCCAAGGCGCTTTTGTAGAGGTCGAGTTTTACAGTCGATCCCTGCTTTCTAATCTGTTGTCTCAAGTTTTGAATGACAGTCTTGTACTTCTTTTCGCGTGTCTCCCAATCATCCTGATTGGCGTCATGAGAAGTTCTTAACAGCTTGTCAATATACGCTCGGCTGCTCTCGACTTCTTCCGCCAAGTCTTGGATTCTGTCACTTAGTTTGGAATTTTCTTCCTGCAACTGTTTCTTTTCGTCGATTGTCTTCTGCAGTTGAGCTTCGAGACGTTCTCGCTCTTCGGCAATCTTGAGCCTCGATTGGATCTCTATCTTTGCATTACGATTCTCTTCGGACATCATGCTCATTTTCTTTGAAAGCTCTGCGAGTAAATCACGGCTTGACGAGTTTCGCCACTTTTAAAAAAGATAAAAAACGACAAGACTGAGATTGCATATAAATGGTATTGAAAGACAAAGCAAGGAATGATTACCTCATCAATGCTCAGCCCCATGCACCGAAATAGTTCCATTCGAAAGGTCGCTTGCCGTTGCTTCATACTCTCCAAATTTTGTTTCGCCTTCTCCAGCATGGCATTGAGTTCTTGATTCTTGTGTTGAACATGCGACAACTGTTTTTCCCTTTCCACTCGAATATTCTTCTCCGCTCTCATTACAAGTCTTGCTTTCTCTTCAGTTTGACGAAGCTGCTCAATAAGCGAAGAGACCCGCTCCTGGAGACCCTTTTCGACTGTAGTTGCTTGGCGCTGCTGTGCTTCGAAGGTCTTGCGCTCTTTTTCCGCTTCTTCGTGCTGCTTCTTCTTTTCCTTTGTCATCTCCCGAACAACCGTTTGCATATGTTTGGTTTTGTTGTTTGCTTCATGCACTTGGCTTTGAAGATTTTCGACCACCTTTTCTGCTTCCTTCTTGGCTGTTTCAAGATTTTGAAGTTTCTGAAGGAATGATCCGTGTACTTTTTCCTTGGTTTTATGGGAATCTATTGGTCGTGACGGTGGTGGCGGTGGTGGCGGTGGCGGCACAGGGCTACTGCCTGTGCGCTCTTCAATGGGAGTCAAGCGTTTCTCCACTGCAATGATTTCATTCCGGTTGGGGGTTTCCGTTATCGCCGACGGTTGGAAAAAGGATGTGCTTTCATCGCCATAGGGTGTGTCAACGAATTCGACTCCGTGCAGCACAGACTGTGGTGACAGGGACAAGTTCAAAGAGTTCGTCTTGGTTGGATCAATCGAATCAAGGGTTGAATTTCCGTTTGTAATCCTAGAAATGTTGGCAGCGCATGAAGAGAAGTACTCTTTCCCAGGCGACTCAAACTCAGTCCTCATTTCGGTCTGGTGCAAAAGACGAGTACTCTTATATGCACCATTTTGTTGATTCTGTGTTTGCCTTAGAGTACTCAAGCGGTCTTTAGTTTCTTGGAGAAGTAGAGGGGAATCTCTCTTTGTGCTATTCAACACCTTCAAAACTCGCTCCAACCGGTCGGGGGAATCGCAACTTCGAATGAACTTAAAGTTGAGCATTTCGATTGTTTTTAGCGTATCAACCGAGGTGTTGAGGGCGTCATCAGAAGTTGAAGTTATTGTCCTTCGTCTATTTTTCTCTTGTTGCCAATGGGAGGTCCCCGCAGTAAAGGCAGAGATTGCTGACATTGGGCTTAGATTGTTTGGTTGAGTGCTAAGGGTTGCGCCTACAATTGCTGGTCCTTCTTCTGTCGAGGTCGCATAGCTTCTCCGCGGAGGGGAGTGGAAGCCGATTTGTACTTCTTCCTTATCACCTTGCTTATCCGTGTGATACGACGGAGAAAAAATGGAATGCAAGACACGCTCTTTGGGAGGAGGTGACGAAGGAGGAATATGCTTCAGTGGAGGAGGCCTCCTTTCTGCATTCATGCTGAATCGGACACCACGCCGCTGGGGCGTCATCATAAAAGTAATCGGAATGCACTGCCTTTCAAACTTTATTTCTACTTGGCGTATTGGTTTGCGATGGCAATTTTACACAAAGAAAATTTTCGAATTTGAAATCTGTGTGCTTTGTAACGGTAATGCGGGAGTGCTTCAGTCACGAGTCTTTGAGTAATTCTAAGGTACTTTTTGAGCTTTCAATGGACCAAGAAAAAAACCGGCGCGAGGTGTGCGCCAGCAATTTGCTCGTGCAATCTAGTACTTTCCTACATGAGTAGTTAGTCTACATACGATCCCAAACAGTGGCAGCAAGAAAGAAACATCCCACCGATTTCATAAAATACCTTTTCGATCCACAAAGCAAATCATCAATCATGTCTGGAAGAGGAAAAGGAGGAAAAGGACTCGGAAAGGGAGGAGCCAAGCGTCACCGAAAGGTCCTTCGTGATAACATCCAAGGTATCACCAAGCCCGCCATCCGCCGTCTTGCCCGTCGTGGTGGTGTCAAGCGTATTTCTGGTTTGATCTACGAAGAGACTCGTGGTGTCTTGAAAGTCTTCTTGGAGAACGTCATTCGTGATTCTGTCACCTACACCGAGCACGCCAGAAGAAAGACTGTCACTGCCATGGATGTCGTCTACGCCTTGAAGAGACAAGGAAAGACCTTGTATGGTTTCGGTGGATAAATCTTTTTTTTTTCCCTTGTCTTGGTTCCCATGGCCTACCAGTACTAGGACGAGGTCTACCAAAAGCAAAAGGCTTGTTGCATTCACGCAACTGTTTACAGGGAATCCTTGAATATTTTGTAACAATAATCAATAATTACGCTTTATAGTATATATCCCGTAGTGTTTGAATACCTTTTTTCATTTAGCACGAGCGAGCGACTTTTGTTCGTGCAGCATCGATTGCGTCATGGCCTTAATCGCACTGTAGGAAGCTTAGGTAACGATGCTAGCCACTGATCCTTCTATTTTTATGAAAACATGAGATCTCGAAGCCTAGAAGGTAGATACAATCACTCTTTCTACATTTCAAGCCTTGTACTCGTCCTGTGTATGGAATGCTACATTGTCTGAATAAAATACAATAGGAAAAGGCAGTGAGTTCACCTTCAAGAATAGTACCGGTAGCACTCAGTGCGAAAAAAAATTGACGGGGGAATGGAAATTTAAGCATATTTCTTGCTCTCACGGAAGGAAAAGAATTCAAGAGAAAAATCTTTCGTCATCGCCACCAAACATATGAATAATGATGAAGATCTCCAGACTTGGGGTCAAACTCACATTCAGTAATCAGAAGTATTCGGACCTTGGAAATCAATCTCGCTTTCTGGTGGGGAGCAATGTGCGGAATATGGGCACAGCTTCTTGAATGATATATCGAATGAATCAACGGATTCGCGAAGAAGTTAAATTCGCACAGAAAACATCAGCGCCGTTCGGTTGCTTTCTGCAGTACATCAGGGGGTGGATCTGCAACAAGTAATCTCTTCCCTTCCACAAGAAGATTCCAACCGAAGGCGGGTGTCATACAGCTCACAGGAGTGTGTAAATAAAAAATTCAATGGAATCATGGCTTTTGTGCGGGATTGTCAAGGGTTGGTAATAGCCTTATGGTTAACATCGATTGTACCTCTACGTTCAACATTGCTACAGTATAATATGTCTACCAGTATTCTGTTGACACATGACGAATGTACCGGTAGGTACGGTACTTAAAATGCTGTCGTCCGTCTTCCACAAGCCACATTACTACCCTACCGGAACACGTACCGACCGGTACCAAACCCAGGAGGACAGATGATAGACTGTTTAGCGTGCGACGACTCGCTTTTCGAAAAAACAGCGATAGAAGCGATTTTTTGCCCACGGTGTTTTCAGTACTTTGCGGCTTTGCGCGAGCACGCGGGATAAATTCGAAATCAGCCTTAAGTAACTTGGCATTCAAAGGTAACCGGGCTCACAAGATGACGACAAACTATCCACACCTCTTGATCTGATCCTTGCTCTAATTTCGAAGGCAGAATTCACAGCAGCTCAGCTCCAACGAAATGGTGAAAGCATCCAAGAGACCTCCAAAGCCAACGAGCACGTCCACTGACTCCGTCTTGACACCCAAGGCGACGATGCCAAAACCTGCTGCGTTTCATCGAAGAGTACTGACTCAACCAGTACAGATGTTCGAGCGGCGAAGAAGCAAATCGAGTGCTGGTGGCCATCGAAGGTCGTTTTCAAGCATGCAATCAAGTGGAACGGGTGAAAAGAAAGACTCCAAATTCTCGTCGTTGCGAAGAGAACTTATAAGAGGATCAAGTCTGATACACCGACGCAGTAGATCACTTCCTCAATCTGCTGAAAGGTCGAGCAAGCTCCAAGCCCCCACCGAAACTTCATTGAGTCTTGTTCCACCCACAAACAAAATTGCAAGTGGAAAGAACTTTTACGTTCGAGTAACTCTTGATAGCCTGACGGGTATCTCAATTCAAAAGGGATCAAAGAGAAAAATGAAAGAAAGCGAAAGGCCCGCAATCACTGGGTATGCTTCTCTTTTAAGCAGTGGACATCAACTTGCAGTTAGTATGCCTTTCTCTGTGGACCACGAATCACCCAACTCAAAACTGCTTTGGGCTGGTGTAGAAGGCGAACGTAGTCGGGACAAACGACAACTCCACTTTTCCCTTCAACTTCAGAGAGAAATTGCCAACTCTAGGGATGATGATTCTGCAACGAACGATGGCAAATTTCATCCCAAAATTGTCAAAATGGTAATTGGCTTGAAATGTGAAGATACCAAGCTACCACTTGGAATTGCAACTCTTGTTGTGAATGGTAAATCAGCATTAGGGGAGGACGTAGATTTGACTATGAGGCCAATGGATGAAATGAACGACAAGAAGAACAAACAACTAGTCCCCTTTTTTAGTTCCAAGAAGCCGGGGGGCATTTCGTTCTTCGACGATTACTTTTTCAACCTTTCGCCCGATGCTGTTCTGCGCGCACATGTCGATACCAAAGCAGACGAGATCGGAAAGACAAAACGGCAAGTCTGGGGCGATATTGACCATCAAAATGCAGTATCCAGATCAAAAGTGGAAGAATCAAGATCAGAACTAGAAGGAAAAGCTATTGCACCTCCAGCTATTGACACAAATCGCGCACCAGACCACATACCAGAGGAATTCACGATCCCGACACCAGCTTCACCTCGCAGTCGTCGGTTGAAGAACGAAAATGCGGCAGTCCCCCCAATAGAATTTGTTGACATCGCTGTTGAAGCAAATTCGTTCACTTCAGATATATCATCGCGACGAAGCCTAATTGAACATCCGTGTGAGATGACGTCGAATTTCGTCACGTCTTGTTTTGGTGGATTCTGCGGTATTGCCGATGCCGTCGACGAAGAGGTCAACGAATTGAAGCTGTCGGGAGATAGGTATATTCCATCAGGAGGCGGAATATCGTCTCCTCCGCAACCACCTCTTCACAATTCTGCCCAGTTGCAACAAGAGATGCCTGGATCGCCTCAATTATCATCATTCGACATGGCTCAAAAGTCATACGACGATCTGAGGGACGCCCAAGAAACCCTGCGTCGGTACGCAAATAGAACTGGACTTCATGTTGTTGACATACTTGATCAAGATGAACCCCCGGCGCAATACACATCCTTACAAGTGTAAATTAAAGATAATTTTTGTATGCGTCTTGCTTAGTCATCGTGCAATCTGATACTGCAACTTTAAACACAATGTGAAAGGAATGTACACAAATACACAAAGTCCTACCTTCTCTTGAGTCGCGTTTTAAAAAATACATCATGGTACACAATTTAAAGAGACCGAGTTGGGTTTGTGAGACTAGAAAGAGCCGTTATCTTACCCAAATTCCTAGAACTAATACTCATAGTCAGTGAAATATGTTTCGTTCTCCGTGGAGGAACCTGACCCCATTTCCGACTCATACATCGAATGCGAAACAGAGCTAACCGTCGACTCCAATCCGGCGTATTCATAATCATCTGCTAACGATTCAGTAGGTGTATAGCTTTTCCCCCTGTTTTCTATAGTCGCCTCTTCAGCACAAAGCATGTTTGGCATAGCACACATTAGACTCGGTGCGAAAGAAGTACTTCTTGTTTTGCTGTTCAAATGTTGCGTTGGTTCCCCGTCGAGCTCGTCATCGAAGTTGGAATGGTATATTTCTCTCTTCATTCGCAATCTCCGTTTCGTATTTTCCATAGTTACCCTCTCCATTCTCGCTCGTAGCTCCTTTAGTCGGTTTGCCTCTTCTTCTCGTTGCTTCTCTGCCTGTTCCAGCAGCCACTTCTTCTGTTTGATCTTCTCTTCGATCTTGTCTTGTTTTCTCTGTTCCTTTTCAAGCTTTTTCTTCGCTTTTTCTGTGATCACTTGTACCCCGATTCTTAAAGTTGCATTTTCTTCCAGAAAGTAGCGTTTCGTCAAATCGCTCGAAAAGTACCCATCCTTATTGAAGCATTTGGTTTTTGACTTTTTCTTGTGTTTTCTGTGTTGCTTTTGTTCCGATGCTCTCGCCGGAACATTCATTTTCACCTCGATTTCTTCTTCACCACTTATAACAATTGCCGCGGTCCCCAACGGTATCAGTTCTGTCCCCATGCTCAAACTTAGACTAAGTTCGACGGTTTCGTGCATGTACTTTGAGTCCAAATGACCTTTACCATTCTCGTCTCGAGATTCTTGCATCGTTCGAACAATATTGAAAGAGGATTGATCCTTTGCTGCCTCGCCCTCCATAAACGCAGGCCATAAAGCCGTGTACCTTCCAGTTAGGTCATTTATGGAGGGGCAATGCAGAGGAATGCTCGGAAGAAATGTTTCATAGTCCATGTTGTGCGCCGAGTATGACGTCGTGATCGATACCAGTGCAGTTACTGGGTTGCTGTCGCTCTCCGCAAACAACCCTCCGTCTTCGGAGCCTACACTCGAAGACAACGTGGACGAGGACCAGTTCTTGGAGTCCATTGACCGAGTTTGGAATGTAGCTGCTGGTGGGAGTCCTTTTGATTTGTTCCTTCCAAACATACTTTTCGAAGCTTTCGGCTCTTCAATTTCTTTTTCGCACATGATTCCAGAGAGACCATAGATCACGATAGTTGTATCTACTATATCATGCTTCGTCTGCAAAGCATTGGCATGGTGACCGCTGCTGTGAAAGAACGATGACGCCTTCTTTTTTGTGGTGTATTCTGGAGACATTTCATAAATTGGTTTCGACTCACGACTCTTCCGCCCAGTGGACTCCTTCCTAGTGCCTTCGTGGACCAGTGGGGCGAATATCTGTCTCCCGCGCTCGTAGTTTCTGTCTACGTTCATTGCAAAAGCATATGATCTATTGAAATATATACGGTACCGTCCTATCGCTGTTTCGAAAGAAAATGTGAAGCAACCAGATTTGCGCGCTGGCATGCAAATCGGCAAATCGCCAAAAACCTCCGTCCGTCAGGCGTACGCTGTTCCATGTAGTGGGACTTTCTTAGCCTCTCCGTCACATTCATCCTCGAGAACCACAAACGGAACAACAAACATCAAGATGACGCCCCCTGCATACACTACTTGTCTCTTGGACGTTGACGGTGTCCTCGCAGAGGTATCTAAATCTTATAGAGCCGCTATCGTCTCAACATGTCACCAGTACGGTGCAACATCCATCAATGATGACGTTGTTGGAGATTGGAAGGCAAAAGGTGGATCCAATAATGATTGGAAGCTATCTTTGGACTTGATCAACAGTGATCCAAATGGCCAAAAAGACCTTACCCTTGACCAAGTGACTGAAACTTTCGAAGGATTTTATCAAGGAAAAGATGGTCAACCTGGTCTCTGCGAGCTAGAATCATTAATCCCTTCCCGAGCAACACTCGAAGAACTTAGAAAGCGATCGAAGGTGTTGGGTTTGGTCACCGGGCGCCCTAAGAAGGATTGCGAAAAGTTCATCAAGAAGCACTCATTAGAATCTATAATTGATACATACGTGTGTATGGAAGATGGTCCAGCAAAGCCAGACCCCTTTCCGGTTTTGGAGGCCTGCAAACGGCTTGGAATTCAACCATCACCTTCCGTTATTTTGGTGGGCGATACTCCAGATGATATTCGAGCAGCAAATGCTGCCGGATGCAAAGGAGTGGGCGTAGCAACTCCAGAAGCTGCTGCAGAACAAGTCAAACAAGGGAAATCATATGATTCTACGCAACTTTGCCTTGCAATGAAGGAGTGTGGGGTAGATTTGATCCTAGAACCTGGATTCGAAAAACTGTTAGATTACTTCCCAGTCAATTAATTTAGTGCACAGTTCTACGCGTCTAAGGTCGGGGTAGATGCATATAGTTGAAGACAGCTGAAGACGGCAGAGTGCCGCAGTCGAAACGTTGAGATTTGTGATTGAGAGGTTCGATTATTCGATTCCCAGAAGGAGGGGTTCTCCACCGCCTCCATTTTGTTCCCGAACATCGTTGAGAAGGTCAATGTCAAGCTTCAAAGTTTTATCTTTGTCCTTGTATAAAATGTTGACAAATTGGTAGCCGATGTTGATGTCCACAAAATCGTAAATCTTTTGTGCGTAAACATCAGAAGCACTGACATTTGCCACTCCGTTTAGCGACACAAGGATTTGATTGAACTGAAGACTATCCCGAACTCCCTCATGATTATTTAGGCGAACAGGCCAGTATCCCTTGTTTCGCCTGATTTGTCGTTTCACCTTTGGTTTTACAATTGGTGATGTGTCGTCGAGTACATGTCTTCCTATCCAAACTCGTTTAAAAAATGGGTGATCACCTGGTTCAATAAGCATTTTGGAGAACATCCGTTTGTTCGCAAGCTTTGCAGTTGGATCCTGTTCGTCAAAGGTGGAATCTCGCCTTCCCACTAATTCGCCAATGCCACTGATTTTTCCAATTTGATTGATTCCGTATCCAATGTGACCAATTCCCTGACCAATACCCTTTCCAGCAACTTTTCCAACATTACCAATGCCTTTCCCTACATGACCGATCCCTGTACCAACTCCTTTTCCAACATTTTTTATTCCAGTTCCTATTCCACTACCAATTTCTTTGATTCCCGTCGGAATGGCGGAGCCTGCAGCATTGGCAAATGTTGATCTTCTTCGTGCCGTCTTTCGCGATTCCTTACTATTGAATGAATCTGCACGGGACAATCTTTCGCTAACAGAATGATCCGTTGAACCTGGGTCATCGTCTGCAAAATCGTTAGCATCTACATTCGCCACTACTGTCAGTGTTCCGTCCATAATTTCTCCTCCATCTTCAGCAAAGAGCTTGTTGACTACGCGGAATTCCAAAACCGGGCATGGGATCTTGAAAGCTTCGTCGGTTTCGTCATCTTCGTCGTCATGGTGTGTTACCTCGATTCCATTTCCATATCGGATGACGATTGGATCCGAGAATTCCACTTGGGCATGAGACTGAATTCGCAAGACCTTTCCGAAAAGAATGGCTCCACAAAATCCCGAATATAGGACGCCAATAAATGACTCAAGGGAGCATATGGTAGTAATGTACAGGCAATTGGTAGCATTTGTATTTTCGTGCCCTAAAGCAGGATAGGTACTCCCGTAGCCAACTGTAGATAAGGTGGTCCAACTCAACGCAAAGGCATCCGCAAAGAACGAAGCTGTAGTGTTCCCGAATGATATCCCCCCGATCTTTATGCAATCGGCATCCAATTTTCCCGCCGAAATGATTAAGGCGGAAAACAACAAGCATAATCCGAAAAAAGCCAAGCTCATTACTGTGAACAAAAATAGGAAGTTTACTCGGAACATCCAGTGCAATGTACTGGCGAGACGTTGATTGTGACTAATACCAATGCCCCCGCTAGAAGAATTACTACCACACATCAGCGACAACAAAGATTTGCGAAATCGCTTGCCCTTTCGAGTTCCTTCCAAACGATATTGTGGAATATCATGTCCTTCCTCTGAGAAGCCTTCGGTACCATCTGTGGGGTTCCAAAATTGTAGTCGCTTCAACCAGCGTTTCCTCTTTAGTTCCCATCTTTGTTTATTCGACATGGCGTTGACTTCATGGGGTCTCCGGCGCTAAAGCATGAAGAAAGATGAATGTGAGTGAATCTGGAACCGTAGAAAGGTTTCATCTGAATCAAATACAGCATTCGATTCAAAAGAATCTTTCTCTTGCTTACAATAACTGTTCGATTATGTTCAACACCGCCGCCGCCAGCCAGCCTTTCAATACGTAAATCTACTTCCTTCAGGCTGAACCCTTCAGAAGAAGCTTTGTCATCTTTTGGCAAGGAGGAGGACGCATCAGAATGCTGCCGGGAGTGTTGGGAATTGACTGCTCCTTTGTAGTTCTGAGGAATTGGGGATTGCAACTCACTGTCACCATCCATTTTTCCTTTTTGTTTGTTCTTTGGTCGTCTTCCTCTGCGTTGATTTTGATTCACGGATAACTGTCTACTGTTGGTCGACGAAGCCGGGGCCATGACGAGTTCTCCAGTGGGAGGTTAATGTTGCGGTACGTGTTGCAGAGGTGAGGGAAGAGCCTCCTCGATAAGCACAAGGATGGAACCGCTGCTTCCAGTACTGGACCTACTGGTTTTCTACAGGAGTAGTGCAGTCCGACCAGTCGACGATATTCGGAAGCACATGAAATAGAAATATTGATACCATACATATCATGATACCTGGGAAGTTACTACGAGTTGTGTTGGGGAGTGAAAAGTTTGATTGTAAGAGAAACCAGAGGAGGCTATGAAGTGGCAATTTCAAGATGGATCGTCTTCCTGGAAAGACTTGGTCATTTGCTGTTTGGAACTGAAGTGGTGGGGATAGTACTGTACCCATCGGGCTCCTCGTCAGCGCTGTTATTTTCAGTCAACTCGATATAGTAATCATTCTAGAAATGGCAATATCACTACAAGTATCCTTATCACGACGACATGGCCCTTAAAACCCAGAGTTATCGACCGCCCTAGTTCCTAGTGTCTAGTATCTAGGATCCTTGTGAGACACCGTACTCAACAATCCCAGTATTCTTGTCAGGTCCCTTCACATAGTCGAACCCTTCAAAAAAGCAATGGTCCATGAGCCTGCAGTCTTCAACCATGATCTGATGAACCTTGTACATCAAATCCAACGCCGTGAAGCCCTTGCTAGAAGAAGATTCAACAATGTTGTTTTTGTCTATCATTTCGTTTTCTTGACGATGCAACCCTTCCCAGTGGAATCGAAAGCGACAATAGGGTAGAATCATGGCATCAGGCTCCCAACCGTTACTATGTTGAACGATATCCATTTGATACTGTAGAACTGCAGCTCCAAAATCTTCAGGGGTCGCATAGTCAGTGCGGGCAGCAAAACTCCAACACAACTGTCCCAAAAGCATCTTCGGCGGTGTTTCGGTAGCTGGCGGTGACATGTGATGGCAGATTCGAAGCAATCAATAACGGTACCGGCGGTACTGCCGACTGACTTAATCTATGTTCAACGAGATTAGACACCAAGCAATACTGTAGCAGGGAGCATTTTGAATTTGGGGCTTCTTCTCGCCGCGTTTCTTTTGAATCTGATTTTGATCTTGAGGTGTGTGTCAAAGGTCGTCCTGGTCGAATAAAATGAGTCGAACGAGGACTCGTTCGACTCATTTTATCTCGCCATACTACAATTTCGAAGATACTGCGTGAATTTCATTAGCGTTGAAACTGACTTTGGTGAGCGAAATACCGGTAGGGATAATGAAAAAGCAGAAATAAAATCATTCTATTCTTTCCCTAATATATGCATCCCTACTGATTGCCGAATGTAAAAATCGCAGCGAATACAATGAAACATTTAAAGGAAGGCAATGGTTCAACAATGCATCTAGCAATAGTCTCTCTGGTGAGCGATAGGGGGGAGATGAGCTACTGTATTGTTTGACCCTTCGTGTGTACCAGTTGAAACATTTGTGAAAACGGACGAGGCAAGACCGTATCTTACATATGTATATTCGTACACGTAGTAAACGGGGTATGTTCCGCGCCGGGAGGCTCCATGGTACGATCGGCCAACTATACCGGTGCTGTAGAGTTAGTCAATCAAATCATCGCCTCGCTGCGTGCAGTATCGTCGATTTCGATTGACTGATTTTTTTAAACATCATAGACAAATGATCACTCAAAAGGAAAAAAAGGTCTATATGTAGAACTACGGTCACTACTGCCTAATGTCAAAAATGGTTTCGTCTCGGCTTGGATTTTGCTTTGACGACTAAACGAAGCATATCTCGTGATCAGTCGATTCTGCAGATCCCGAATTTAGATCATCTTCATGAATTTGTCAGCGGATATTTTGCCAGACTCTCCCAATTCTTGAAATATTGTTTCCATTTCTTGTTCACTGATCTTGTGTTCCATGCTTATATTAGCAATAACTTGTTGCAAATCATCAATTGCAATGCGGCCACTTTCTCTGTTTGTGGCTGCCTTGACAAGGTCCTTCTTGAAACGGGAAGGCAAACATTGACGGTAGCTAGTAAAGTTTCAAGAGAAAACGAGACTTTCAGTGAGTCAAATTGCACGAGAACATCAGCAGTCAACATGAGTGATAAAAAGTAACTTACTGTTCCTTGCGGTATTCTTCAAGTGCATCACGCAGGTTCTCAACAGCGGCAACTCCTTGCGAGGAGAGGTGTCGCGAAGTGATCAACGAAATTGATCCGGGAGTGTTTGGAATGCGGCCAAAGGCCATTGTCATTTGTCGCAGAGCAAAAGATCGCATCATTTTGTTTTGTGTCGTCTTGTATGTGTTCCGTTGTTGTATTGGATTGTAATTTATGGAAGTGTGTACTGGTATTGCAGTCTCAACTTTTGGCGGATGATTCTTGTTTTGTGAGCTAAACTTCCATTATTTCTCAGACGAGAAGAGACCTCGTGACACGTACAGATTTTCAGTCGCGCTTCGTCATAGCGGAGTATTTTGATTGGATGAGATGACGTAAGAATGGAAGGAATTCTGGTCGAAGACGACGTGGGGAAACAAATAACGGCCAGTTGAGCAGTTGAATTCGACCATTGGCGATTCGAACGCAACTCCGATTATTGAATTTTGACATCATGATACTTTGAAACTTCAACCAGATGATGATGTACATGTATGCACGATGTTGGGGGACATAGGACCTTCTCACTTTCTTCCGACTGCCTCCTGTCCAAATTGTGATATGAGAAATAGCCTATGACAAACGAAACCCTGAAGTCTGATCAGAAGTATGTTGGGACATCGCTCGGTAGTACTGTACCTTCTCATGTATCTTGCTACCAGCATCCCAAACCCAAACTGTAAAATGGATGATGGCCAATTTAGAGGACAGTAAGAGTCCCGATACTTTTCTCATATATCATCACAACAAACAGTGAGAGGTGACACTTCAAACAGCACAACAAAAGTCTCAAAAAGGTACCACTTCGGTCCCTAGTAATTTAGAGATACAGTAGTCTATCAAATTCCATGGGTATGCTTTGGATTAATTCTAACCTCGATGCGGTCATCATAAACATGCACTGTTCCTCCGATTCCGTTACGGATCAAAGTTCTTGTCGGTAACAGGATTCTGTAATCCCCATCAGTTTCAAAATGATAGCATGCCTATGATGACAAGGAAGTGACTACACTTAGCGTTCGTTGCTCAAAGTACCGTGCTCTCTTGTGTTTCTTGGAACCGCTCAAAAAGCTTGACATTCCCTGTTGTTCCTGTTTGAGGTCATTCTCGTCGTCATCCAGATCGGCCTGGAACAGTACATTCACGGCAGCTTCTTCGTCACTTTCTGCAATTTTTTTCTTGATGGGTGCCCAGCTAAATCTGACAAAGTCGTTGTACCCAAACAAAGGATCCTGCAGTTTCTCAAACCATGCCTTGCATTTTGGGTCGGACGGATAACCGCTGCCAAAATCTCTCGACACATCCTGTAGTTCGTCAGTGAACTTCCAGCCACTCATGAATTTGTCGCGCGATACCTTTGCCACTGGATAAAATAGATACGTTTACATAATATGTGTTCTTAGGCCACGATCATCAACAGATTTGACTCATTCTCAATTCTCAATATTCGTTCAATGCAAAAGAACGTACCTACAGATGCCGCGGAACAAGAAGCATACTTTGCATCAGCCTTACTCTCCACCACAAACTCAATCCCAGGAAATTGTCCTTCCAGCTTGCGTCGATATGTGTATGCGTTCCCGACGGTATCAATGAAAGCCTTCTTCACCTTCAGACCAGCATCCAATAGTTTTCGAATCATCAACATGGTCGAATCGTGACTCATTTCGTTCAAGTTGTAAGGCTTGGAACGCAACATATTTCGGGAGATTTCCGACGGCAAGAGGGATCGCATACAAAAGCCAATGTCCTCGTGGTCCAATAGTTGGTCAAAGAGTTTGTCTCGAGTCTGTTCCGTCAGTTGTTTGGAATCGTTGAAGCCTTTAGGTATCTTTTCCTCGACAGATGCACTCCAATATGCAGCGCCGTAGACCTATTCGCATCCATTTGGTATGATGTTGATGGAGATTGAGATACATATGGAAAAACGAAGTAGTGAAAAGCAAGTTCTTCATGTCAGAAACCTGAACATATCACAACGATACCTCAGCAGAGATGATTCGGAACACTCACCATCGGACCCAACACGGAGCCCCTACCCGCTTCATCAACACCAACCACGACTACTTTGCTCTCCTTAGCTGAGTCGGGAATATCCGACAGCAGTAGAGGGCCGTAGCCCGCGACATTGGCGCTGGCTGGTCGAATTCCATTCAACAATGCATTCAGAACAGCTTTTGTCTCGGCCTTGTTGGTCATGGGAGCTCCATACTTTGGAGAAAAGAGAGGATGTTTCTCACACGAGTAAAGCGAGTCTGCAAGGTCCTTTGCCATTTGAGTCGATATAGAACTGTCGTCGGTTGTCATGGTGGGGAAGTTGTTTTGATGATCACACGTTGAGTGTGAAAAATACATTCGGGTCCCTTTTCGAACTCTGTAACTCTTGATTTTATGGCGCGCAGAAACGTACTGGAATAGTGTTTTGACTTTTGCCGGTACTATTGTCTCAACTGTGACTACCGGTACGGAACCGGTACGTCCTCGAAGGGAATAAGTTTTTTCTCCAGTATACTGCTGTACACTGCATAATACACTAGAACGTACCGTCCGTCTTCAGGAGCAGCAGGAGGGGGCAGTATTTTATGTAATAGAAACAATGAACAAGTTTTGCAAGCATCGGCATGCTCCAGAAACATTTTTTCTGACAAAGTATGGATACATGTGTTTTATTAATACCAGTAAGTGTATGTGCATAATATGACGGGCCAAGTTTCCAACAACAAAGAGAAATCCAGCGTCCATGCTTGCAAACACGAGACACGAGTACCACATCGGTAGAGCGAATAGCAGGTGATCGGAATATTTGTCCCCGCAAGACTGCTGCCTCGTCCGTTACATCTTTATCAATAAACGCAAGCCAATGCACGCGCGTGTAATGTTGTCACACTACTGGCCACCTTTTCAGGGCGCAAGATTTTGCAACCCTCACCACTCATCATTCTCGACACATGATACAACGCTAGAAACAAAGCAACCACAGCAACAAGAACATGCCTCTCGAGAGTTTCCCCGCTGTCGACATTGACTTAACGTTGGAAAACATTGAGGGAATCGAATGGCATTCGAAAGCTGACAAACAGGATGATATCCCAAAGCTGAAAGCATCGGTTTCGTTTGCTGGATCACCACGAAACATGCGAGTGAGCTCCTTTACTATGTGCGGCAGAACTGGCAATTTGGTAGTGGAGTCTGGGTCACTGGAGGTCAAGAAGACAATTGACGATGGACAATTTTCCATGGGAGCTGATTTTGGAAATACCAATGTGGATTTTTCTCGGAATCAATCATCCTTAACCCAATCCTCCTCGGCATCCACCAGCCTGCCGCATCTCCGATTGGACTCTTCGGTGAAAAGCTTGGCTACTGTATCTACATCAAGTATGTCCATCGAGGAGGCCAACCGAGAATCATCAATCCTTCCCGATGGCAGAATATATGTGGAATCTAACCCGGGAATTGAAGTAGATGCTTTTGGAAGCGTTAATGATTCCAATTTGCTCATGGAGGAAAGTTTGGAATGGGAGCGGCATAGTTCAAATCGACCAGATGTTGTGGACATTAACGTATCCTTGCAATCGGAAGAAAACGAGATTGTTGCAGAGGGTGTTGCCCACCTGGTCCTTTACGGAATGCAAAGTGAGAGTACAGTGACGACCTTGAACCTTCGTCTTAAGGAAAAGAACATCTTGAACTTGACCATACCGGAAGGATCCGCAGTCTCGACAGGTTCGGAAAAATCCTCCATATCCTTTGGTCGAAACGCCTTCGTTCGAGTCCAACTCAGCACCATTGCTGACCAGGTGGAGAGGCTTGATATGAGCATTAGTTCCCGAACATCTAGTATGCAGACGGGCAAGGTTCATATTGGCAATCTTAAGGAACGAATGAAGGAACCAGACCTCTTGAAAAGGGCAAGGGAGCAAGCGACCAAAGATGTCAATCCAAGCATGGCTCCCGGTGTCATTGAAGAAGCACCCAGATTTGGATTCTTCTGCGGTGGAGGTAATCTTACTCAGACATTGTACCACGCATTTGGTTTTGAAAGAGACAGCTCGAATAAGGCGAACAATCTTCGGTCCAACATGACCTTTGATTCCACCATTATCACACGAGAATCCCTGCTGATCTAGAGCAAATGCTTGATTCCAATGTAGGTCGACATGTTCTCGATCACCGAGACTCGTGGCTTTCTGCAAATGTGCATATGTGTGTGTTAACGATTAGCACATGATAGGACATTGACTTGAAAGGAAGAGATCAGTAGCTGGATGGATGGTCCATTAAATATTTTGACGCAATTGCTGTCAAACGATTGTTATGATAACTTATTAGACCTTTTTGATTTGGTTTGTTTTTTTGTTAAAAATGCTCTATCAACTATACCGCACTTGATACAATCCACTCTTGGTAATGTTTCGAACACCCTTGTAAGGTCTGTATGCTTCCCCTGACAAGCTGAGTCCACTCACGCTCAAACCACTGACAGACGCCAGAGGTATCTTCCAATGCAGAAACAGATTGGGCGACTGAATGTCCTCGTCTCCTGTCTTTTGAGGATTCAATTTTAAGTCGGCCGTAAATTGAGCCCGAGTTGTATTGCCGCCATCGGCCATCTTGCCTAGAGTCCACTTGGCAATCTTACCACCTTCGTCATAAACGACAGATCCCATCGACACTTGGAACTTGGCCGTCCCCACCAGCTTGGGGAGAGGAATTGTGACAGAAACGTTCTCTACGACCGTCTTCATACCGCCGACGGTTCGAGTGGCCGACTTGATAAGGGACGACAAGGACTTGACTTGCATTTGTACCGTTAGTTTGGCGGAGGATTCGGCGGGCTGCTTCGCGCTTGATTCCCCAGCGAATCCAAGATCTGCCTTGTTCACGTGCCACTGTGAGTGACAATCTAAAGGAGGAGAGAAATTTGCTCTTCGGTCCGCGTTAAGCGAATACTTCATGAGCTGAAAGTTTCCATCAGGAGGAACAAAACTGACCACTTGCTCTCGTTCAAAGCGGCCATATCTGACACAAGGATGGAAGGCCCAATCGTCAATGAGAGAAGGATCGTTAAAGGTCAATAGTAAGTCCGGTATACCACTCAAATGAGATTGACATTGAATGCTTCCCGATACATCCGATGAGACCAAGCTTCCCGACACTGCATCTACAATTGCATCCACCTCCTCCACAATATCCATATAAATTTCATTCTGCGAATACGAAACACCTGCTGCTCGCCAAGGTATGTTACTGATGGTCCCCCGGGGCAACTCACCCGACACCGACGTGTTGGAAAAGACGACCGACTGCAGTTTTGCCATGACGGAGGGTGGTCGAATCATTTGTTTCAAGGCATTGGGTTCTGTGGTCAAAGGCCATCCGTAGTCGACCATTTCTTCCAAGAGTTGGTAGACGGTGGAAAAGTTGTCCTTAATGGCGGACTCATCAGCAGGAGATCCAAAGTAATCGACAAACATATCCGCGATCCGATGAAGGAATTCGAGAATCATCAACGGGGAGACTTCTGATGGTAGAACCGCCTAATTTTTTTCAATGGGAATGTTTTCCAGGTTTTTTGTGTTAGTATTGTTTGTTGTGCGTGTATAAACGGAAGCCATATTTGCGGTCAACATCATAGAATCAAAAATAGAGAATGACAAAAAGAGGCGAAATTTTTTCAACGAGAAGATGAGGTTCGTCAACAACATAGACGGATGAAAATAATGCAATGGGTACATACCAGATAGGAGAGGCCATCCCGTAAAATTGAAATAATGTAAACTGTCCCATGGTCACTCTCTGGAACTTCCATAACAGGAAGCACTGATTCGTGCAGCGGCAGTAGAAGCTGCTGTTCTTCATTGGTCAACAAGGAAGTTGTGGTGGAAAGACCACCATGGTGGTTGACAGAGACAGATGCTTGATCCCAAAAGTAGTCGCAGACCGAGCGTGACGTGACCCCGCGAAAGTGCCTTTCAATCAATACTTCTCCAGTCGGAGACAAGATGAAGATAGACTGTATCATTTTTTAAGTCTATTGAAAGGAGAAAGGTACTCGGACAGTACACTACCAGTACAATGCTGATGATGATGATGATGATGATGATGATGATCGAAGAGCAAAACGATTTCGAGTATGTTGGTCAAATGAGTCAAAAATGGGCGTCTGTACATCTGTCCAAAGCCAAAGAGAGAGATTTCCGACCGAGTCAGTCTTGGAACCTGGTACCATATCACATATCACTATCATCCCAATGAAGCGTTTCGTATCTACCGCAACCATTGCTGCCACTAGAAGGTGCCATCGTCAGCCACAACTTGTTGTTCAAGACTTGGCACACAACAGACGTGCCAGTTTTTCGCAATCTTATGTCTTCCAAGCAGCTGAAATTGTGGATCCGAAAATCAGGATCAGCAGCTTTTCCTCTTTGACTCCCCAAGATTCTACATCAGTAGCAAATACCAGCAAAGACGGTATCGTTGGAGATCCCATCGACTTTGATGTTCAGAGTCGAATCGAAGGAAACGAGTCCCAAATTGTCACCATTACACTCGAACCTGGTCAAGTGTTGCGTGCTGAGTCTGGAGCCATGATGTACATGACAGGGGGTGTTGAAATGAATACCACAGCAGGGTAAGGGCGAATATTGAAGTAACAGGGAGCGAATGCACTGACGTGGGATGCAGCGATATTGGACCAAGTGGCCATATTAAGATGAAACAAAGAAACGCTCACATAGTTTCCTTACTCTTTCTAAAGGGGAGGCTTGTCTAATGGCTTCAAGCGAATGCTAACAGGACAAAACTTTTTCATATCGGACTATACATACACGGGTAGCGAAGGAACTACTGGCCAAGTGGCACTAGGCACAGATTTTCCTAGTAAGATTTTGCAACTCAATGTCAATGAGTATGGCGGCAAGCTTGTCTGCCAAAAGTCTGCTTTGCTCTGTGCTTCGCATACGATCGACATTGACATGGAGTTCACCAAAAACTTTTCGGGTGGATTCTTTGGAGGGGAGGGATTCGTGCTCCAGAAACTTACTGGCGAGGGCGATGTCTTTCTCAAAGCAGGAGGAACTTTAATCCGAAGGGAGTTGGAACCAGGTGAAGAGCTCAGAATATCATCCGGATGTCTAGTGGGATTCTCGGCTGGAGTGGATTACGACGTACAAATGGTCCAAGGATTCAAGAACGTCTTTGCTGGGGGAGAAGGTCTTTTCATGGTACGAATCATACCGCACATTCTTATTCTAAGCACCAAAGCTCGTCCATCTCATATCCTTTTGACGTTTCTCTGTTTCTCACAGACAACCCTAACTGGCCCAGGGGTTGTATGGTTGCAAGGACAACCACCACAGCGCATGGTCAGTGAGATTGCTCGACGAGTGCCATCTGGTAGTGGTATCGGCCTTGGCGTCCCCATTGGAGGAGGAGGCGGTGGAGGTGAAGGCGGAGGTGAAGGTGAAAGCGGCCCCGACGAATCAAGTTGATTTGCATTCTCCACTTCTTTATCCAGATACCTCGCTGTTCCGCGAGCAAAACCAATAAAGAATCTGAACGTAAAACTCATATTACATGTCACGTTGATTTCACATAGCGATGACGATGAGGGGCTATACTTTTTTCATTGAGATTTCGTCATATCCAAGTAGACGATAATCAGAAGAGTCCCCTCCCTATTTCGATATTTTTCATTTTCATTTGAATTTCATAAAAAAATACTAAAATATTATAGTCGTCTGCCTGCTGTCACACACATTTCCACGGACCAACCAAACTTTTGTTCTGTCACAACTTGATGGACATACGCTTCTGTAAACATGGCAAAAAAGCTAAAAAGCAAGCAAAAGTCTGGAGGTGAGGCAACAAAGACGACTTCTGAAACCACTGATGGTGAAGCTTGTGACTCGAAGGAGTTCCGACCCTCGGCATCCACTCCCAAGGCACCTCCACCTGCTGGATCCTTTCGAAGCCTAGAACCTACCTTGTCTCAGGGAGTCTTGAACTTTTTGGATTCCAAGAAATTTCACACCATGACTCCCGTACAAGAGGCAACGATTCCATTGTTCCTTCAAAACAAGGATGTGGCGGTACAAGCTGTCACCGGCTCTGGCAAGACACTAAGTTTCTTGATTCCTGTTGTGGAGCGACTGAAATCGAAATCTTTCCAGAAAGGACAGGTTGGAGCTCTAATTCTTTCTCCTACCAGAGAACTAGCTATGCAAACATGGAGAGTATGTAATGAACTTTGTGCTGCAACAGAAATGCCTCCACCACTGCTTCTTGTTGGTGGAGGCAGTTCTGGATCCAGCACCAATCACCGTCCAGTAACGGAAGATTTGAAGACATTTCAACAGAATGGATCGAATATTGTGATTGGTACACCAGGTAGAACTGAAGATATTCTGACGAGATATAATGTCATGGACGTCTCGGAACTGGAGGTTCTGATTCTCGACGAGGCTGATGTTTTGCTGTTTGGAAAAACTGTTATGGATCCTACAATTGCAACCGTCCTCAACAAGCTTCCCAAGATGCGTCGAACCGGGATTTTTAGTGCTACGACAACATTTACAAGTAATAAATCCATAAAACCACTGCTTCAAAGATCTGGAATGAGAAACCCAGTTCTGATTAATGTTGAAGTGGCCAAGAGAGAAGATGAAGCCCCAGAAGGCGGCGAGAACTCTGCACAGGAGACATCAAAGCAAAGAAAAGGAAACGATGGTTCTACGGCATACACACCTACATCATTGACGAATTACTATACTCTTAGCAGACTTGATGAAAAGATCAGTCGACTGGTTTCATTCTTACAATCACATCGCGAGGAGAAGGTCATAGGTGAGAACGTCGACAATATAGCTCTGAAAATTGGATGACATCTATACTGACAAAATCCTTCTCTACCAAAGTCTTCTTTTTGACTTGCGCGTGCGTTGACTTTTATGGAAGCTCCCTAAAGCAAGTTCTAGGCGACGATCTCTACATCGAATTGTTGCATGGAAAGCTCGTACAAAAGCGACGAGAAAAGGCAATGGAGCGTTTCCGAGAAAGCTCAGGAGGAGTTCTCTTCTGTACCGACATCGCTGCTCGCGGATTGGATGTTGCGGATGTTAATTGGGTTGTGCAGCTGGACGCCCCGCAAGAACCATCTCAGTTCATTCACCGCGTTGGTAGAGCTGCCAGAGCAGGTCGTAAAGGGTCCAGCCTCGTCTTCCTGACCGAAAAAGAAGAAGCATACGTTGACCTCCTCTCGAATCGCCAAGTAGCATTGCTCCCGCTGCCGGAAACGGAAACCTGCTGCCGCCCCGTTCAAACGGGCGAAGACGAGACGGCTGACAATGAAAATGTGACGAGCATCCTTTCACCAATGAAGGAGCTAGTACTCAAAGATCGTGACTTGCTCGAGAAGGGAACGAAGGCATTCACCTCGTATATTCGTGCCTACAAAGAGCATGTTTGCGCCTTTATATTCCGGTGAGTTCATTTTGTGTGAAGAAACCCAACCCAGTTGATTCCGATGCAGAGGCGGTCAAAGGCTTCTAGAAGTTGCCGCAATCTAGTATCACGTACCTAAAATGGGTACCGATGCAAAGAATGTCGCCTGTACTTCCATGATGAATGTTCCGACCAGTCAACTGCAATAAGAATCTATATAAGAAAGGAATCAGTAGTCCTTTCCGGGCTATATTCACTGTCGTTCGCCATTCTTGTTAGGAATGAATCAGTAACCCATAGCTCTAACAGTTTTCTCTTTTTCCTTAACCCACTCAGATTCCCTGCTTTAGACTTGGGGTACCTCGCAACTTCATTCTGCCTTTTGAGATTGCCGAAGATGCCAGAGCTTCGAGATTCAAAGGGGAAGCTTCGACACTTTACTCCGGCCGGTGAAGAAGTCAACATTTATGGCATTGCCTTTAAGGATAAAGCAAGAGAGGCGGCTCGTCAGAAGCGACTTGCAGCCGAATTGGCTGCCGGGGGCAAAAATGCAAAACAAATCAAGGCAGAGCAACGAAAGGCGGACCAGCTTCGAAAGCAAAAGGAACGAAGGCAAGCTGCAATCCAGAAAGGACGGAATCCAGACAAAAAAAGAGGTCGGAACGCACAGATAATTGACGATTGGGATGAACTTGCGAAAGAAGAAAGGCTGTACAAGCAACTTCGCAAAGGAAAGATTAGTCAGGCCAAGCACGATGAGCTGTTGTACGGAAAGGAGGCAAAAACAGCAGACTCGGATGAGTAAGCTATGATTGACAGATCCATGCAAACTGATCAGCAAGCAAACACCGTGTCAGTGACAACTATTCGTTCAATCGATCCGCACTAATACTGTAGCCTGTTTCTTTACTATCACCAAACGAGTTCTGAACATTGTAATCGCCGTGTGTTCAAAGTACCTCAAGGTACTAGCCAACGAATGTAGCGTCAGCTTGAGTCTGCAATGTTGTTGTTCCCTCAAACTGAATAGAAACAAACATGCTCTAACATTAGCAGCTGTGTCGAGAGGCCCTGTGATAATAGACTCACTCACTGACACTTGGGTTGTTCAAACACGACTGAATGAATGAATGTCAATCAATCATCGATCATCAAAGACCGTAGCAAAAGTTCGATCACATTGACTCTACAGTCGGCGTACGGTCGAAGGCCGTAGGCCTTCGACAATTGTCATTGTCCTCCTACGATAGAGTCAAGGACAGCTCAATTTATTACAGTGGTTTGATATTGATACGTCTACTATCAATATCAATTCATTTTTCTTTCCCACCATCGCCCACCCTGTTGGGCACCATCGCCTCTCTTCTATGCGACAACGGTGCCCAGTAGGCAAGCAGGTCTCAGAAATCCCGTTTACGGGATTCCTGAGATTGGTCTTCCGGGTCCCATATTGTCTCGAAAGACCAGGACCGTGTGGCAAATTCGGGCATTTAGCGAAACCGAAACCGCCAAACCCGACTATAGGTTGTGAAACGCGCGCTAATCATTGATGACGCGGTAAAACTGAAAACTGTTTTCACACGGGGATATCCTGGAAA